AAGTTTCCTGTTAATAACTCAAGTACTTTTAAGTTTTCATCTCATTTGGTTTTGAGGTGAATATTGTGATGATTATACACATCACAATTTCAGTGGGAGTTTAAGGCAGATACTTAGTAATAAATAAATAAAGAATTCAGATTTAGATATTTAGTAGCAGGTACAATGTTACGCGGAATCATTAAGACATTAAAGATTACACGCTCACATATCGGAGTTCGGTCAAGTTAGAGATCATTCAGTATCCCGACTTCGATTCAGTTTAGTTGTCGATATTGTCACAAGGCTGCAAATATAGTATGGTCTTAAAAGACTAGTTAAGTTATAATGTGACAATAATGCAATAATTTAAGATACTCTAATAACAATGAACATTAAGTTCTTAATTGCTAGATTTAAGTTCAGAATGAACAAATTTTTAAGGAGCACATTCGGACAAACTCCAATATCACAGATTACTTCATCTAAAGTATTCGATGAGTATCTTGCTTAACTGAGTGTTGTGTAATCTGAAGATATGACGGTTTAGTGGGAGTTTGTAATTTTGGTTTTACTAAGGGTTCATACATTTATGAACATTCAGATATTAATTAATACTACAGTATAAAGTCTAAAGTATCAAGTAAAGTTTAAGGTATAAGGTTAAGGTTTTTTTCAGTGTGCTTACATTCTGAAACGTTGTTTGATCTCACTGAAGTATAAAGAGGACTAGTTGGAAATAGACATGTTAAAGATCACATTACATGAAATTTCCATGCTACACATCCACACTTGATCCATGTCATTTAGTTATATTAATGTATGTGACCACTGGTGGTTTAGTTGTCATTCGTGCAACGGCTGCCCCTTTAATCCTATGCTTATATAACTAATGGACAAGATTATTTAAATCACTTTATGATAGCAAATTTTGCGCGCTTTTTAGTTTTCGGTATAATATACAATTATAAGGTATATATATGGTGTATAGTCTAAGTGGGAGATTGTAAGATTTATGTGGACTTTATACGCTAATATATATAATTGTATGTTATAAGCTATCATAAAATACTAGCCCACATAAAGTGATCTAATTAAATCAACTAAAGTTTGGGCTAATTTTAACAATTAAGTTATAAAGTGTGGTCCAGTATTGTGTAGAAACCATAAGGCCCAGTTTCCTGTTCTGTGATGGGTGGAACCGAAAACCCTATTATATATTGGTTGTGGTCCTCGGATGAGCCGTCATGCCAAATCTTCGACTCCCCATTTGTCAGAGGTTCCCGCAAGGGCTTGACGGAATCATCTGGAAGACCAAACCGGATCGATGTTCTTGCCACTACAGATTAAGGTATGCTTCCGCTTTCCTGTAGTTCTCAATAATTTGATGTGAAGATCTCTACAGTATTTGGATTATTCCAACAAATAATACATCTTTTGTGAATATATACATAATATTCAACGTAATTCTCGTTTCATAGATGAACCTATTTTGGAATCAGAGTCTCCTTACAATCTTTCTCTTCTTACTTTAGAGAGCTTGAATTTACGATTTGGTCCGACCAGTGTCCGTCCATACATGAATAATTTTGATGAGAAAAAAAAAATTAAAGTAAAAGAATTATTTCCTCCAGTCTTTATTATAAGTTATTTTGATTTCGTCTTAAATTTTACCTAGGATGATCTTAAAAACATTACATGACAATTAGATGAACACAACGAACACGGAAATATATTTTTAAGGTTTTCTTTTTCCAATTAAAAAGACATCCTAAATTTTATCTATGACGAAATCAAAATGGCTTATAATAAGGACGAGAGGGAGTATTTGGTTTTAGATCAAGAGTCGTTAATTAATTAAGACAGACTTTGACCTTTCAACATTTGTTGACAAATGGTATAATTATTGAGTTAATTAAATGGAGTGTAGTACAGAACAGATAGCTGTCTTGCTAAGTTAATCTCCAACTGCATAGCTCAACTATGGATCCTTTGGTTTGATGCGAGAGAGGCTGCTTTTGTCACAAATAATTTTCACGAGGTTATCCTCTACTAAGTCAATCAAGCATTTGACAAACACTGAAGCATATTCATTTTTTTTTTCGCCTACAAAAGAATTTAAAAATGAAAGAAAGAAATTGACAGAAACCCCTCTCCAATAATTAAACATGCTAGATTCCCTAGGCTGCAATTGGTTAAATTAAAATAAAACTTTTTTTATTCAACAAATGTCAGCTTAACTGTCCATAATTAAACCTAATTAGTTATTTAGGTATCTAACATTCAAAAGTATTCAATTTCACTGTACTATACGAGAAAAAAAAAAGAAATAATTGCAGGTAATATAAACTAATCAGCCATTTGGTCAGCTATTTAGATTAATTAATTTACTAATTAAGCAGCTAGTATAGGTGCTGATATATGCTTGGATGGTGTGCATGAATAAGCGTGATTCTTGATGACTATACTTTGTTCATTGACGGGTACAATTAATTTTGGACATTAGTTCATTATATTCTTTGTAGACGCATGTGATTTATGTATTATAATTAGATGCACGATGACGATCAATGAAGGTGGCTAACTAATTACTACATTATTATCATTGTACAAATATTTTATTTATTGAAATTGAGAATGGATTTATAAGAAATGATGTTACGCAAATTAATTGTTACATTTTCTAAAGTGAAAATAACACTTTAAAAAAAAACGGAAAAAAAAAAAAACGGAGCAAGTCTAAGCTTATGTGAGAAGAAAAGTGAGGGAGGGTGAATGAATCTACCAGGAAATAGAGGTGGGGTTTGTCTGACACTTGGAACAAAAAAAAACGCAGATGATATTTCCAAAATAATAGCAAAAGAAAATGATGATGAAGGAATATTAAATACACACACACACACACAAGGAACAGAAAATATGAGAAAGGGACAGAGGCAGATGCTGCAAGGGCGTGATTAATGTTTATTCGAGAAAGGAAGAAAAAGGCAGAGTGACGAAGTATTGCATAGAGGATGGGAATATATATGAGGAGAGAAATGTTACACGAATGCCCCAAAACTGAAAATAATTGACGAAACAACATAAAAAAACATTGGAGTAATTAATAATAGAAGAAAAATTACTATTAAATTGTATTAACGCAATTGGACAAATCTTATCTCATCTCTTCCTGCTTATTGGAAACTGATGAAAGGTATCTCTATCATCTATCATCTCTGAGGATTTTTCTTTGAAAAGAAAGGGAAAAATTGGCAAGATCCTTTCCCCCTATTAATTTCCACCCTTTATTATCATTTTTTTTTAAAAAAAAATTGCTCACATATATATTATGTCATGAATGAACTAGGAATGGCCAATCATCAATTCTATTTGCTGTCATACACGTGACTGTAATTTTACCTCTTGATGAGAAGTAACAAAAAAAAAATAAAAATAAAAAATTTCCCAGCTTCTGGAACTACAAATTAGCAATAAAGTCTTTCCCTTTTTTAAGGTTCTTTTACATTTTACATATTCTGGGAAGTTAAGGAAAAATTAACTTCATGATCTTCGTTCGTCCCTGGGATGCGTCACTTCCATTTCGGAACATGCAGATATTATTGACCAAAATTAGTGTATGCAAAATGCTTCGTAATTTCCTTCAATTGTTCTTCTGTTCATTACATATTATTCTCCAATGAATTTGTAAGGATTAGGATCCTTCGATCCCGTTTATTCTTAAACAAATCAGTTATGCATTAATAAGAACTCTGTCAAATGACAATGAAAGTCGTATAATATATACTTAGAAGGTTTATCGTCTAGTAAACGGTACTAGACTATTATTGTTTATATCTTTTAAACTCTATGCGAATATTCCAATCTGTACTTTCCAATTAGCTTTGCATATTTTGTACATTTATTTGAATAATTTCTCAACTTGAATTATATAGAAGATAAATCAGTTTTAATAAAGCGAGTAATTGCCATTTAGAATGGAAATGATTTAACTAAGTTGACTATTAGTATCTTTTCTCTTTTCAAAGTCTAAAGAGACCAAGTTGATTGTTTAATTACTCAGGTATATTGAGCTCACCCAAGATACCATAAATAACTAATTACGTTTGGAGCTACACTTTCTCCGGTTTCTCAGTTTAACGTTTCGTCAACCTACGATTAAAACAACTAGGACTAGATTAAGTCCCTATAGGCCATGATTATGTACATTGTTCGGTGCTTACACACAAACAAAAACAAAAAAAAAAAAAAGAAAAAAGGAAAAAGAGGCGTCAAACAAATAAACAGATACATAGTCATTGTTTCCTAAAGTTATATAGCTGTTCCTAAAAGACTTTAAAAAAAAAAAAAAATGCACACAAATCTGCATCAGTTTTAACGCAAACAAATATCACATTTTGGAACTTGGAAATTGGAAAAAAAGAAAATGCAGCAGAGGCTGATGAACTGACGATGAGGATGATGATCAATGTAAGCTGGGGAATAAGACCCACCAATGGATCTGTTAGCCAACATAGTAACATGGGGTGTGTTCTCTGTTTCTCTCTGATTACACACTTTTCTTACAATTATTCATCTCCCCTCTCTGTGCGTGACTCAGTGTGTGTGTTTGTATAGTAGTAGTAGAACTATACACTACAGTCTCTCTTAAGATTCATCAAAAGATACATGTTCTGCCAGTTTCAGTAGTTGCGTTTTTCCATTCTGATCCTGCCCCTTTTAATTTAAAATATATAAAAAAATATGAATTTTTCAATTTTTTTTTTTAAATAAAAATCTAATACTCCAATGTCGATGAAGGAAAATGGTACGAACAAAAACCACCTCATAAAAATTGGTGACTTTGCACTGAATATAATGATTGATATTATCTCATCACGCAAAACCTTAAAAGTACTTTTCGTACTTTTTTTTTTCTTTCTTTCTTTTTCCCCCTCAATTACAAATGTTTAGTAGCAGTTGTAGTAGTAGTAACGTGTATCCTCATATGAACGATATCCCCACCTCACCCAAATACTACTATTCCTCTGTCTCTCTTTCTCTCTCTCCAGAAGAAATTAGGAATTCATTTTCCGTGTCTTTTCTCTTTCTCTCTCACACACTCACACAGTGTCCTTTAGTAGTATATCTTTTCTTTCTTCGTGGGAGCTGAGATGGTACACGAAATGAATGAGAAATACTACATCATCAAATAGAATAGTTCCCAAAAAATGTATCGTAGATTAGAGAAGGTAAGTAGTAATATTGATGAAAATGTTCACAGAATCGCGCCAAGATGTACTTCGTTTAGGCACATTGTAACTTTTACTTTTAATTAATATAAATTACTATGGTTTACTCAAAAATAAAAAAATATATAGAATAGTTCCCACAGAACTCACCATCTCAACCATAATCGAATCACGCCTCTCTCTCTCTCTCTCTCTCTCTCCTTTCCTAATTTCCTTTCCTTCGTCCCCCCCCCCACAGTATTTTTTTTTCTTTTAAAAAAAAAGCTCATCTTAAGTTCTTACATCAATCCCCACACTATAAAGTTTGTCACAGACTCTCCAACATTTCCTCTCTTTCTTATTCGTTTTCTCTCTTTCTTTCCCCTTTAGAGAGAGAGAGATAGAGTTGGTTTTTTAGATGTCTATCAACCATTTCTCTGCTGAAGGACTCTGGTGGGGGCAACCACAATACCACCACCACCACCATAATAACATGGATACTTCCCCTAAAAGTAGCTCCGGCACCACCACCGCCACCAACTCCGCCTCCTTTTGGGGCAATTCTCAATTCCACCACCACCCAATTGCCTCCTCTACCAACCCTTCTCCTTCCAGCTTAAATTTCGACCTCAACAATGAAGATGACGAGGAAACCGTGGATGAACATCCCGACCGCCACCGCCGCAACTTCAAACCGGAGGAAGAGGAGGATGAGGAGGCGGCGGCGGAGAAGGAAATTCCGAAAGAACCATTGTTCGAGAAGCCATTGACTCCCAGCGACGTCGGCAAGCTGAACCGCCTGGTTATCCCGAAACAGCACGCCGAGAAATACTTCCCTCTCAATGGCAATGACTCCGGCGGTGAAAAGGGCCTTTTACTGAGTTTCGAGGACGAGTTGGGAAAGCCCTGGAGATTCCGTTATTCTTATTGGAATAGCAGTCAAAGCTACGTGTTGACTAAAGGCTGGAGCCGTTTTGTTAAGGAAAAGCGGCTCGACGCCGGAGATATAGTCTTGTTTGAACGCCACCGGTTGGACGGCGAACGGCTGTTTATAGGTTGGAGGAGGAGGAACGCGGTGCAAGATAGCGGAGCCGGCGTGGTTGCTCAGGCGGCGGTTGGCGGTGGCGGTGGCGGTGGTGGTGGTGGTGCAGCTAATGGGTGGACCCGGGTGTACTTTTCATCTGGGCTGAATAATAATCCTTATCCAGTAGGAGCAGCAGCAGCAGCACAGCAGGCTCATCATCGTCATGGACATGGGCCTGGATTCCCATACCAACCTGACTGTCTTCATGCAGGTATCATTTTTATTTACTGCTTTGCCAGTAATGCCTTTCTTCCACGTACTCTATTCATAGTCATCTGATTAATATCTGATTCTGCCTCTGTCTGTCAGCCCATTTTTTTTTTTCAATTTCAAATGTTAATAAAAATTAAAAAAAGAGAAGTTGTTGGTTTTTTAGTAACTGTGTAAGTATAACCCTATCTCTATCTATCTTCTTTTTGTTTTCTTCTTCCTCTGCATTTAATTTTACATGTGTAGACATGCAAAAAGTTTTCATGGATCTTTGTGCGGTTTCCTCTTCCCTGGTTTTTCATTTTTCTCTCTCTCACATTGCGGGGGGCGTGAAAATCACTTGCTCCATTTTTTTTATTTTTATTTTTTTGCATGGGACAAAATGTGGTGTTTGATAGCCACCTCATTTTTCTTTGGTTTTATGTTTCCATGATTCCGCTTGACTCGTAGCTAGTAATGGCGTTTTATCAATTTGTGGGTGATGGGTTATTTTTAGGATGAAATGAAACCAAATCTGCACGTGATACCTACGCATTTTTTCCTGTCTTTGGTTTCCATAAATTATGTAGTGAAAGGGAGAAAATGGAAGTTTTCTCTCTACTGGTTGAGTTGCCAGATTTTGGACGGGAGTTGGGTTTGGGGATTACCTGACGGAGTAAGTTTGCAAATTTGTCACATTTGTGTAAAAAAAGATGGTGGTTTTTGTAATCCGCTGCTGCTGTAGTAACTGGAATTGGCATTTGTTTTTTTTGCAGTACATTTCCAATTTCATTACTGTATTTATTGGTTCCATTCCGTGTGCCATCTTTGACTATTTGTTGTACTGAATGTTGCGTACTGCTATTACTACCAGCAGTGAGTAGCAAATAGCCAGTTGTTTTCTTAGTTCCCTTGAAATTTTAGAACTTGATTCAAGAAAGTTCAGAATTTGATGATTAGGCTAAAAAGATGTAGAAGAAAACAATTGGATACTACTTTAATTTTTCCTAAAAAGAAAAAAGGGGGCTAATACAATCGTGCGAACTAACTAATAAGCGCACGTGTTAATGGTATATATACAGGAGGAGGAGGTGGAGGAGCAGTATCAGTTGGGCAGCATAACCAGACAACAACCACCAGTGCCAACTCCAAGACACTGAGGTTGTTTGGCGTGAATCTGGAATGTCAGCAGCAACCCGATGAGGTGGATTCCGATCAGTTTCAGGCGCAGCAGTCGGCGGCGGCCACCCCGCCTGAGTTGGGCTTCGGTCATCATTCCGATCGTCATCAGCAAGGTCAACAACAACAACAAGGCTACTACCAATTCCAGTATTACCCTAAAGTTCATCATCATCCAACAGCTTATTTTAACCATCACAATCACATGGTACGCTACTGAGGAGTATTTTATTTGATTAAACTAATACTACTACTAAGTCGTTTAGTTCCAAAAGCTAGAGAGATGTAGTGATGATGTATGTAGCTTCTTCTTTTTTTTTTATTTTAGATTTTTAGTCTTCAAAATTTTTATATATATATAAAAAAGAAGAAGAAGTAGCTAGCCATCATGGATGGGAAGGTAAAGATTTGACCAGTCCAATTTCCCATAACGATCTTGCTGTTTCCCCTAATGAGACATAGACACACTAAAACTACAGTACATAGAACAAAAACCCATTAGATCTTCTTTTTACTCTCTAGACCCTCAAAAAAGAAAAAGTCTAATACGTAGTAATGTGCCTAACCAAAATGGATTTTTAGTTAAACCAGAAATAGTGTTGCCAATCCTACCATATATATGTATCCTGCCTTCCTCTTACTTTTTCAATTAAGTAATCTATTTGGACAAGTAAATGTTCATTTTGAGGAAAAGGGGGAACTGAAATGTATGAAATTCAGTGTCATCATCACACATTTTGGAGTTAACTTGCTCTGCTGGTGAATGAACTCTTCTCTTGTATTCCCTTTTCTCTTTCTCTCTTTTCTAACAGTCAACTATACCCAAAAAAAAAAAAAAAAAAAAACCCAGTCCAAAGTACACGCATCCGCCACTTCCCATACCACCCAAATACCCACCCCTATCAAGCCTAATAGGGTCAAACATCAAAAAGCCTCCCCACCGGCACCGCCCTTTAGAATATGATTAAGAGGAAGAATCGTGTGTAAACTGGACACTTGCATCAGGGTTTGTGGAAATGCATTGATTTTTTAGGCATTTTACTAAAGAATGACTTTTTCTTTTTTTTTCATTCCAAAATTCAAATATGTTGTAGTAGTTCGGTATTATATTTCGTCTGTCTAACAACCGGGTTTGTGGTATTTTGGTGTTATGGTTTGTGGTCCTGAGCCAACTTTGAAAATCGTTGAAATTTTAACTTGGTAAGTAGTAGTACCATAAGATATTTATTTCCCCAGCAATAGGCCACCTTTTTTTTTGGCTAAGGTCATCACATTGTCAACTTGCACAGTAAATTACGCCCACAGGGCTCTCTATTTTTTGAGAACCCAAACCACCACGCCTTCAATAATGCATCATCCTCATCATCATCTTCTTTCATTTGTGTTTTGCCAAATGCCACTTCTCACCTTTTCCGATTTCGCTAAACTTTCTCGGAAAACGCAACAAATATGATTCTTTTATTTTTATTTGACACAAAAAATTGGATTATTTGGTTGTGAATGTTGTAACGCACAGCTAGCCAAATGGTGGTTTCATATTTGCATTCTTACATACGTGGAGTCGTGGAAAACGAAAATTGCCATATAAAAGCAAAATTGTAAATGAAACATCTACATCACCAGATGAGGAATGGTCCAAACGTATGGATGGCCTTAAAATTTTTGAAGCTGTCTTTTTATTTTTATTTTTATTTTTTTATGCAATTGCTCAAATAAACAACCCCATCACAATTTTTATTAATTGGACTAGTAGTAGCACTAATGATCACGAGCTGTGTGTTTGGTGCAGAATATCAATTTCTCAAGGGATACAAGCCAGACCAGATATTGGCAGGGATAAGATCTGGAAGATGTGACGTCCAGTATTTGACCTAAAATGGGCCACTTAGGTTGTCAAGAAAAAAGAAAAGAAAAAAAACATTTGAAAAATACACATGGAGAAAAACAATCTATAGAGAAGATCCCAGGTTTTCTGGCATCTTTCTCTCAGCAGGGAAAAAAAAATGGAAAAACAAGAAAAAAAAATAGAAAAGAAAAAGAAAAGGTGGCAACTGGCAATGGCTGAATGGGTTTAACCAGATCATGCCAAACCATAGGATGAGGAAGAGAAGTATGAGAGAGCTTTTTGAGTGTTTTTGACAGAGACCCATGGATTAGGGGGGGGATGATAATGATGATGAATGATATGGAGAAATGCAGCTAGCAGATGGGAAATGGGCCCACGAGAATAGTAGATCCCTGAAGCTGATGTTACCTAGGCCCAAATTGTAAGGGAATGTGGGTCGTGGGCAATCAAAAGAATCTCTCATTTGCATAGGTTTCTGATCAGATTTCTACTGTAGAGATACTGTCCTCAAAAAGATTTTTCAAAGGGGCACTCATCATAACAAAATCGTATAGTGTAACCAGTAATAGTAGTAGGATTGAAGATGAAAAAAGCCGGAGATATTGGGCGTGGAGTGGAGTGGAGAGCGGAGTGGGTGGACTTAGCAGAGCTGACGGGACGGCGTTTTGATTGATTTTTTGGTTTTTTTTGGCAGCCTTCCTTGCCTCCTCCAATCACTTGTAGTTGTAGCCATAACCTGATTTTGGTGTTCTTTGTGATCAATTTGCTCATCCAGCAAGTCACTGATTTTACTACTACTATTCCCCTAACCACCCTCCCGATAGATGATATATTGTACCATAATGCTAATCAATGTTAGTCTCAATTCTTTACTAATCCTACTTGTAATGAATCAAATTCAATGAGAATTTTATCATATTTGTTAATTCTAGCTTATCGAATCTTAAGATCAAATTCGGGTCAATTTTGGTTGGCCTATCACTTGTATTCTGAGGAGGGCTGACTTGGACTGAATTTGTAGGGAGCATGGTGTACTTAATTAAAAGAAGAAGAAGAAGAAGAAAGCACTTCAATTGTTGTACGGAAAGATTAGGATTCATAGAAAATGCATGCTTGCTTGCATTTTGGGTTGGGTCTGTCTGTCTCCCTCACCGCTCTGAGCACTGACCACAGACCACGTTTTATTTTCAATCTTCTAAGCTACCAAAATCATGCACGTTCTTACTTATTCCTCCTTCCGCAATTCCTTTTTAGCTTCAGGCAAAGCTTCCCACTACCACGTGTGTAGTTTTATTTTTCCCATATGTCAGTAAAGTCCATCTGTACCACTTTAGTTTCCAGTTAGGACTAGTACCCTTATGGCCACTGTTATTGTTCCAAGTTTTCTCCACTAGCCTTTGTAATCTTACAGATCGGTTACCTACTTATGTCTCAAAACAAATGATGTATAATATAATATAATAAACAAGACAATTATTTTTGAACGGCAAATGGAGTAAGTGGTCTAATGTACTTCTCATTCATGGAAAAACCTAGAAACCTAGAGATTTCAGTGAGATGGCAAGTTGATTTTCGGGACCCTGGAAGATAACTAGACAGTGACAGAATATCTATGGGCATTCCACATTTCGGCTTGTGAGGGTAACTGGTTTGTAGTACAGTAGTAGTGCCTTCTGCAAGTGGAAGGGGTCCCCGGACCAGAACAGAGGTCCAGATGTATGCTAATGCTATATGATTGCCTTTTTACAGATACTAAGGGAGAGAAACAGATGGAGGTAAATAGCATTTAAGAGGGACTGGTTCAAAAACAAAATGTCACACAGCACACGTTAACCTTTTCTTGTACAGTAGTAAAATATGCAAAAACATGTGCCAATTGTTTATTTTTCCTCGGTTTTCTTATGGATAGGATTTTTTTTAACTGTGGTGTGGTGCCTTCCATGAACAACTTCATCTTCCCTAGTAGTTATAGGTCAAACTATTAAACCTTATTACTGCCATTTATGTTTTTGAAAGAAGACTACCACTCCACCAGAGTTAACAGTAAAAATAGCTATAGCCCAAACTTGATAGAGAACGCAAAAACTGAACTTGTGCCCCAGAAAGCTAACCGGTGGGATCTCAGGTTAGTCAGATGTGGAGAACACTTCCATATTTACACAAACCCAGAAACAAACCAAGAAGTCCTTAAGCGATCAAAAATTTACGCTAAAGAAGGCTATTGACTAGGAAGAAGGAGGTCAAGGTCATGAGCCTTAGGAAAGACCCATGTACTTAAAAGTGGATGACGGTCAATCCAATCCCGTCCATTGCTATTCAGGATGAAGAGGTTAATGAGTTTCAAATCTGCAAACTGGCTTGTATTTACACGCACAAACACACACAAAAAACCCAATTCCAATTGTCTCATTTCAGAATTCTTGAGCAACCTAGACTGACAACACCACCCCACCCCCCCCCGTCTTTTATTTTACACTAGCGCGGCTGCAAAAACAAAATCATTTTTGGTGTTTCATCTCTAGAATGGTCTAGAATGGACCGTCTCCCTATTGAACCTTTGTATCCAGTTTTTGTATCCAGTTTTACACTTGAACAAATATATCAGCCCTAGCATTTCCTATCAAATTTAATTAAACAAGATGATCGAGAAACCTGAAACCGTTCTATAGTTGCAAGTGACATTGTCTTAGAATGGTCAAATCCAACCTGTGCATCAGTTCTCATTATGCAGCATTTTTACTAGGAAAGAGTACTCACAATGAAATTCAACCATAGAAAGTATAAAAATAACCTAAGTTTATATTTGAAGGTACAATCTAGAGCCCAGAACCAGATCATTTCCAGCACTCATATATATCAAAACAGAAGTTTCCTACTATTCAAGCTATAATTCCAGAATCCACAAAGCACAAACTTTATGAATAATATCATGGAGGAACATGTATGCAATTTATTTCCGTAAAACCTTTCTTTAACTAGATGCCACTCCATTTAAAATTTAACATGCAAAGAGAACTCATTCTTGTATATTACTATATCCAGATAGAAGTTATTTTTACATGAGCGAGCAGCCACATTAATTCAATAATTTTTTTTGACAGGTGTTAACAATTTCTTTACATTTGGTGGCTAACATATCTCACATATCGTAGAGTTATTCAACTGCTTTTTGCTAGCAGATCTTCAATAGCTACTTCTTACTAAAGAAATCTTAATGATGAGTGCAGTTATATATATGGCAGGCTAGAAACCATCAAGTATCGACGCTTAAAAAAGATTTAAATAATGATGAAAGTCTCATTTCCTGAATAATCATAAGATTTTCTCACAAAATTATAACCTAAACTCTAACTCAATAATTAAGCATTAAGAAACATTTACATATTCCTCTTACATTATTGTGAAGGCTTTTTTGGAGAGTCATCTTCCAATGTAGATTTCGAATCCTTCTTCTCCATTACATTTTGAATGCCTTCTTGATACCCTTCGATAAAACTTTTAAGAGCATCTCTATATGCAGAAGCTCGTGTCATATAAACGCGCTGCAATGCTGGCCTTAGTGTTTCCATGCCTCCTCGTGCAGCAACAGCTTTCAAAGAATGTAGTACATCAGAAATTCACATAATGGGCACAGACTCATAGTAGAATAACTAAACAAAGATAATATCCAGAAACATAGAGATATTAAACCAGGATGATGGGTGCAGAATCAAAGAGCATCCAGACATATAGTGCCAATTCAAAACACCAAGCTACATATATCAATTACAAGAAGCAAGAAAAGATTCCAGTTTCAATTTCCATAAGAAATGAACAAAGACATGCTCGTAACAACTTTGTATTCCTCACACCCCTCAGAAACACTCATTATGGAGTCCATTATACCAAACATGTCCACTGAAATATGAGTCAAAATATTAGATTCTCTAGTCTGACTCCAGATCTGTCACAGGCAACATAAACTCTTGTAGTATAGACTCCTGACAATGAATGTCGCAAGCAAAAAACTCATAAAAACTGGCCCATGGAAGTTAAGGTGATGGGTTATTTTCAATTCACAAGAAACTATTATGCATAGCCCAAGATACAAACTCGAGTAAATGAAAAACTTGGATATTGCAATATACGAACATCAACACTTCTTTATTGTAGCAAACTCCAGGAAGAGTATATTGCCGTGCACAAAATTATTGAAATGGATGTAAAATTTTACACAATTGTATAATCTCTGTTTCAATTTTAGCATGTCATTGTAATCAAATTAAAACCATCATAAACTGCATCTCTTGAAAGTTCTATCTCTTGAATTTACTTCTCAGCACAATGAAATTACAAGCATATACCGCCAAGGTTCTTGAAAATGTCCAACAATTACCAAAGCCATAAAACAAATAAAATTTGCAGCACAACCAAGCTCATGAATCTAAGAATGAGTGTATCAGTGAGAACAATTAACTGGTGACATCAACTAAATACTAAATTAACTGGAAAAATGGAAGAAATAAACCACTGAATCAAAGCTTACAATAACACACAAAAACTCTCAACATTCATTGGAGAGCTTACGAAAGTTGTTTTATAACCAAAACATACTCAGCCAAAAGTAAAAGGCACAATTTTCATATAGGAACTATAGAACTCAATGACTTACCAAGATCCTCCAGCATAGAGGGCTCTTTCTGTGTTTTCCCATCTGTTGCTTCATCAAATTCAACTCCATTCTCCACTGGCTTTTTGTAATCATTCGGCCTCAATTCAGGACCAATATCCCGAACCCAGCTTGCACCGTAGAGCCTTGTCGCTTCCTTTAACACCTGATTTTTTTTTAAAAAAAAAAGTTACTTTCGATGGAAAACATGTCTTACACAATCTTATCCCCAACTTTTTTTACAACAATCTAATCCCTAACTGATTAATGCACAAGTACCAAAACATACATGCACAACCACGCAAGAGTCAGGGCAGAGATAGCAAACTACACTACAGAGGTTCTTCTTCCAAGCCATCGTTTATATAAGCGAAACACTTCAAAATCAACTGTAATCTATGCACTAATTCTGATTTCCAAATAACCCACATTCTTCATGTCAATTACACAATATGCACCATACCAAATACTCCACAACCATCAGTCAGATGAACAAAATGATAACAGATTGACGTAACACTTACGAGAAAACGCTCCTTCCAAGTGAGCTTCCGGCGCTTTTTGAAATGGGGTGGATCAGGTAAAGAAGAAGGGAAAGCAATCTCCTTTAAATCGTACCTCACGTAATCGTAAACCTTCCTGCAGACCACCTTTATCTTCATTCCCATACTTCAGCTGATCTTTGTTACCATATACCGGCGGTGTTAATCAACAATTCGCCATGAATCCTTCCGGTGTTAGTAACAAGGGCTTTATCCTATTTGTCCCGGGGCCAATTCAGCTGAAGGTGAAGTGTGTTTTCTTTCATTCAGCTCTTTTATCAAACACATAATAGTCAGTAAACTCAATAACACCTTCAATGGCCTTTACGAAAACGATGCCGAACTTTGGCCCATATATTAGTGTAGGATAGCCCAATAAAATGATTGGGCCTTAAGTAAGGTAAGTAAAGGAGTTGGCCGGTGGCAATAAAAATGTTAAAAAAACCATGATAATGGGTTAATGAAGGTTCCGAGAAGTTTGCAGAATAACACTCTGACGATAGCAAATAATTAACGATTTGGATCTATGAATTGCCAAGTAAAGAAAACGCAAATCCTTTCCAGACTGTGTTGTTAAGAAAGCTCCAACAATCAACAGCAGATCGGCTGTCAGATTTGGAAGTATTATTATAATTTGTTTGTCATTGTTACTAATTTTTCTAATAAGTATGCTAAGTACTTTGTTTTATTATAGAAATAATACTACTTCTGTTCCAAAAGAACAATCCACATTGAATTTTGAAATTTATATTCTTTTTGTCCCAAAATTATTTTTCAGTTTGAGATTTTAGTTTTAGAACAATTTGAACTAAAAACGAAAATCCAAACAAAACAATAATTTCAGCAGTACGAAGGGAGTAATATTTTTTTGTATAAATTTTAAAACTCAATGTAGTTTTTTTTATATTTTTTTTTAAGAAAAAAGGGGATAATTTACTTCTTTTGGTCATGTTTATATGGCATAAAATAAACTTTATATAATACTTATATAACTTATCAACATGGTAGGAATGAGGGTTTTTTTTTTTTTTTTGATACAATAAAGGAAGGAGAAAACGATGCCTCCATAGTTAAAATTAAGGTGAGGATCATCTAAATTAATCGGATCATTACCTGTCAAACTTAGTCATTGCACCTCTTTATATATTAGTACTATAGAATAAAATTGTAAAATAAGAAATGAAATGGCAGATTGGAAAATGCAAAATGTTCAAACCCATCGGGAGAATATTTATTATTGGTATCAGATTTTTTCCCCTTCCTAAAAGAAACTAGACATTTTCTCTAGTACACATAGTTTAATCAAGTCAAAATTGTCTACAGTTTTGGGTTTAACTTCCCACCGCAACCTATTAGTTAGTTTTAGTCTCGTTGTCCTAATTTAGCTGTCCTCTTTTGTGGAAAATATATCGAAGATTTTGAAATTAAAGGCCGGCGTTAAAGAAATATAAACAGAGAGAATAAATTAGACGGTATCTGTCGAAGATCCAGGGGAGAGATAAAGATCGCACGTTAAAAGTTAGAAGGTCCCCAAAATAGAAACAAGAAATTTTAACATGTCCGAATCCTCGTCCCTTATTTCCCGCATGTAATAGGAATAAAGATATCCTCCATAAATAAATACTAGTACAATAAAAAGAAGCTTCTCTCACTCTTCTTCCTCCAGAACTCTTCAAAAATCCTCCGCTTCCTCTTGTTATGGATCTTCACCCCCCTAATCTTCTTCCAAAGGCGACACAGAATCCCCGCCAATTCTTACATTTTTTTGCCATCCAGAAAAAGGCGTCATATACCCAATCCCTTCTGTTTTTGCTCCTCTCTTCAGTCTTTTTCTTAACCGTGTTAAGGTCGTTTTATCCCTTATCTTTTCTGGATATCGGTTTCTTGTCCGAAATCTTACGACCAACTCAAACAACTTCGTCAGCACCAAATGTATGTGACTATTCGTTCGGGAAATGGGTTCGGGATGAAAGCTACCCTTCCGGCAAATATACCGAGAATTGCCCCTTCTTGGATCCTGGTTTCCGATGCCAAGCGAGTGGCCGGAACGACACCGATTACCGGAAATGGCGATGGCAACCCTACGGATGCAATCTTCCAAGGTTCGTTTTCTTACTTCTGACAGATTCTTTCCTTTTTTCGTTTTAGACTTTTGGTTGTATGAATGGTGAGTGGGTCACTGTAGAAACATGCATCCATCTCTCTCCTTCAATGAAACCTTCCCACTTTTTCTTCTTTTTGTCGGTGTGAATTTTGGAAAATTCTTTAGCATTTAGGGTAGAAAATTCATTCATTCTTCAGCCTATGTCAGCTTCAGCAATGTGCAAATCCGTTAAAAAAAAGATTTGACATAGGATAAGACAGATTGAAAAACCAGACTGTCTCAGAAGGCCCCATGTTACCTCCAGGTTGGCTGTATTTTAAAACCTTGTCTGCAACGAAAATTGATTCTGCAGATTTAATGCCACCGACTTTCTAGACCGGATCAGGAACGGGCGGGTAGTTTTCGCCGGTGACTCAATTGTTAGGAACCAATGGGAATCCATGCTCTGCATGCTTGCTCAAGGGGTTTCAAACCAATCTACTATTTACGAAGTAAATGGAAGCCCCATAACAAAGCACAGGGGCTTTCTTTCCATGAGGTTTGAGGAGTACAACCTCACAGTTGAGTACTACAGAGTGCCTTTTATGGTGATGCTAGATCGCCCGCCACAGAATGCCACAACAGAAGTACGCGGTGCTATTAAACTCGACAAGCTGCATTGGTATTGTGATAAATGGGTCGGAGCTGATGTCCTCGTATTCAGTCCAAGTCATTGGTGGAACGAAGACAAAACTACAAAACTGTAAGATTTACCTTTCCAGAACCAGGAAAAAGCATACTGTTTTCTTTCTTTTTTTTTCAAAAACCCAAAAATCGTACTGTTGAACATGAAATGAGTTTTACTAGTGATTGCTGTAATACAGGGGTAACTATTTCCAGCAGGGTGGTACTATGAACATGACCATGGATGTTAAAGAGGCTTTTGGAAGATCTGTGAACACGTTAATGTCATGGATAATGCAGAATTTGAACCCAGAACAGAGCCATGTTTTCTACCGTAGCTATTCACCAGTACATTACAGGCAAGTTCAAAGCAGCTACTAGCAGCAGAAATATGAAATACTAGACAGCTTAGCTTAGCTCGCCACATTAAATATCAAGTTCCAGAACTAAAATGTCAATCTTCCTTTTTTGAGCCTATAATGAATGTAGGTCACGGGAAAATTTGTTAATTTTTTACAACAAAAAGTAACAAACGAAAGATTTGGATTCTATGTAACAGGGATGGTACATGGAACGAAGGAGGGCACTGTCACACCTTTGTTGCACCAGAAACAGATCAAACCAAGTTAGAGCCAGAGCCATCAAGCAATCTACAAGTTTCTGAAGCAATCAAGAGAATGAATACCACACTGAAGATCAAGCTGGTAAACATCACTTATTTGACAGAGCTAAGGAAAGATGGCCACCCCTCAAGCCACCGTGAGCCAGGTACTCCAGTTGGTGCTCCACAAGACTGCAGTCACTGGTGCTTACCCGGAGTGCCAGACACATGGAATGAACTTATCTATACCCATTTACAATCTGCAGAGTTCAGAACCAGTTCAAGATTAAGATGAGAATCACCTTGTGGCAAACATGATGAAAGATTTTTCGGCTGATACCTCCACTAGGGTGTTTCCGTGATATTTTCATTGAGGTTCACCTCATCCTCCAACTCTTTCACTTTCTCTAGCTGCCTCAAAAGGTCTAGCCTATCCGGGCCGTAAGTAGAAGGGATCTGCAAGAGAAGGTCATTACAAGCTCAGGTGGGCCATCATCGAGAAACTACCGGAACAGATTGATAGAAGAATACCCACCAGTCCTGGCACATATCTCTGGATTGCAGCCAACATAGCAGCATGGCCAACAGCGGTAACCTGATGCAAAGAAACCAAACTTCAGCAGTTACAAGGCTAAAAGATATCCTTTTTCATCCCCCACCCCAAAGTCATGGCTTGAACATATTATTTCATCGAACAAATCATTGATCATGTGACTACATGAAATTGGCCCATTTTACATAATTCGAATCTCTAATATTGATTGCCGACAATATTGAAATTGAACAGCTCAATAATATTATTTTATTCTCTTTCTCATCATTGACTCCTACATATAAAGAACGAATATAGATGGTGGCGGGAATAATTTATATACCCATTGCAAGCTTAGACAAAACCTTAACAGGAAATTCAAACCGGATTCTGGAAGATCTCGTATGTAGAGTTTGCACTACCACTGATAAATAAGTATTATGAACAAAGACTACTAGCACAGATTATTCTCAAACATGTGGAAAGATTCTTTAAGGCTTACAGGAAGGAGCATAAGAATTCCAATGGGAATCACAGATGCCAAGTCCGTCAACGTTCTTCGAAGTACTTGTTTTTCTTTCTCTGTTAATTCATCCCCAATCACAGATCTCCTAAGCAACCCCAAAGCCGCAACAACATCAATTGCAAGAAGTTGGGTGCCTTGCCACACATCCTGCATGCAGATATAAATTGGTCAACTTTGACAACCACAGAAAAGAAAAAACGCCAGGAAACAGAAGGCTCATGACAAAACCAACAAACAACAAAATATTGCTCATAAACCCCTCTCCAGTGTGGGTAGAATTTCACAGGGAATCACACCATCACTAGTGAAACCAATCTTCATTTTCCACGTTAAGCGTTCATAATAGAAAGAACCCCACCAAACGGCTACTCTACTTCACTTCTATAATACCTATAGCAACACTAACTAGACATGCATAGAACAACGGGATGCATACCGTGCTAGTCTCTTTCAACTTATCCAGTGACTTCTCGATAATGCCATCCTTCTTCTGAGACTTAACCAAGGCAGTGCCTCTATTCCTCTGGATGGAGGTTTCATCGGTAGTCTGAATATCCTCCTAAAGAAGAACGAAATGAATTTCAAATGTCAAGCACCATATTAGTAAACTCGAGCATTTGAAGTGAGACACTGAAACAGATGAGGTTATGCAACAAATGTTTTTTATTCATAGCTATTCTACAACTTTGCAAAAACTGCTAGTCCTAACAACAAAATCTGCCCGAGAAAAAAAAGACAAATGAAACTGAGGTTGGCCTGCCTCAGACAGACTGCGTGCCAAAAGCATCAATTAAATAAGGATTTGAGAGATGACAAAATGAAAATACAGACCACAAAAATGATAACGATGACATGCGGAGTCAATTCCGGGGAATACCTCTTCATAATTAGACGGATCAGCGCTCTTTTGCACCCGTTTCTCCAGTTCCATTAACTCATTCCTCAAGACTTCAAAACGCTGGACTTCATTTGACTCTGAATCAGGCAGGACTATGCTTGAAGTTTTCTGCTCGAAGAATTCCTCATCACGAGCCTAATGAAAGAAGCACAGGGAGCAAATTAGGTAACAGCACCAAGCATTAATCAGTATCTTTGTCACCTGCCTTCTGGAATGGTACAATTAAATGTGCAGCCAAAAAATAGCAAAAAAGAAATACTCAGGATGATCAAGCCCAATTGGATAGATTCACAACATTTTCCTCAAAATAATTCTGTTAGTCAGCAATATCCAGCGAAGCCATAGATCTTCTTTATAAAGACCTCAATTTCTCATTGGCTTCTGAGAGTTGAGAATAGTTTTGAATAAGCAACATTAGAGCAGAACAGGGGAAATCTCAAATGAAGACGTACATTTCCATCAGCCATTGATGATCCAGAGTCATTTGATTTTCTTCGGCGGCTTGTTAGTAGACCCCAAAATCTTCTAGAATCATTGTCCCTAAATTTATCAAGAACTGTAAATCAGCTACTAAGGTGCCATGAAATAAAATTTAAGAAGTGACTTGACTCGGGAAGTAGTAAACCTGGTGCTACCATCCTTATTCATACTAGCTGTACTGCTGTTTTTCCCTCTTGAATGCTGCCTCTTATTGCCAGCAGATGATGATTCACTAACATCACCTCCCTGCATAAAAGAAAATCACAAGACACTTTCTTGACGTCCGAGTTATAAGAGTAGCAATCAAGCAATCAAAAAAAAAAAACAAAAACAAAAAAAAAAACAAAACAAAAACAAAAAAGGATCACACAACATTAACACCAAAATAAATGAATATGAAAAGGCAGTAGCATGACATTATCAGGGAATGCATGAATAATACCAAAGCATCAAACCTCAGGTCAATCAGAAACCTTTAGTTTCCACCAGAAAGACTTGTGGAAGATTTATCATCCATTCCAGGTAAGTTAAACAGAAAGGAAGACATCTTATAGTTATAATAAAGGGATAAGGACAATTTGCCCCTCGAGTTATGTGCCAAAGACTAATACCCCGAGTTTTTCAAAAGGACAAAAACCCCCCTTGACCGCCTCAAACTCAAAGTCAACTGTCCAAAAATGTAAAAAGACGAAAAAACCGTAATGACTAACATTTCCAGCAAGGAAAATAAAAAGATTAAATTGAGAAAACTAGTAGCTCTAATCATATCTCCATGGAACTGCTACTACCTCCTTCACCATGTATAAAATAAGATACACATATAATTACTCGTCTCACCTTATAATTAAGTTGGTTTTTTTTTTTTTTAATCTTTTGATGAAAAAACTCAATCTTGCAATCCAAGATATTCTTTAACAAAAAAATAAGAAATTTTTCTTGATATATGAAATCATGCTAGGATACTAGAAGTGGAAGAGGACAAAAAAGTGGTGAGAGGATTCTAAAAAAAATAGTTATAAGGGTATTTTTTTTGGATAGTTAAGATTTTTTATTATGGTAATTGTGACGGGTATTTTTTGACTTTATATACTTTAATTTGCTTACATCATAGACAATTATTCACTGAAAATGGTGCATAAGGGGTATTTTGTCGTTGGCTAGCGGTCAAGGGGGATTTTTGTCCTTTTGAAAAGACTCGAGGGGTATTAGTCTTTGGGACATAACTCGAGGGGCAAATTGTCCTTATCCAGATTTAAATCTATGGTACGCTTTCTGGTCTGTGGTATATGCCAGTTGACTCATTATCAAGACATAAGTTTGACACTATGTCAGGAAAAAAGCAAAGGACTTAAAAAATATGCTTGAAAACAACACTTCAGAGAAATGTGAAAAGCTCACAAATTCAATAAGGATTTCCTGGTACCTAATAGTTTGAAGATCACCAAGACATTTCTAGACCTATAGCCAATCTCAATAAGCATAAGAGCTCTAACTTCATTAGACCTTAGTTTCATGTCTAAAATGACACAGGATAAAGAGTCAAGCAAATCATTAGGGAAGGCATGTGGTAACTCTTACACCCAAACCACAAAAACAAGACATAAAATAAAAATACCACCATAGAAAAGAAAGAAAGAAGACCAGGTTTAGGAATAACCCACTGAACAGAAGCCTCATACAAAAGAAAGAAAGAAAATCAGGTTTAGGAATAACCCGCTGCAAGGAAGCTTCTTTGGCTCTAAAAGATGCTTCAAGAAACTCAGCCTCTTTCTTAATCCGCCTTATCCGCTCAAGGTCAGAACAAGCAGCTTGAAGTTGCTCCTTTCCAGAACTACTCGACACATGAAGTTCTTGTAGTAATCCTTCCAGTCTTCTAAGGGCTTCTTCAACACTCTCTAAAGCCTAAAGAAAAGCCAATCCACATGATCAGCAAATACTCCATAATATTCGCATAATCTAACAAGCTTAAACGGAGCAAATCATAACAACGATAGAAACTAGCATCAACAGACTTAGTAGCCAGCAAGATCCTCAGCACAAAAAGCATGATTGAAAAAGGTTTCAAAGCTTGCCCTCGTTCATGAAACGAGAAAAGCAACACATCTGAGACAGATCCGAAGATTTAGAATAAGTGTCAAGACTGTGAATCCAGAGGAATGAGATGAACTGGCTTGTACAAATGAAAATGCTACCTTGGTGTCTTTCTATATTTTTTCGATGATAAAGATCCCTCATTTTATATTTTCATTCTACACCAACAAATGAAAAAGGAAATGTCCAATTCAAAATAGTTGGCCTGAATCCCATCTCTGGATAAAGGATAAGTGTTTTATTAAGTCAAGAGGCGCACATTTCATGTCGCTAATAGCCTTCAGTTATGGATAGCAAGAGATAGTTGTCACTGAAATCTATATCCAACCTAGAAAAATGAATATTATGTCTCACAAAACTATCCATCAATTATGAAAAAATCAGGTATATTATAACAGGATCTTAAGAGATGAAAATACCTTATTAAAAGAATCAGGATTTTCCCGCTCAGCTGGTGTATAAGTTCCAGATTTGCTCCTGCACATTATCTTAATATTAAATCAACAGCCTGGTTTTTGCCTCAGATTGTCTCTCAGTTTGTAATTGATTCTTCAGAAATCAACAACTAAACACAACTCTAGGGTGGACATCAAGAGGAAGGTTTAGAATCTGACATGTCATCCACAGAAAGAAAAAAAACAAAAAAGAAAAGAAACACGCATTTTGGAATTTCATGAGTCAATGCAGCACTAGCATGACAACTTAGGTAGAGAGTTTCTGGTTGAAAATTGGGTATCTCAGTGTCAAAGATTTCATTATAAGTATCATACCAGACGAATGAACTGCAAACAGGTAAGTAAGGAACACAATAAGCAAGTAAATGAAAATTAAAAAGATGGAGAAAATCAACATAAACTCACTAACATTTCCATTCCAAGTTCTTCCACACACATCTTCAACTTTTGATGCCTGAAACATTGGGAAAACATGTTTGGTATAACATTTATCAAATTTACAGTTTAGATTCAGCCAGAACACTTAAGTTTTTTACAAAAACAATTACCCTTTGGACAGGAAGTTAGCTGCCTTAATGTTAGAAGGATTTTCTAGCCATTTACTGTATTTGATGAAACTAGAGATCCAATGAGAGCAAACATCCAAAACTATAGCAATAGCTTCAGGATTTGGAGGGATTTCTTCTGTTTTCTTATGCCCAAAACTTTGACTCAAAGTCCTGCTGCTTCCAGGATAAAAGGGAAGCCAATCAAGCTCCTCAGAAACTACCTGCAAGAGCGGCAAATATTAATTAGGTTAAGTCAAACTCAAACAAACCCTGAATATACAATAACATTACATCCTAACCTCCACATACAGTTGATAAGAACTTATAGATGACAGCTGGGGATAAAATAAAACCCCACCTCCAATTAGATACCTGACATGCAGAAAAAAAAAAAAAATAATTAATGCTTATCACAAAACTTCAACATCATGAGCAAATCTGTATTAAGATTACCTTATAAGTGCTTCAATAGGTCCATCTGTGGATTTAAATCCATTTGCAGAAAGAAAAGCCTGAGTGCTTCTTCCCAATGCAGTGAAGAATCCAATTATAGCCAAATCCCTCTCTAATACCTAAAAAATGAATAGGACAACCATTATTAGAACAAAAAGAAAAACAGGACAATCCCTTCCAACAATACCCTCAAATTTTAATAAAGCAATAAGCATTGTTTTAAATTTTATCTTGCAGAAACTGGAAAAGCACAAGCAAAAATCCTGTATCTACCACTCAAAAACCTTAAACCCTTCAAACCAATAGAGTGACAATCAGAGACGTAATTCATTCATGTTTGGAGAACGCCTCATCTCTAACCTCAATGCTTTCGGACGTGGTGAGTTTAGACCATATTCTCTCTCTGTCAATAGCCTTCTGAAGCTGCTTCTGCACAAAACCCACCCAGAAAATAACCTCCTCAGTGCATCCATCACGATTTACTCTACATGTAGCCGCACGAGGACCAAAATGGACCAGAAACTCTCTTCTTAAACCAATATCCTTCACAGACTCGTAAGCTTTCCGGATAGGAACAAATTCAACCAACATGTCCATTAGTCTACCAGTAGTGTCTGAGAATATGGAAAAGAACTGTGGACAAGAGATTTTAGTAGGCCCAAGTTTTGTTATTGCAGCAATGCAACTAAGTGCGAGTATGAGCAGTGACAAATCACTTGAGTTGCCCGAAACACCAAACCTGAAACCCAAAAAACGAAGAAAAGACAAAGTGGCATCAAGCAATGCATGTGCAGGCGTATGTGCTTCCACACAATGCACTAAACTAACTACTTACACAGAAGTTGCAGCAGCAAACCGTTGGTCCTTTTCAAAATAATTGACAAAATTAGTCACAGCTCCAGGAACTTGATTCGTCCAAAACCAGTCATAAACTTCAGGTTGTTTGACTGATAGTTTCTCATTGATTACAGTCTCCAACGGAGCAGATTGTCTTGATAAACTGCATCACAATGATGCCATTACAAAATAATATAACATCCATAAATGAAAAAGTAAGACACACATGAGGAAAGTATTACTCTGCAAACAACTCGTACAAGAAACAGATGTATCAAATACACACATGCATCACAGATAACTGCCCCCCCTGATTTTCTTCGTATACAACTCCTAAAACAGATTATCAACTAGAAACCCCCCCCCCCTCTCCCTCTTCCCTGTTAACAAAGTTATCATCCTAAGGGGACTTCGGTTTCCCGAGCTATCTGGTTAGATCATTTGCTCCTTTTTTTAAAAAAAAAGTTCCACATATTTCGTCACACAAATAGATCATCGACATCAGCAATTTTCAGAGACAATTTTGTAGTTTTGCAATCTCTGCGTAAACCTTTAATTTAGGTCCAATGGCTAACTGTTTGCCTGGCAAAATCAGCAGGACAAAAATGCTACGTATAAATTTAAAAATAACGAAGCAAATTGTGCTGCTAGTTTTGTACCTCCTTTGAACAAACACATTTATATCTCTGTCCCTTCGTTCTCCTCGGGATGAGATCTCGCATGCAGCTTTCAGTAAAGAATACACCGAAGCCTGAAGAAGTTTATGAACTTTTATCAAACCTAGACAATTATACAACCAACAAAAGGTGCCGAAGAGGCATGGATAAATATTTACGATCACAAAAGACACCAATCATGTGCTGACATAAGTGATTCAAGCACCCTCAGATAAGCAATAGATTTTGAATGCAGCTAAGTATTTGCAAATCATTCCTAGAGCTGCTACGCTGATAGATACAATTGATACCGATAAAAAAGGACTCAAAACATATTTCTGTTAGTATGGGAAAGATAATTTGTTTTTAAAATATGAAGAAATCTAAAAGGACTATTCAACAAGTACCTGATAAGATAGCTCCTTTATCCAAGCAGTTTTGTCAACACCAATCCATGCTGTTGAGAACCAAGAGATTTTTGATAACGAGCTTTGTTCTCTAAGTGCAAGCTCAAAAACTCTAGCTGCATCATACAGTAACTGGACCAGGCCAATACTATTGTCTTCTGCTTGTAATGGCTCATCAAGCTTAACTCTCATCCCCCCACCCTCACTACTAGTACTCGCTCGAGGACTGCCATTAACAGTCACCCCTTCATCAGCAGAAGCACGAGGTATTAAAAATTTATTTCTTCTAAATTTGCAGAAAATTACACTAGGTTTTTTACAATTCGAGATGCCACAGCTAAAACTGAGATTGCAATCATCCAACAAAGAGAGCCTCAAACGATGTCTTTTCTTTCCATAGCGCTGGTGAAGCCGTAGATGATTCAACCCCACAACCTTGCTGCTGACAGCATAAATTCTAGTTGGTTTAATTGAAAGCCACGGATCTGGACAGCTGAAAGAGAACATCGATGAAGATGTCATTATGGACACAATAATCTACACAATACTATCAACTCAGCAATAATAGTAACGATATCATTTTTGTCCACATTTCTTCCTCATTAGCATGAGTATGCATGAGCTTCAAACCCACTTTCAGCTCAGTGATGGGTTAGATGTTTTTCAACCGAGTTTAAAGCATGCCTAACATGAATTTCATGGATTGCGGACTTTCCACAGCATATAAAGAACATAGAGAACACACGATCAAGTGAATACGTTCCAACAGAATTAACTTTCAATCCCCGAAAAAACTAAATATCGATTAAATTCCACGAGCAATTAGGACCATAAAAATCAACCACAAATTCATTAAAATACCCTGAGGCATTTCAACAAGTTAGAAAACTGTTATACAAGATTATAACAATCACATTCCACCCATTCCGATGATAAACGATGTAAGAACTTAAATTAAGTCATTCATAATTAATAAGGGTAAATAGAAACCCTATCATTTTCCCAACACTACTACTACTACTTCTACCAACTGGAGCTTACATCATGCGAACTAAAATTCAAAGATAAACACAAATTAAGAAATAATTAGTATGAAACTAGGTTTGCCTGAGGTAAAGCTTATACACGAGCAATACAAATTTTGGGGAAAAAAAAGGAAACCTAAATGAAGGGATAATTAAGAGCTGACCTTGCGGAAACAAGTTTCTGATGGGGCAACTTGAGTGACATGGGATTAAAGATTGATCAAAGATTAAACTGAAATCCGATTGACGATGAATTTCTTGACGATCAAATTCTTTCTGAGAAGAATGCAATGAATGTATGGTCAGTAATTCCCAGGAGAAAAAAAAAAAATTGGTGGGAAAAGGTAGTTCGTGATGGGGGAAAAACACAGAGTTGAGGAGGAGGAGTATTCGCGAGCGAAAGCGAATGTTGACGTGGCCGGGACTGGAGGGGCTTTATCCGGATACGTGGTGAACCGATCCATCACAAAAAAGAGGGAGAAATTAATGATGACACGGATTTAATTTTATTTTTTAATTCATCTTGTATCACTCTTCTTTAAAAAATAAAAAAAAATCATTCGGATCTCACTTAAATGTTGATAAAACCACCTACCAAACTGTTTGTGTTGTAATTTCTTTTTCATATATATATATATATATATATATATATATATATATATATATACACTGAGGAATCTTTTGCTTGAGACTAGATGCGCCTCTCAGGTGAGACAGACAGTCAAAAGATAATTTCTGTAGTACTAGGGTTCGGGGGTGCTGACAAATTATGTAGCCCCAAGTTCAGGTTGAAACTTAATTTGGCTAAGGAGTTTGTTACTTCGTTCCCCTCCCGTCTTATAAACAAAAAATCGATTTGCCATTGCAAGGAAGTTAGTAATTTGATTCGACGGAGGAAGTTGCTGAAGGCAAAAGGCATGGTCTCATTCGATATGTGTGTTTATGACGTTGGCACTATCCAATTGCAATTAGACTCTTTTGAATCCTAGTTGCCAAGTTATTTTCAAGCCAAAGAATACGCCCCAAAATTCAGCTTCTAAAATAGAACACGAACCCAACTTGGCCGAAAACCCCTAAATCCAGTGCCCTTCATAGTTCCTTAAGACACCTCCTGCAGCTGCGATGTTCGAGGCAACACAAACTGCACCATTTGAATTTATCCATACCCACTGCCAAGGTGGAGGTTTCCAAATTGGTTCCAGGATTGAAGAAAGAACATGGCGAAGTTTAGGGAGCTTATGTAGGTAGGTTCGAGTGACCTTATTGGTTACAGCATGTATGGAGAAGGACAGGCTTCTTGAAGCATAGCATCCTAACTCGTCTGCTATTAAATTCCTATCTCGTTTATTCTTTTATGCTCCTTCCAGTCTTAATTTTCATTTAGTATATTTTGTAATTAAAAATAAAACTTTAAAAATGTTTTTTTGCAGTTATTATGTTTTTTTAATTATTATAAAATATTTTTAAAATTTTATTTTCAATTAGAATAATATACTAAATGAAACTTATTACAAATCAAAATGTCCTATAATAAAAGACGGGGGAAGTTTTTTTTAAGATGTATTATTTTATTTTTAACAGCACAATGGGCACTGTATTTTCTTATGTCAATAACTAAAATTTACATTTAAAACATGGGAGTTTATTATTCAATCCGTCCTAGAATGGTTATATTATTTGAAGTTTCATTTTAATTCTAAAAGTAAGTTCAATCTGGAGATTCATTTTGAAACGAATGGAATATTAAGAATAAAACTGATGATAAAGTCGTTGCTATCAAGATGTATTAGCAAAGAATGGTTGACTAGATTGAAACGTGAACCATGAACAATCTAATTTTAAGAAAGATTATGTGACTTTCGTTAGATATCAAAATTTTGTTATGGCATAATACCATATTTATTCATAATATCATATTTTGAATATCACAATATGTACGGACAATCAATAGAAAATCGTCGGGTTCTCATTTCTTTGCAGTTTTCCAGTCTAGTCTCTTCTTCTAAAATCTTAACTACAAAACAGAAAATTATAGTAATAGAATAAAATTTGATTATGAATGGTCAAATTTAAGGTGTTTCGTTAATTTCTAAAAATTAGTTTGGTAATCTGATTCGTGCTTGCTCAAACTTTATTTGGGAGTGTACAACATAGTACTTTTCCTCTATGTCAAGCAAGAATAAAAAGTACCGTTCTAATGGTGAAAGCATAAGAAAGTATAAACCTAGCTTTACTGAACACTTCAGTCTATGTTATCTAACAACAATTAGATTTTCCTATCCTATCGATGTGTACAACATCATAGGTATGAACTGACAAGATAAAAGAAAGAAGTGCCAGAACTACTGGAAAAATAAAAAAAGTTGTGAACTGATGCTACTTGCACTGCCACTAGAAGGATGCTATGCTTGAGCAACATAACTTCTAAAATGTTCAACTATACAAATCATCCTCATCAGCAGCAACAACAGAGGTTGCAAATAGGTCAGATGCAGCAGTTGCCCCAGTTGCAGACCTAGCTAATCGGAACTCACATCTGCTGATGGTCAACAAAACAATCATGCTTGAAAAAAATCTAAGATTTTTGTTGATATATCCTCTCTTTGTTTAACTTTTAAAAAACGTGTTGTCAATCCGAATTTGCTGTTAGAAAATTCTCTTATTGTTTGCGTAAGAGAAAGGATAGAGGAAGTCATGGCTGCTGCTGGAAGGGTTGAGTAAATTCAAGGATCAAGTTGCACTCCCAGTAAAAGAAAGGACCCAATTCCATAATTTTAATCAGACGACTTAAATGCACGAACCACAAACTACCAGGACTAACTTGCATAGAAGAAAATTAGTGTGACTGATTTGAAAATTTCACAAATTAGAAGGGCTAAAACTGAAAAAATCTGCCCAAAATTGGGCACCACAATTTGCAAAACAAAAAAAAAATAAAAAATAAAAATAAAAATAAATTAAAAAGTGCAGGATAGAAATAAGTCCCTAAACCAAGGACTCATGATAATTAATTCATTCCAGACTGAGGAGACACTGAAAAATTATGTCATGCTGAAACTACGCTATCATCGCACTTTCAACTGAGGATTGGGTTTCCAATCTAAAGATATGGAGACTTTGTTTTTTATCTGCCTCTTTCGATTGACTAACTTGCAATTGGACTGGGAAATGTCGATCAGAAACCCAATTTCTCAACTGGTTATAAATAATGCAAATCGGGTATGGACTCTGGATCTAACAAAGATCTTCTGGCACATTGACTAAGAAGTTTATATTGAACCAATTTGCAAGAATGAGGTCATAATTGGTTCATAAGTTAGAACTCTAGAAGTTCATCTACGTATGGAATTATGGATTGACTAACCGTCCATACGTACTACTACTACTTATTTGCATCACCGGGTTTGCTGCTATAATATTAAACTATTCCTGATCTTTTTTGCGTTTGATTTACGTAATTGCACTTTGAATGTTAAGCGTCACTTTCATTGCTAAACCCATTGACTTTTTTGGAGATAAAAATTCCAGACGTACACAATCAAGTAGTAGTATATGATCAGTTAGAATAGTAGTAATATGTAGTTGTCAAATTAAGAGTAAAGAAATAACTGGAACTCTTTCCGTACCGAGTAGTTGGCTTTTCCTTTTTCTTGGATAGTAGTATTACTTCCGTTCCAAATAAATAATTCACATTGAGTTTTTAAATTTATATTAAAAACAGTACAAAACTCAAAACTCAATATGAACTATTTTTGTAAGAGAGAGAGAATATAACTTAATCATGATTTTTTTCCCCCGATAATTGGTTTCTTTGACCTAAGTATTCGGTCCTGAATCCCCATCTCATGAACATTAGTACTAGGACCAGGTCTCATCAAGAGTACATGATGTGAGTAAATTATAACAGCATACATCAAAGCTGTATGCATACGACTTAATTAATTTATATGCAATTCACGAGTTGCTTTCCAGGTAGAAGGTCTAGAATGAGATCTGTTATTCTTGTTTTTGTGTTAATATGTCTCATTAGCGAAAATGACATATTTTTTTAATATTAAAATTTATGAGTTTTAAATGATTTATAATTGTATATACTCCCTCCGTCCCATAATTATTATCTAGTTTTAAGTTATCATTTTTAATTTAAATTGTACTAAAAATAAAATTTTAAACTGAATAATAATTTTGGGACAGAGGGAGTAGTATTTTGATGAATAAAACGAAAGTTGGTGATATTCGGATTCTGGAAAAAGGGGTCTTGTTATTTCACGCAGTCTACATCAAATGGTAACTCAATATCGAAGGCTTAACTATTATGAAGAATCTTGTTTAGATCCAATATTTTCACATTTTCTTATGTCTATTGCTATTAATAACTTTTTTATTAAGTATATCATCTACCTTGAAATGATTATCCGTCTTATATTTGTATTTTTAGTTGAAACTCTATTAAAATTTAAATATTTAAATTGAACAATCAACTTAGAAGAGAGAGAGAGTATAATATATACACTTTATCAATTTATAATTTATTTGTTGCAATTTCCAAGTTAATTTCCATAACAAAACCAAACTTTAAATTGTTGACAGTATAAGCCTTTCACCGTATGATTTGATATTGTCATTTGTAAGTAGCCTAGTATGAGTTAAAATATGTCCATCTCCTCATCCATCATAGTTGCACCTGATGTTACAAACTGAAAATGACAATATATATATATATATTACAAATTTCCAAGAATCTGCTTGGAGATTAATTTCAGCTTGCTGTTTGTTACATGTACTTTCTCGGTAATATTTAAATTTATTACTGTGTTGTAGTAGTTTAAACATTTTATTCTTTTTTTTTTTGAAAAAAAAAACAATTCAAGTAATGCAAATGTATGTAAGTACTAACCTCGAACTAAATAAGGATAGAAATACTTAAAAATCGTATGATAGTAATACTATTCTCTCCGTCCCTTAAAAATAGTTGCACTGATTTGTATAATTTTAATTTATAATGTGAATTATTTTATTGTGAACGGAGTAATAAATATATGATCAAAACTTTAAATACTCAAGTGTTCGCATATAATAAACAACAGATGTATATGGTTTCTCTCTGCATTTTTTAGATGTAATCTGGCTTTGTAATTACGGTTAAATCACATATATGTCCTTTTTTGGGGTCTAAAAAAATCTTTAATAAAAAAGAAAAAAAAAAGAAAGTGAGATGGTGACTGAATTATATCTTTCTGTTTCAGTATGTAGTAATGAATTATTTTATGTTAGTCCGTCTTTTATTCACGACCTCACTGATAAATGAAAAATAACATATCCTTTTCAACCGAATTAAATTTAAATTGACAAAATTTGGACTTTTTACTCCTGGCCCTTGCTTGCTCTCGTAATCAGTAGACAATATGGATGGTCCCTCTCAACCACAAAATAAAATAACCCTAATTAAAAATGGATATCAAGGGGATAAGGGGACTTTTGGCGAGAAATTGATTAGTATCAGTTAATCATATCTACCGGGAAGCTAACTATGCGATCGACTGTCTTGCAAGGATGGCGTCCGAATATAACTGGGCTGTTAGGCTTTTGTCTAACCCTTCCGCACTAGTCACTCAATGGCGACGCAACGATGTAATTGGGGTATCTTATCCGCGCAACGTATTAATATAAGGCGATTGCCTCCCCTTTTGTACCAAAAAAAAAAATAAAAAAAAATCAGTGCAATAGTTTAAAGTTTAACGTGATCAGCAATTTTTTTGCTTTTCGCTCTTTTCCTTTTTTTTTTTTCTTTCTTTTTTCTTTTTTCTCGTTTGAAAACGACGTCATTAATTAAAAATTTAATCAAGACGACGAAACCCCGTCAGCGGTAAGTTTGTAGTCATCATCAAATCAATAACTAATATTAAATCTGATTATCATTTTATTTGTCAAATTATTTAGAAACTGAAAGCCTGTAACACACGAAAGGATATCCTTAAAGGGTCGGTAATAAGAAATGAAATCTAATAAGTCTACAACTTCAATTCAACACATTTAAATCGAAAGTTGCACAATTGGGGCATTAATTTATATGCTCAAAGAACAAGAGCATGTATTAACTTAATTCGATTAAGATGTCGATCATTTTACGTTTTTTTGTAAGGACATATAACTTGCTGAAACGTTAAATAATTAATTTTAAGATTTTTTTAAAACCAATTATGTAAAAGTCTGGAAAAATAATAATTTAGGGTCATGCCATGTTCATATTCTACTTTAATTAACTAAAACAAGACAATAAAAATGACTATTAAAATTAAATCGTGATAAATTTTATACTGTATTCATTAAAATTAGCTTTCCTCAATCTCCTTAGTCCATCCCCGTAATCCATCACTCTTATGATTCTCGAGGAACAAGTCTATGTGCGAGCGAATCGAAGCATGAGAACTACGTCAAATTTTCCGAGCTAACAATTGTTACCAAAAAAATGATATTCCCTCCGTTCCATAATTATTGTCCAGTTTGAGTTTTCATTTCTAGTTCAAATTGTACTAAAAGTGAAATCTCAAATTGGACAATAATTTTGGGACAGAGGGAGTATAATAACTCCGATCTTGAAGAGGTCCCTTTTTGTTTTGCATGCTTATGTGGCCAGGACATGCAGAGTTGCAGACTACCGTTGAAGAATCTCCCTTAACATTTCAAAAAGAAGACAATAACATTGCAGTAATCAAAACAAAAATTAAAAAAAAAAAATGGAGAGGAAGAAAAAAGGTCTGTGAATTTTTTCGCTTCTTCCATGAGAAGAAACAAATGAAAACGCGGAGTAGAGTGGTAGGTAGCCAATGAGTATAAACAATCTAGAATGAAGAAGCATTCTTAATTTAATTAAAATGACTGCATATATAGGATCGAATCAATTTGAGACTTTTCTTTTGTGTGTGTGTGTGTGTGTTTTTTGATTGTAATTGGAAAACCCTTACCCAACATGATGATTACTATAGGTAGCTAAGATTTGTTGAAATTTTAAACGAAACGCAAAAATATTGGCGGATTCAAAAGAACTATAATTCGATGTGCTACAGTTGTCTATTGACAGGGCGCCATTGGACTGGTTAGAAATATAGAATGCATAAGAGACTCGTTCGAACCTGAGACTAATACGAATTTAATCTCTCTTTTGAAACATTCGTATCAATTTGGCACTACTTTTTCAAAGAACTCCATGGATCTTTTACATTCACTATTTTAAAATTTTAATGCTTGTTTCAACATCGGTAGCTATGTCTCATTAATTGTTCTAGAATATACTACTAGTAAGGAGTATTTAAAATGATTTGAATGATAGAATTAAAGTTACAAAGTTATACCTAAGAAATTAATGCACAATGTTTATATATATACGTTCTCTCGATTTTAAATGTAACTCGCTTTAAAAGTCATGTTGTAGGTATTGTTTATTATAAATCGTTTTATAATTTCAATGTCGTATTAATCATCTAGTATCCAATTATACACCCGTAATGAATCCCTATTAATGATGCTGATACAAACAATAGATTGAGGGTATGTATGAATTAACTGCCAAGTAATTGGCTTTTTAGAGATTAAGTATACATGCAATAGTACTCCTAATGTTTTTTAAGAAAGACGCGAGTTAAGTTGATAGAGTTTTTCCCAGCAAGCAATTTCCATCTTCAAAACATTGAAACCAAATACTACTCCCTCCATTTTGAAATATATATCGTTTTAGAATTTAGTGAATTTTTTTTTAAATATATGTCATTTTCACATATCAAAGCATATTTGACCATTTTTTACCAATATTATCCTTACATTGGAAATGAAACAGTATTTATAATGAATTTCTATTGGTTTTTGATGAATTATATAGATAATAAATAAGTTTATTTTTATATTTTAACTCCATTAATTAATGTTTTCTTGATTTTGATGATTTCTCTAGAAAGACATATAATAAAAAAAAATGGAGAGAGTAATATGTTGGTCAATTGCACGCAGGCTAAAGGCTCTTATTTATTTATTTATTTTTTGATTCAAAGGCTAAAGGCTCTTAGAGTGTTAGACATCTAATTGGTAAGGGACGATATGGATTTTTTTTCCCGATATTTTGATACAGAAGTGATATAACAACGATATATAAATAAACCGTAAAATAAATAAAATATTAATAGAAAGGGATTTGGATTAGATTTTAGTGATATCATAGAGAAACACACAACTTGTTATACTAAATTAAAAGAATTCAGTCTTGGCCATTTGCGTACTAAAAAAAAGAAATATGAAACGGCCGTAATAGTAAGAAAATGACGGGCTGTAGATGGAAGAAAATCACAAAAATTAGTGATCAGCATAAAACGTATTTCAAGTCCATTAACAAGAGAGAGGTAGGCGTGCGTGAGTTTGGATTCACACTTTAATTTTTGACAGCAATTCTCTCATCCCCAAAATTAATTAGTATTAATTAATTAAGGTTCATTGAATAATCCAGCTTAATAAACATACACAATAAAATTACTGTCTAATACTAGTTTGGTCAAAAAGAAATCAGAAATTGCAGAAATATGACGTTACCCAAGTATCTACCCCAGCGGTAAGTCAAGCGCACTCTCAAGTCTCAAACACTATATATATAGTCGTCATCAGTCCTCCATTTTGTTCAACTCATCATTTCAGAGACTCTTTAGCCTCTCTGAAATTCCTCTTCCAGGATCCATCATCATTTTTCATCTTTCTTTTTTGCTGATTTCTTTCCCTTACGCTTATTGAAAACCCCAATTAGTAGCACCGGGGGACAGAAAAGAAAACCCACCCAACAAAATATTCAAGTTTCTCCGTCGTTGACTTACAGTCAAACTTCCACCATGGTAGTAAAAGATGAAGCCGTTTCCAATACCACTGGAAACTTTTCAGCTTTGCATCCGGACATCATAGACGCTCACATCCTCACCCGCCTTGATGGGCCCAGCCTCGCCACCGCCAGCTGTTCCTCCGCCACACTCCGCCACCTCTCCTCCCGGCAACAGCTATGGACCCACGTTTGCCATTCCACCTGGCCCTCCACCACCGCTCCCCGCGTTTCCCGCCTCATTTCTACATTCCCCGACGGCGGGCCCCGCGCTTTCTTCGCCCAATCGTTTCCCCTCCCTCTCTCGGAACCCGTCGGGCCCGACACTTGTGCTTCATCATCGGATTCGCCGTCCGAATTAATCTCAGCCGTTGATGTTCATTACAGGGACGAATTAATCTTCTCGAAGGTACAAGAAACAGAGACGGTAACCGGCTGGTTCCGGTGTTCACCTTTTAGAATTGACCTGTTGGAGCCGAAAGACGTCATCCCTACGTCAATCCGGCATCCGGAGGGAGAAGACACGTGTTCCAATCTGATGGAAGACATCGTTTTAAGCTGGATCGTGATCGACCCGGTAAGCCACCGGGCCGTGAATCTATCCTCCCACAAGCCCGTCTCCGTTCAGCGCCACTGGTTGACCGGAGAAGTTCAGGTCCGTTTCGCTTCAATCCTTCCGGCCCAGAATCAAAAGAAGGGACCCATTAGGACAGCCAAAGGAGATGTCCAGTGCGCGATAATGATGACGTGTGGTAAATCAGAAGGAGGAGATATGCAGGTGAAGGAAGTGTGCATGGAGATGGAGAATATGGATGGGATGCATTTGAACGGGAAGGACAGTTTGGTCATTCTGGATAGAGCCTTGAAGGGTAAAAGGGGAAAATCAATGAACAAGGAGGAGGAAGGGCGGAGGAGGTATGAAGAGTATGTTGAAATGAAGAAGGAGAGGAAAGAGAGAAAGCTGAGAACCGAAGGGGCATTGGATGTCTTTTGCGTGGCCTTTGGGGTGTTAGTTTTTTTGGGTTTTTGGGGCTTTGTTTGGTATAGATAGAGTCATAATCGATAATTTTGCGTTTCATCATTTTATTCTAAAAGAAAAAAGGGCAGAACAAATTGTACAAAACAGGGAAATTATAAAAGCTAATTAAACAGTTTTCATTAGGGGAAAGAAATATTTGAAAAAATAATCTTTAGCATTTAGTTTATAGTTTATACTACTACCACACGCTTCGAATAAAAAAGTCTTGAATTATAAAAAAGGAATATTTATTATCCAAATTTGACTAAGCACAGTTAAGTTGCCAACTCTTTAATGTCAGCTTTTCTTCAAGTAAAAAGAATCTGGAAGAACAACTGCAACGAATTTTCAGACCAAATTCCAGATTGTGCAGTATATATTTTTAGTAGGGTACGTAGTTTCCAGATTGATAGTTGAAACGAATTTGTCAGAGAAGCCGTCCTTTGACAGTTAAGAATTAAGATGTAGTAATGAAAGATGTACTGCTATGAAAAAGCAGAAAAAAAATGTACTGGGTAATAGACTAACAATCGAAGAAAGCGGCAAGTTTTAAATCAATCATTGAAGTTGAATGCTATATACTTATATCATGTTGAGAGGTAGGAAAATGTCAATTTCTTATGTGGGAAAGGATACGGTACGGGTCCTTGTGGTTTTTTATTTTATTTTTTCCTTATCTTTGATTTTTATTTTTATATTATATTTTCTGTGTCTCAAAATAATTATCCATTTTGAGATTTCAGTATAATTTGAACTAAAAATAAAAATTCAAATTGGACAATAATTTCAGGACGGAAGAAGTAAAAAAAAAAGGGTTTTTGGACGCGGGTTCGGTAGGATCTCACTCGAATAATTTGATGCATGAAGTGAGAGTTCATGAGCTGAGATTCTGCAGTTTGGTCTTTTATGAACGTCCATTTCGGAAGAAAAAGTGTGAAGGGTCACAAATCAAAATTAATTTATTACGATGAATCAATCAAAATCACATCTAGATGCATGGCGATAAAAGAGGCATATGGTTTCAAGTTTAAAAAGTTTGCAACTTACGCCAAACCTAGCTTAATTCACTCCGACCAAATTAGTAACGAGTAACATCAATTCCTTTCTTTCCAATCTAACTAAATGGACCTTGAATCATCTTCAAATATGATGCAAACTGCCTAGATACGATAGAAAAAACGAGAATAAAAAGACGGAATAACCATAATTTGTAAACTTGTAGAACATGGGATGCTTCAAAAGATGGTTGACATAATGGGACTGCTAAGTGCCACTTTTATATGACACTAATTTGTAAGAAGAAATATCGTTTCTCATCATTAATATAGTGTAAAAAGATATAGTTAATTATATTTTGATCTTACTATCACTGTTTGAATGAATTGTTACGTGTTAACAACTTCTTTCGTCACATAGGGTCAGCATGAAAGGATGATTTTACTGGTCAGCATAACTGCGTAACTAGTGAGTTATAAGTTATTCATTACGGCAGTGTATTTATAACTAATCTTTCCCTATAGTCTAACCTCTACGTCTATGTCTCTGTTAAGTGTTAATAATATCATTTCTTCAGTGTTGTCCATTATATTAGTTAGTTAGGTACTATACCGGATTATTAAGCAGGTTTCAGAATGGGTTTTGGCGCTGAAAAAAGTTGGTACGTAATTAATTAACTTTGCGTTCCTTGTAAGATTTCAGAGGGAAAAATGGGGAGCAAAACTATAATTATTAGTTGAGTTTATATGAGGGAGACTTTTAGAGAAGAAACTCAGTACTATAATTAAAAGGCTGGGGACCAAAGCAAATAGAAAGCCATTAGCCTTGATTTGATCGGTTGGTCTGCAAAACAGGAATTCTCATGTGAATTGTACTGTTTCTCAGTATATATCTCCTCCACCAAAATGATCGGTCTTTAATTATTAGCATCATTAATTCCATAGTTTCTGAACAGTGCAGCCACCGAATCTGCTTCCCTTGTAACTTGAAAGGAACTTCAATCGATTCCGGTGAGCATTCAATTCTGACAATACGACATGTTTATGCTAGAAAAGAACCCTTACTTTATCTTTCTTTCTTTACGTATTTACCTGTGTCCCAATCTAATAAAGACCTTCTTTTTTCCCCTATTTTATTAAGAATTCTTTATTGCTAATAAAAAGATGGTTCAAGTCGAAGAAGTCCTAAAATGCTTAAGAGGGGATTCACAGATGGATTCCAAATTCTATATAGGATTATATGTCAACAGCAAGGCACTACATTCATCTTCAGTAGGTTGGTTATCAAAGGTACATGCAAAAATACGAAAGCGAAGCGCCAAAAGACATTTAAGCCCAGAAGATAGAGTAAGGTCATCATTCATGAACCATAACGAGTAGGTGTGTAACCCAGCGTGTATATATAAAGAAAAAAGATTGTTGATTACAAAGCCAGATTGTCAGAACCTATAAACCAAACCTAATGGCAAAGATTTTGGAGGAGGATTAGTTACTATTGCCGACAGTGGACACCCTGTAAATATGCAAAAAAAAAAAAAAAAAAAAAAGAAGATTTTGGAGGGGTTGTTGCTAGTGTACTTGAAAAACAATGGTTTAAGTTCTGACATGGAGTCGTCAACACAACTAAACCAGAAAGGCGAAAATGCCAATGGTTAATAAACCGAAAGCCAGTGTTAATTGTTTTCCAACTTTCCAAGAGGAAAAACATATGGAAAACATTAGGGACCCGACTCTCCTGTCCTCAGATTAAACTTTCACTCTGTGACACCAATGTAACTTCCAGTTTCCCCTTTCAGTACATAAAGCTTCTGTTTACAATGTTACCATGTAAGCCAACAGACTGGTGGAAAAACAGCAATCTTATCAATAAAACAATTTGCCCATATCAGCGATCTGATGCGGGTTCTGGAGGCCCTCGGGCGATTGGCATTGCACTGCCATGATCCTTTCTTGGCTTTGCATAATCGATGAAGATCACACGTCCATTCAATGGCTGCAGCATCCAAACCAAATCCACGTTGTTGTGAGCCACAGTCACAACATTAAAACAAATAAAACCTAAAAGGGGGAAAACTTACTTTTCCATCCAATTCTTTAATGGCATTCTCTGCCTCATCTTCTGATGCATAAGTTACGAATCCAAATCCCTTTGATCTACCAGTAACTCTATCCTTTGGAATTTCAGCTACAAAATTCAAAGTTAAACTCAGGTATGGCGAGTGTTCCTAGCATATAACCCTCTTAGATCAAGAAAAATCAAAGGGACACTGAAATGGAAAAGCAAATTATCACAACACACCATTAACAACTTGACCATATTGAGAAAATGCCTCCGACAAAACCTTGTCTGTAGTGTAGAATGAGAGTCCTGAATTATAGCACAATATAGGTAAGAGTTACAAGAGGATGAAATTAATCATGACCAGAACAGGGTAGGTAAGGTGGCTAATGTAACCAATTTCTCTCTCCAAACCATAAAATTCCAACCGAAATACATAAAGAACATTATAAATTATCAAATGAACACAGCTTAAAGGTTTCTCACTTTGCTGAGTAAAACGAAATTTGGTTCAGCCACCCAAACAGGAAATAAAGAAGATAGTAATACTAATAAATTATGAATAAATAATTGAGGGTTTGCTGTTAGTGATAGAATTCCAATATACAAAACTATCATCCATAAAGCTGAAAGCAGATCACACTCAAATGTGCCCGCTTTGATCAAACACATTCAAGCATCAACATAGCCGAGTCAACGCCAATTAAATTAGAAAACAAAAATGTACAAATAGATACAGAATTGAAAACAGAAAAAGGAAAATGCACAAAAACAAAGATAAGATAAGCAAGGAAATGACCATATTAAAAAGATTAATTCCCTTTGGGAAAACGATCGAAACTTTAGTAACCCATCCGATTTCATTCAATGCAGTCATCATCGGAAAAACCCTCCATAAACCCTAGAGCTAAAACATGCTAAAACTGGAGGAAAGCGCGATTAATTCAATACACAAAAGTAAAGTAACATGAATTCCGGTGGATGTAACATTTGCATACCTCCAACGAAAAGTTTGGTAGCAATTCCTCTTCGGGAAATGAAAACGGCAGGAGAAGAAGATGATGACTGAAAAACACTCGCTGTATATCTGGGTTGTGATAGTTGAGAAGCTAACTGCTTCGAGAGCCTCACAAACGCCGCCATTTCTCGGCCACCGCTGAACCTAAATTGCCACTCCTCGTCTAGAGGTCCAAGGTTTTAGACTTATTTCTTTGGGGGAAAAAAAGAAAGAAAGAAAAGAAAAGACGACGGCCCAGGAAAATTTTCCATTAAGAGTTGAAGACATATTGGGTTTCAAAATTTTCGATTATCGAAGCCCAGTGGATTTAGACAATTTGTTCAAATTGTCCTCTTTACCAAACTTTAACTTTCTTTTACCACTTTTGATGTTACATTTTCTTTAATGTTACATTATCAACAAAAAAAAAAAGAAAAAGAAAAAAAGAGGGGTATCTTCCTCAATAATGATAATAATAAGTATCATTTTGGTTATTTTTTCAAAATAGGAAAACGATTTTCTGTGATACTTTCAACATTAGGCTTTCTGTCACTTTTGTTCTTTCGTAAAATTGGTGAAATTTTACATTAATCATTGTGGGTTCAAACGTATGAAATGGATCTGCTTTCCCTCGGAAAAAACAACATCTAAGTGGCAAGCATAATTATCACGGTCATACTGTGAAAATGCCGTTAAACCTTTGTCAAAATCAGAATTTAGGGTTTAATTGAAGTAGTTAACCAAACAACCACATGAGCAGTTTGAATGTGATGGTTCCTAACAATGCATTCATCTGTTTGGTCACTCGCGGGATTAAAGGCCAAAACTCTTATCATCCACAGAGCTGAACTCTACTATAGTAATTGCCCCTTCAGAACTATAGTTTTTAATCGAGGTCAACTTTCAGAATAACCCTCCTTCCGTGGCCTCAAAGATCAATGATAATTTCAGTTTCTAGATTTTCTTAAATATTGGAATGCCACCAAACCTTGTGTGATTGTACAATAAATTCATAGTCATTTCATTTGCGTGCGAACGATTAAAAAACAAAGTAAAAGATAAAATTATATCTGAACCATTAACTCCTCTTTCCCCTAATCCCCTCTTCCAAGGGTTCCTTCCACCCCACCCCCCTTCTCTTAAGGGTACATTACACAGTCCCGAGTAATCCTGATTCAATCCGGTTAAGTTTGTTTCGGATGTGAAAATCTCTCAACAAGAATAACTGTTCTGCTTCATATGCCAAAAGACTAGTTTCATCTCTATTCTGCAACTATCCTCAGTTCAAGCAATCAGGAAATTGCCAGGTATAATCAACAATCACAGAGCATGATGAGAAATAGGAAAGTAAATGAGCTACAACACATGAAAAAAGTATACCATGTTTCTGTACTGTAACGTTGTATGAAAACAAACTAGGAAAAGTATATCACTTTCGAGTTGGTTTGGAAAACCACAATTGCACGAGACTTCTGCAGTCAATTCGTCATTATTAAGAACTTCATTTGACATGAACACCAGAAACACCGCAAGAAAGGAGAGAACCATGCACATTCACAGACTCTGCTACCAACTTCCAACAACCCCTGTACAAACTAACCATTCGGTATTCGTATAATCTACAAGTTCATGGCCGCATGGGAATCATGAGTGATTCACTTTCAGCAATGCTCGGTACACCATATCAACAAATTGGTCATCCTGCAAGACAGCCATTTCATCAAAATACATTAGCTTGTCTTGAATAATCCTTAGTACCTTCACAAGAAGTGAAAAACATTTGCCAGAGATAACCCCAATTGCCAGAAAGACACTTGAAGTTTTCATTTGCCTCAGGCATGCAATGAACACAACATGCTATCATGATATACAACTCAAATTTCAATATTATCCATGAAAGATTGTTTTGTTGCTATTTTATTTTCGTTTTTGGAGATACAGTATGAATCTTTTTGGTAACTGAAATGCCCCAAAACTCTATGAAAAAGAGAGGAAACAACTGCACACTACTTCAAAGAATTAGTTAATAGAAAAGAATCAAAGCAAGGCGTGTTACTCTGATTGAAACAGTAGAACTGATGCCAACCGAAATGGAGAACTTTTATGAATTCAAAATACCTGAACAAGCATACGAAGTGCATCGCTAACTTTTTCCCTGTTCAGCGGAGTATAGTTCATTACTGCTGTGGTGTAAGTTGGTGGTTGAGTAGGGGGTGGGAATGGTTGAAGCATTGGGGCACCATGAGGCTGCTGCGGAGTCAACAAAGGAGGAAGAGCGGTAGTTGCCGTAGATGAAACTGGGGCCATAAAAAATGATGAGGAAGGAGAGGTTGCTACGAAAGAAGAAGGCTTGACAAGATTAGCCACACTATTACTGCTATGTAATAGGTCAGATCTACCATTCGGAGTCATAGTAGAGGGAGACAGATAACTTGCAGGAGGAAGAGTTGGGATTTGCAGAGTTGGCACATGAGAAGAATGTGCAAAGGGGACATGGGATAAAGTAGAAGTAGGTGAGGAATTCGGATGCAGTTGCCCAGATTGAGGCCCATTTGAGAAGTTATTCCCAACATTCATAGACTTCTGCAGTAAATAATCAGACAAAATATGAGCATTTAGACAAACAAAATATATAATTAAGTTCACATACAAGAGGAAAATACGGAAGAGTAATCAATAGCATCTTGATTGGGATCATAAAAGCCTACATCTAAACAGAAAGGAGAAAAGAAAAAATCAGAGTAATGAAGTTTAGCTTGAAGCACTGAAAGAGTGACGTATTGCTTTCCCTAAACCACTGATTTCCTTCCATAACTTCAGTATTTTTCCATCAGTAAACACCTACTGGTGTACCATAACTTATTATCCTTTTGTGTCTAATATTTCAGATCAAAGGACTTCAATATGCTCATAACTCTAATCCCACACATAGGTATAAGATCAAAAGCGTCTACATGCAAAGCAAATTAGCTAGAAATATAAAAATCGGAACAGGCTGGTATTCGAAATTCCAATCAGCATTCATTCGAGGCTTGATATTCACCGCATCTTTGCACAGCATCTGCAATCAGCAGTCATTATTCAACTGTTTAACATTTTCTGATTGTGGTAGAAGATACTACCACTCAGATCTAAAATAGATATCCGCACATACAAGTCAATACCTCCTCTCATTCAAGCAACATTCCTATCAATTTAAAAATCTTAAATATCCAGTTCATATCTTCCCCTTTTGTCAGGTGAATCTACATTTATGTTAATTAACACGAAAACAACCACAAGAAAGTAGCATTTTTCTGAAATTAGATTCACACTAGTTTGAAAATTAATGTTAGGCTCTGTTTTCACAAAGAATACAATAACTATAAATAAAAAATAAAAATAAAAATTAAAGACTTGGCAAGTACTACCAAAGTTACTACTACATTCCCTAATATATATATATATATATATATATATATATATATATATATATGTATATATGTTAGAAAGAGACTTTGCCACATTTAGTGACTTGAATTAATGAAATCTTCTCAGCTACATATTCAACTTATGAATTATCTGGTTAATGCAGAACCAACATGGTAAAAAAAATCAATCATTTTCAAAATGAATGCTCACATTAAAGAACTTCATGAAAGAAGGATCTTCTTGCTGAACTGTTGATGTAGAAGGTTTAATTGACAGTTCCAGGGCTCCCTCAATTGCTGCACATGTGGGCACTGCTTCAAGCTCTTTAAACTCTCTAAAAGAACCACACAGAAAAAGAAGGCTAAATCTTAATATAAAAGAAGCTTATAGATTTATGAAAGAACTTTCCACATTTTTGTTCAAAATAATCCAGATGGATTAAATATCCCCAAATTATAAACATGACAAAAATATACCAGCTATCGCGCTTAATTATTCATTAAATAAAAATTTTGCAATCAGAAAGCTGCTATTGAGCATCACATAACGTTGTTTCACATCCCTAATGGACACATTACACAAGGCCCTATTATCGTACCTTTTGCTTGGAGTTGCATCTTGCTTGGCAGGAGCTTTCAGGTGCACATTTATAATCCTGAAGCAATAGCAGAGTCAAATGACCAAGGTCACACACAGCAATTAACAGTAGCATAAAAGAATATAGGTCACACAAAGCAACTAACAACAAAAAGGTATCAAGGTAACAGAAAGCATTTAACCAGATGTGCTTGCTCTGTACAGTATAAAATAAGAGATCCTCTTTTATTATTCATCATTGACTTTAAACCAAATCACTTTTTGAAACATACTGAACATATAAAATGCCTTTCGGCGAAAAGCAAAAACTAAGCAGGCAAGATAAAATCAAGAATCAATATTTTCCAGGACACCGACTATACCCCAGAGTGTCACAAGAATAACGAGGCCCTTATTGTTCTCATTTACGACATTTCAAGCATATATAGAAACCGAACAAGATGTATAACACTGAATATAGTTGACTTGATCGTAATCTGTGTACGATTATAAAACTATTTTTGGTATTCTCTTCATTTGCTTTTAAACAACCGGAAGGATTGTCAAACATAGTGGTAAGTGAAGCCCACCTAGATCACACGTGTTCTATTTGAAAACAATAACCCTCTCATGGCTTGCAAACTTTACATTTTGAGGTGCTTATAAAATTGGAAAGTAGACCAAACATAAACCCATATTAACGTCATCGTATGATAACCAAAATACCGTCCTAAACAAAAAAAAGATGAAACGTCATATGTGCAGGTTCATGAATCAATTCCATGCAATATCATGCATGAAGAACAATTCTCTTTCTGACTCAACCCTAGGGTCCAACCCTTTCTCAAACCCTCCCTTCGGCAAAGCCTAGACAGATATGGCAATGAGAATTCTTATGGATTCTCAGACATTATTTAAGATCTTGTTGAGACTCCCAATTTAAGTATGGAAGAACTTCGGTGGGTTCCACATCTACAATTAGAAGTAAAACTTAACAATCCTGACAAGCAATAGCTTAGAGCCAAATTCAAACACTAGTCACAAAAAACACTCCTCGGCCCCATCAATCCATCTGTCCACTCAACGGAGGATTATCCAGGTGAAATATTTCCGTCTTCTCCATAGCCCTTCTCCACTCAGAATAACATGCGAGAGAATTTCATCCCATTCACACTAATGTAGAGCTTGATTCATTCAAATAGTTAAGCGACACCAACTTACAAGTCTAAACAAGTTGTATGTCAGATATCTCAAATGGCATTCCTATGCAGAAGACTAGCAAGGCCAATACCTGTTAAAAAGATCGAAAATCTCCTCACACTCCTGTGAATTGTAGAACCAAATACCATTCACTTCTTCAGCAGCATTGCGATACAAAAGATACGGAACTTGAATTTCAAACTCAAGATCACTCAAGAGATCCTCTACGAGATTTTCTGGCAAAGGAAAAAAGAAAAACAAAATATCAATCAAAGTAAATGAAAGAAAGGCATAGCTAACAATGACTCCCAGTCTGTCTAAATCAGTTCTAGTTTTTGGTTCACTTAAATTTGGGAGGTCTGAGCCTTTCGTAACCGGAAAAAAAAAATGGGATTCATTTTCAGGCTCAACGTCAAACAAAAAAAAAATGTTATATAAATGGTCTCAAAAGTCTTAAGAAAAATGCTTGTAAATAGAGTCAGGTTGATACTATCATGACACAATTTCAGTCGAGGCCCATCACAACCAGGAAGTTCAAGCAGGAAAATCACAAAGATAAACCATAGCAAAAAGGTGAAGGGCAAAATGAAACCTGTACTTCTCCTGTTCATGACAATGAACTGGAATCGCGGTTGTGCAGACCTGAAATAAGTTTTGACAACAGTATTATCAGTCCCTGATTTCGAGGTTATTACTAAAAGTAAATGTCTTGTAGCATGTCAGTAAAACCAATAAAACCTAAACAGGATATTACAGAGTTTGACTGTCACCTTTTAACCACAAAGAGAGACCCTTCAACATCCTTGCGAGCCTGCAGCCAAACGGAAATCATGCCAAGACACTAGGTCAAGCTCATAATAAAAATCATAACAGCAATATCTAGAGGCAACTATTCAATATAGTCAACACCATTCATTTACTAAACTATTATCAATTTCCTGAAATAACATAGGGTTACACAAGGATTCATTACCTCGATCTCACATTTGAATGTGTATGATCATGTAATGAATTATAGATAACATCTTCACATACACACAGATGATAAAAAGGGCAACATAAGCACTTCAAGAAAAAGAATTTTTAAATTAAACTTGCCCCATAAATAAATTTCTAAATCCGCCAATGTTGAATAATTGGGCAAGAAACAGTGTAACACAAATAGATAGCAACTTCGCATATTGGGTTACTATGGTAACTTGTAATCATGCAAAAAATCAAGTCTGTATCCTCTGGTATATTCTAAGAGACATGGTTTTGTTCTTGATGTTCCAACTTATATAGGTGGACAATGTGAACTTTAAATTGCATCCTTTCAAAATCAAATGACAAGTTCTTCAACTGTATCTTTCAAATAACAAATAATCAGATGCAGATTACAGGATATAACAAATTCGGCAATGCCATAAGCAAAAAACTCAAAGATCAAGAAAGAAGATCAAACCTACATATCTACATGCCAACAGCAGAAATAGAGCCACCAGATTTAAACAGCTGCAATTCCACCGACTTCCACATAACAATTCAAGTTAAAAAAACAATTCCCCTAAAAAGAAGAGAATCAGTGAACAACTTACCCACTGATTGAGGTCGATGTTGAACTTGTAAAGAGTGACATGAGTTGCGATCCTCAAGATCTCTTGGATGGAAGGATCTCTTCTCTGCAGAACGGTGAGATTAAGGAGTTTAGTGGTGTCCTTGTCCAAATTCGGCGTCAACTTTCCAGTCGTTTCGTTTGACGCCGGTGTTGATTTTGCTGTTGACGTTGACGACGACGACAACATTGTTGATTTCTTCTCCTAATTTTCAATTCTTCCTACCGTCAAAAACCCTACTCCCTTCTACTGCTGTATCTATGAGTATTTGCAAAATTTACTAAAGCCACCGCACCGCTAGAGTATTACACAGTAATTCTATAACCACTGACTGAGTTTATATATACAAGAGAACTGGAGTAAGACGGCAGACCGACATAGCCGGAGAAAATCCCGGCGCCCGCAAACATTCAATTTTGTGAATTAATTACAGGCTTCCATAAATGGATGGATTGAGGCTGAGGTTTTACTATAAAAAGGGGCAGTGCGTGCAATGTGTGTGAGAGAAAAAAGCTCGGGCAGCGGGAAGGCATGGAGTAACCGAGTGAAGGAAGAAATTATTTTTTTATTTCTCAAATTTTGGACTGTATTTTCCTGGTAACAATTTTATTTAAGTAAGTATTTATTTATTTATTATTGGTTCCGATCCAATCTGTGGATTATATCTTGGTTTTTGCATGCTGGTGTATTTGATTTGATCCCGCCGGTGCCAGCCGAAACTGTGAGGCCTCTTCGGTCACACCATGCTTTGGGAGTTTGGGGATAATGGCCATTAATGGGCTTTGCTGCTTGACTTATGCATTTCGTGTATCTCATTTTTTAACACAGTTTTATGGACTCTTTGGTCTTGCCTGTAGAAATTGACTTGTAAATTTTTTTTTTATTACTACAAAAAAAAAGTAATTTACCATGTCATACATTTATGTTCTTGTCTTATCAAAAAGAGAGTTTATTGAAAGTTGGGTGACGGGGTTGTGCGCAGGAAGATTGTTAAGAAAAATCCATTTTAGGAAAAAAAAAAAAAAGACAAAATTCATCTTATGCATAAATTAATATTTTTTAAGTTGAATTTTTTCAATACCCGCGGAAAAAAAATAGTCCATCATAATATGCTCCCTTCAGTCCTTAATATAATGTATTTTGATTTTGTCCTAAGATTTACCTAGTATGCATTTTTAATTGACCAAAAAATCTTTAAAATATATTTTTACGTTCATCGTATTTTCTTGATTGTTATGAAATATTTTTAAAGTTTTTTATCAATTAAAAATATGTACTAGGTTAAACGTAGGACAAATCAAAATGCCTTATATTAAGGACCCGAAGGAGTAGTAAATTTCATTTTTTTCCAGTAAAATTAATAGTACTAGTGTGTGTCCCGCGCTTTACGCGGCTTTGTCAATGTTGAAAATTTATATTTCAAAAGAATTGATTAGATAATGTAGTTACAAATATACCGTCCTTATTCTCTTAAAAAATATAATTATTAATATTTCTTAAAACTGTAATATTTTTTTGATTAATCAGTTTTAGATTAAAACGAGAGATATTGATATTATTTATAAGAGGTATATTACAACAAAGATTTTCAAAAGTTGTATAATAAAAATTGTCACCACTAATTAATGTTATGTTTGGTTTAAAAAATATATTTAAAAATACGTAAATTATGTCTAGATGCATATGGCCTATTTTTATAGCCAAGTGGACTTTGGGGATTAGATGTAGTTCTAATAAAATATGAGATACAAATCGCCCTTGAAAATGTAAAATCGATAAACTTGACAACTAAATAGCACACAAATGGAACTTTAAGGGCCAAAATGACAATAAGTTAAAAGTTTAAACTCGTAAATAAAAGGACTTTTGAAGTCGGGAGTTTTTCAGTAATTTTCAAAAATATTCATTTTCAAGCTCACAATCAGGAATTTGAAATATCTGTAAAACATCTTATATACTCCTTCCGTCCCACAAAAATAGTACAGTTTGAAATTATATAACTTTTTAAATTTAGTCAACACATCAAATGTACAACTCATTTAATTCCCCTAACTTTCACTAATGCCCCTTCTAGTTATTTTTATAAAAGTTAACTACATGTGTATTTATTTTACAACTTAAATTTGATCAAAATTTTTATCTCAAAAAATATTAACAATGGATCTTGATGGAAAGATTTCGTTACGTAGATTAATTTGATATATAACACATTTTTTAATTATTCATGTATTAAAAGATATAATCATTTGAAAAAATAAGAGAAAACTAAAAAAAATAAAAATCAAAGGAAGTGGATCTTGTTTTTCATACCACTACTCTTTTGGATATTTAAGTCATTTCAAATCAATGAATTGTGACTTTTGTTAAACTAGACTATTTTTTTAGGACAAGATTTTTTATTAAATTGGATTATTTTTGTGGGACGGATGGAGTAGTAAATAATTTATTAACTGTTTACAAAAAAATTTAACTGATTAATCATCAACCAATTAGCAAATGACATGTGTTAATTGAGACTTGATGGTCTCAATGAGCGACAAGTGTCGATTATCTTTCTTTTTATTAATATATATAATAATATTGCATTTCCTTGAGAAACAATGATAGAGACAGTGACAAATTATTGTGAAATGAGATAGTAACTAATGAAAAGACAAATACATCATCATCACTAAATATGTGTAATTATTAATTAAGGATAAAAAATGTAATTTTTAAGAAAAGATAAAATTTTAACGGGAAAATGATAAAAAATTAAGGCTAAGAATACTACACATCACTCACTATTTTTTTCACTATTTTTTTCCTTATACATATCATTTTCCTTCCTTGAGAGGTGTCATTGTACTTGAGAGGTGTGAGCAACTCCCAGCAACTTAGTAGTGAAACTAGATTGGGATTACACATCAAGAGAGATGGACTTACAAACTGATGAAGTACTTGTAAACTTTCGAATTGAACTTTCTTGTTACTCGTGTTTATTTTATTCATTCCAATTCCAATTAAACAACCATATTTATTGACCTATTTTAAAATAACGCACAAAATAATTGTTTTGGTTGGAGTGATTTGACCGTACTTGTGGTTTTATTTTCTGGGGTTTCACTTTTCAGAAGCAAAATTAGATAGAAAGAAAAAAAATAAAGGACCAGGAAGTGTATAATGGTTACAAGTTCCATCATTGGTGTTTTGCCATGGTTAAAACATGATTTAATTGATGTGATATATCTTCGTAATGTATTAGTCTGATGTTTAAGCATTGCCGCTTCTTCTATTGTAATAAAAAAGAACGGAAAGAAAAAAAAAATAGAAGACCGGGAGTCGAGAAGTAAAAATACAATAAATTTCAATTTGCCATAAATTAATCAGTGAATACAAAGGAATTTTTGCACTTTCTCTAAAGCAGAAAGTCATAAGAATTAATCATCATCAAGAAATTAAAAGCACACACTGGACATTTTGGTGTTTTGATGAAAAATTACAATACAAAAAAATCACACAAATCATATATCCCTCCCCTTTTGGCCTCAATGCTTTCTGAGAGCCAAAGCAGAGAGCAACACCAGGAATATTAAGAGAACCACGGCGGCGAAACTCGCCACCACAGATCCGCTAGTCTTTTGGCAGAAATCGCCAAACTGCTGGCAAATCGCAAGCCAATTTGCGCCGGAATTTCCATTGTGAGCCAAGTACACGATGGCCGCCGATGCTCCGGCCGCGGAGGTAGCCAGAGTCAAAGCCACCTGCCATAATAAAACCATCAGAATACAACAACTGAGTAAAAACAACATTTTCTTCCACCACAATAAATTTTGTCTTATAGTATTAATTAGTTAGTTCTGGTGGAAATGGAACTTACGGTATCAAGAATGATTAAGAGAAGCCTTGGTGCGATGGCCAGAGGGCGAGCTATGCAAACTACAGAAAAGGGTATACTTAGGACAAGATAAGCACAAACAATAGCCATTCCAATCACAAAGAACCTGCATTGATACACAATAAAGACTCAACTAATTAATCAATTTTTGGCGGGAAAGCCCAGAAAAAGAAAAAAGTTGTAAAAAGATCAAGAATTGTGATGGAAAAAACAGGGGAATATATATACTTACGAGAAAGTTGGGAGATCATCATAACTGGCTTGGAACTGGAAGAACTGAGTGAAGAACGGGAGAGTTTGCTCGGCGGTTCCCATTCCGACGGTGGCACCTAAAGCGGCAGCTGCAGCACTAACACGGAGGATAAGGTCGAAAATGGCAACTCCCCTTTTGTATCCACCTTTCCTTGCATATTGTACTGGTGATCCCAGAAGTGGTGCTTTTCCTTTCCTTTCCCTGCTTGATTCTGGGATATCAATCTTAGCTGACTCGCTTTTCTCCATTTGATGATTAAAGAGAAAGAGTAAACTAGCTAGCTAATAATGTATTTGAGGGAATAAGAAACTAAGAAAGACGAAGAATTGAGTGGTAAATTAGAGCTTCTGTTTTTGTGCTCTGTTGCTGTTTTGCTTGATCGCTTGATGAGAATGGAGAAGATCAAAGAAGCTTTATATACTGGATGGACTGGGGAGCTTTTTGATTTTCTTTCCCATTTGGAAGTACCTTTTTTGTGTATAAAATTGGGAGGACAGATTACATATTGAATCATATTACCTAATTAATGGGGGAAAGCATAGGAGAGTGGTTGCAAAAGCTCTACTATTCTTTTAATCTCGTACAATCGGAATGGGTTTTTTAATTCCACTTTTTTGAATCAAAATTAGTCAATAGGGATATGGCGGGGTAGATGATTCGATACAAATTAAGTAAGATCCGCATTGAGGAGGATTACAAAACCATAAAATTGACCTCTATATTTTTAGAATGTCAACCAAACTACGTAATGTGCATTATGAAAAAAGTGTTTTCCTAATCAGGTTAGTTTGATAATTTGCAGGCATTGTTTAACGCCTTTTTTGGTGATGGTGGTGCAGGAAGAACCCGTTTACTGGCATTATTGTTATGGGGATGGGATTTTAAACCATTTATTATATAATGGAACTTTTATGCTTCAAACTAAAAGTATCAATCGAATTTCCCTTTCCCTTGCCAGAGAGGAAACGGAAAGTACTTTATTTAGTTAATAACCGCACGATTAGTCAACCAAACAACGAACTTCTTCCCTAATCCATTATCCAGGAAAGTGGAAGTCTTGCTAGTGGGATTACGAAATTGATGGGTCGGAATTGGATCGAGGAAGTTGAGCATGAGTTTAGGGAGTTAATTTTATAATAAAGACATTACCTATTTTCTTTCAAAGTTTAAAAGCAGTTAGGAGGTTCTGCGGGGCTTGCAACAAAATATGTTACCGCAATTGTTTGTTAGGTTTTTTTTTATGGTATTTTCAAAATATTTAAATAATAACTGTCCCTCTCAGCATACCTTTTTACATTTCTAATACACTTTTTTACATTCCCAATACAAAAAATACCTAAAAACACACACTAAAAAAAGGAAACATACTTTAAACTTTTACATTATGTATCTCTTTTATTGAACGAAAACATTTTTCATCTTAACCCATGCGTTTTTTGGCCCCATCAATGATGAACTGAATTTCAAAACAACAAAAGAAAAGGAACAATAGGCAGCCAGCAGCCCCAACAAATGGAAGATTTTCCTTCCCACAAGATTGAAGAGAGAATTATTTCCGCTGCAGCCTCCACCCACGCTCAGCCAACGCTGCTATAACTTGATCAGCTGCCTCCTCAGTATCCTTGAGTGGAGAGTAGTACCATCTTTCAGATATCTAAAGATTATTCATCAGACTTAGACTTATATACTTCCATACAACCAGTCTAATAAACGCTTGATTTTGTTGCACCATATATATGCCTAATTGTTTCAATTTCAAAGGCACAACCACCATGATCAAACAATGTCCAGTTCCAGTTACGATATAAAGAAAGATTCTGAAATTGCAAAATTTAAATGTGATGCATTACGGAAAAGTTGACGATTCTTCTTGTTGGTGATGTATAAAATAGTGACTCAGGTATCTAATTCCTTATGACTGCTATTTGCAACGTAGGACAAGGTTTGAAGTGATGAATACTAACATTTTCCTTTCCAGTGAATGGTCGAACAACTCCTCTATGTAACAGAGATTTGTGAAAGTCTGCAAACTTCCACCGACATCGCTCTGCACCAATCACATAAACAGGCTTCCTGCATCGTGCAGCTTAAGATGAGAAACTAATGAAACGTCAATAACGGAGAGAAGGGGATAAACATTCATGTTTTAATAACATACCCTGTGCTGCAAGCCTCACTCAACATACTTATCGAGTCAGCTGTAATGACAAACGCATCTGCTAAAGCTAGATGTCCCATATGGGGATTTGGATCTGACATTCCATAACATCACGTTACTTCACAAATCCAAAAGCCACAAGTGCAAAACAGCAAAAGAACAAAGAAAACATAAACGTTCTGATGCAAAGACTATTGCTTGTGCATGATGAAGTGTCACTTTCAGACAGAGATCTGGTTTAGTTTTGTATGTTCTAAATTGGCAGAATTCGATAGTCAACTGAACAATTCAAAAAGCAGGCCTCCCTTGATGCTCTATTTCTGATTGGAACGGGAAAGAGATTGAAAAGACACTTTGTAGGAGCCAAATTACTGGGTAATAACTTCAAATAACTTGCATTTTCTAATTGGACATGGGATACAGAGCTAGATGCTACATGTCACTTTATTGAGTTCTTGAAGAATATACAAATATTTGGAGATAGTTATGTACTTGACATGCATGAACTAGCTAATTTATTTTTCACTCACTTAGGGATCAACCATTGAAGTTTATGTGCTTTGAGAAAATCAGGAAGGATGAGCAAGAAGTACCTTCCCCATTCCATATGATAACTTTAGGAATATTTCCTAGTACCCTCTGCACGAGGTCTGATATCTGTTCAAATATTCATAACAGAATTACCAGGTTTAGATCCACCAAATGGACTACAACAAAGCAAGAGCATATATACCTGCTTTGGAGTTCTACGAGAAAAAGATATCCTGAGACTTCCACAAGTTGGGAGAACACTTTGCAAAGATGCCGACAATTGCTCAGCCAGATCTACTCCATATTTGCAAGATTCTACAAAAGTGAGCATAATGACATCATTAATCGCAGCAATTTTCGGTACGGATCATTCAAAAATAGAAGCCAAGGATCACATTGCAGGCATGCAAAATGGTCAATTTGGTTCCTGTGGTGTGGTAAAGGGACTTAAACTGTTGTCTGCATCAATGATATGTAATAAAAACCAACAGTGTAGGGGCTAATGCACATTGGGAAATGCACAGTATTTTTCACCCACATGGACAATTATTCTTGCTAGGGAAATATAGAGGATATTATTAAAAGCAAAGTTTCGGTTCAGTAACTTAAGTAAAAACTTCCATGACAGAGTTAACAGATTTTATAAGCAGCCCTTATAAAAAAGGAGTAAAAACATAGCAATGTAGAAAGATTCCAATGGTTGAAGTTACTCGTAGGTCCTCCAATGTTGACTACCAGCAAAGGTTTAGGCAGAAGAGCCAACTTGTCATGCCATACGGATGCTGCTGCCCGCAGTGCGGCAGAATCAGCTTGATGAAGGGCGCCCACAGTGGTTACCTAAAATTTGACAGCATAAAATATCGAGCTCAACCATCATTCTGGGTAAAAGAAAAAAACAGAAGTTCAAATTATGGAACAAATGCATTTCAGACAAAAATTAAGAAGCTACCACTCTTCTGTTAGGAGGTTCACAAGGTGTTATACACCACCGAAGAAACCAGGGAATCTGTTTCTGTCCCTCAGGCGTCAATGGAAAATAATCGTGGCGAGGAGTGATCACCAAATCAAATCTGTTTAGTTTTGAACGAGGATGTTGAATCTAACAGGATGGAATAAGACAAATCTCAGTAACCAAAAAGAAAAGGTGAACCAAGATACAGGTAACAAATAACAAATAGACTAAAGTTGCAAAGGTTTCAGAAACTCTCCAACCTGAACAACAAATACATTTTTAGGAGCTAAATGTTTCACGGAACTAGTGACAGAAATCGTATCCCTGCCTGATGCAACCACCAAAGTAGGACCATCCCTATAAATCGAAATACAAAACAAATAAGAGAAATTAAGGAGAAATAACTAATAACTTCTATTTGATATGTTGATCTTGCAGTGTAACTTATAATTACAACAAAGAATGAACACATTTATCACTTCTGGAAGAAAAAAGAGCAGAAAAGTGGTACCTGTCAAATGTTTCTCTAGCCACATTAGCAATGTGATGTGCTTCAGCTTCTTTAATAGTACTCCTGCATCAGAAACACTTGAAACAAGTAAGAAATCAGTTGATAAGGAATAAGAACATGATGCTTTTCTTTTCAAGGTTTAATATGCTAAAATGCGCACAAATCTTCCGACTCTACCTTGATCCCTTCGTTTGAAGGGTTACATCTCCGCAACCCATAAATTTATTCACTACACGTTCAAACTCTTTGTGAATGGGAACAGGCAACCAACGAAGCCGATCATGGATTCCACCACTTGGCCTTGTAACTCGCTGCATATATAATCAATCTCAATTAGAAGAGGTAAAAAATGATGTTTCCGTTTTTAATCCAAGCTAAGACTTACTTACGTAGAGAGTATAGGATTGGGAGAGACCCAAGGCTCGAACCAAACCAAGGCACTGATTCTCGGCGCCGGCGACGCCGTTTCCGATTACAATCGCTCTTCTGATTATTCGCATAGGGCGGCATCGGTTTGCTGCTGTTTTGATTTTTCAGTTTTTATTTTGCCGCTTTCTGGAAGGGTTTTGTGGAGGTTTAATTTAATCCCCCTAAAACGACGGCGTTTACTGGGAATAATGAACCAAACAACGTTCATATAAAAACTGAAAACTGCTTTTGGTAGGGTGATAATTTTCCCCAGACAGATTCTTTCAATTGGGACGACGAAAGAGATGTGGGCGAGTTCGGACGGAGGAGCGCCGGAGGTGACTCTCGAAACTTCCATGGGCGCCTTCACAGTTGAGGTACTTTTTCTTCTTCTCTATAATCTTTCGCCTTTACTTGCTTAACATGCTGCTTTAATGGCGCGGTAACGTTTTACTTTTTTTTCTATCTGGGGTTTTTTTTCGACTGGGAAAAAAGATGTACTACAAGCAAGCTCCCCGGACTTGCAGAAATTTCATAGAGCTGTCTCGTCGTGGTTATTATGATAATGTCAAGTTCCACCGGATCATCAAGGTTTGGTTTCCATCGGATTTAACCTAGTTCCTGCCTTCTTTCTTGTAATTATTTGTTAAATCACAACGTTTAAATTTTATTACACACAGTATGCTTTATTTAGATTATTGAATAAAATGCTGAGTTTGAATTTTGTGAATTGTTTGAAATGCAGGATTTCATAGTGCAAGGTGGAGACCCTACTGGAACTGGTCGTGGTGGGGAATCTATCTATGGGTAAGTTCATAAATCATAGAACCTCTTTTCTTTGAATTTTTCGCCTTTGTGCTTGTGTCTGTTCTTGCCGAGCCTGTTGTATTTAGTAATTTCTACTCAAGTGGAACCAGGGTCACAGGACTCCTGTATTTTGCCCAAGATTTTAGTAATCAGATCCTTTGTTTTTTCTCGGCAAATTTCACGATTGCAGTCCTAAATTTGAGGATGAGATAACCCCACAGCTTAAGCATACTGGAGCAGGAATCCTATCCATGGCAAATGCTGGTCCAAATACGAATGGAAGCCAGTTTTTCATCACCTTAGCACCTGCGCAGTCACTCGATGGTAATTTTTTGCTTCCTTTTCTTTGTATCAAGGTTCAAATCTTGGCTATCTTAGTTTTGTGGCTTGCATGAATGTTCCTTGTCCTCGCCGTTCAGTTTCCTTTTGACATTCTTGACTGGGTGAAAATAACAATAGGAGATGATAGGCTTTTCAAGTTTCTTAATTACTAACTGCCTGTTCATAGAGTTTCTTAAATATTAACTGCCTGTACATTGTCAACTGTAATTGCAAATGTGATGTCTTGTCATCTGATCTGGATTGGTTCTGAGTCTTCTTTGTGTTGATGATGCAGGGAAACATACTATATTTGGTCGAGTATGTAGAGGAATGGAAATTGTCAAGAGATTAGGCAGTGTTCAAACTGACAACACAGATAGGTTGGACTTTCTTTCTTTCATTGTTGACATGAAATCTACCACTACTATGTTTTTTGTCCCTTTTTGATTTTTCATTAATGTAAAATTGAGGGTCTTAAACTTGGCTTCTCAATCACAACTCACGGTGCTCCCTTTACCACCCAAGCCTATGTCTCAGACCACCATGATTTATGCATGAATTATAGTTTGCAGCTCATCTGATAAGCTGCAGTTTTCTTCTTATGAACTACAGTTTTACAAAGAGATATTATCTGTGGCTATTTTTGAGTTCAGGAGTATTTTATGTGCAACAGTTAGAGCCGGCATATCTTGGTCCTTTGGCATTTCTTTCTTGAATTTAACAATTGTTAACCTCTGGATCTTATAGCTTTACAATTGTTGCCTCAAACTCATCTTGGCTTTTATTTTGATCATTCTTTGTGCAAAGTTTGACATTCTGGCTGAGCTCTGTCCCATATGGTTTACGGAATATGTCATTGTTGCTTTTGGTTTCTATGCTTCTAATTTTAAGGACTTTTTCAAGAATTTTAATGACCTTCACTTTTCTTGTTTTTCAGACCAATCCATGATGTGAGAATATTGCGAACTGTAGTCAAAGATTAAGTCTCCTGTTGTTCGAGTTTGAAGTTCATTACTGGGTAGCTCAAATGAGGAAGAACTGCGTCTTCTGCCGTAATACTCTAAATATTGGCTGGGCTCGCCTAGTATTCTTTCATACTCTAAAAGAAAGACTCCCTTTCAGGAGTTGTAACAGTTTATATTTAGTTTTTCCATTGTTGTTTCTCTATCAATGGTCAAAGTTCTGTGAATGCTACACATGCACCTAATCACCAAGCCTGTTCTCTTGTTACATCTCCAAAGTCATCTAGTACATTTGGCAATTTGCATGCTGTAGTTCTACGTCATATGTGAACCTTAGGAAGCCATATTGTCGTTTTACGTTTAGGGTTTGGGCTCGGAGTATCTGATTCTTAAGTAATCCTTTAAAGTGGTGGTTGAAGTAGAAATGAAAGAGACAAAACCTCCCAATCAAAACCTTCCGGATTAAGTATGTTAACAAAGATCTCTTTGGCAAACATGTAATTCTAAAAAAAAAAAAAAAAAAAAGCTAAACCAACCTCAATTCTACTAGTTACCCTATACTTTAGAACCGCCCCATTTTGCTACAGAGGCAGATATGGAATGGCGTAACTTGCGTCAAATACTACTATATGATGAATTTCAAGTTCCAGTGCACTACAATTATACAACTTAACAAGTTTGCTGCCACTCCCAGTATCTTTCTCAGAATAAATCTGTGCCTAACTAAGCAACAGTTTGGTTGCGACCCCCAGCTACTTTCAAAACTAGCACATCAAGCCTCAGTTGAATCTATGATACAGAAGGCCTGACAGGAAAAAAAATGCTATTGCACATTGTTTTCCCATATTGAAGGGACGCTAATCACTTGTAGCTAAAAAATTCCAACGCATAGAGCCCTCGAATCTCCAGAACTGTTACGGCTTCCATCCGGTTGTTAGACTCCATTTTCTTCATGAGCAGAAGAATTTAACATTGAAGATTGTTCCAGACTAAATCCGTTAGCCATGGGTGATCCAGGCGGACCATCTTTTGAGGGAGAAATTTGAGTAGCATGTTTAACAACTGGTTTTTCTGGAAGCATGTGTTCTGCATCTGCACTTTGTTGCTGCTCCTCCTGCTTTAGAAGCTCCATGCGCCGTAAAGATGGCACATCACCCGCGCAGTATCTTCTCCAGATATTCCTGTATGTTGACTCCAGTCCTTGCACAAACTTTGACCCATCACAAAGAGGTGACTTGAGCATTAGCTCTCGCAGACTTGATCTGAGGTTTGCTAGGGCATTCATATCAGTGGCTAATTGTACGGCCAGCAGCACATATTCATCCTCATTTGCAGCAACCAGTTTTGGAAGTCCTATCAGGCAATAGCCGTGAGGATTCATTCCCCATATAAACGAAGATACAAGTTGCACGTAAATTTAATATAGCCAGAGCAGATAGAAAATGAAGCACAGAAGTAGAAAATTAAGCGACAGTCAACCAAAAAATATGCTTGGCAGCCATAATTTATCCAGACACTTCAAAACTCCTAACAGATTCAAAAAAAGGATTAACAAGAATGTCACATCAACTCCAACTAGTTAACAATTTGAACAAATTAAAAACAAACTGTCTACTTGATGGAACTTCACCTACCACCCAGTATTTCCCAGAATAGCAATAAAGCAGATGATTTTTAAAGCAGAAAATAAATAGATGACAAATCTGTACTTGAATTAGTTCACAGTAAATTACTTACCAACAGTCTTCAGGAGACTCACACCAACATTGTGAGCATGCACTGAACCTCCCATGGTGACACATGGAACTCCCATGTATAAAGATTCACATGTGGTAGTTGTTCCAGCGTAAGGGAATGTATCCAAACTATATTGAACAATAACATAGCCCAGTCAGTTTAACATGTTACAGATGCAGAGAACTGCTCATCAAAGGCATTTTAAGCATAACAGTGCTCATAATGACAAATGCAAAATTACCTAAACCATTCTGCATCTACAAGTGCATTTTCCTTATATTTCTTAGTGGGTCCCAATGAATTATACTAAGCATGTCCTTTTTTGCGAAGCAGAATAACAATACACGGGTTTAAGCTGGATATTTCCCTCGAGTTATTATTAAAAACTTTGAAACCCTGCTAAGAATTTGTAGCCGAAATGTTTAGATAAAATGAGGTATTTCATCCCATCCTGATAGTAGTAAACCTCAATGGATCAGAAGCTCACAGGGTACTCACAAGAAGGCGATGAAGAATTAGCTAGTGGTTCAATTTAAGCTTCTGATGACAATCATTGATAAAATACCCATCCAAAAATTTAAGTTCCCCTTCATCATCTTTAAGAAGAAAGAAAGAAATGAACTCAAAATTTTCCTGATTTCTATGAGCTTAGACTCTCATGCACCACTTAGACTGTGGGTTACTTCTGAGGTACGTTAATAAATACAGACTCCTATGTTTCATTTTTTGAAGAGGTATTGTCTCTGAGAGGACAGATTTTAAATAATTTTACACTGAAAGCACTTACCTAATATCCATAAGAGAATAAGCTTGCATGTGATCATGATTGAGAAGAATTAGCGGCAAAAGGTCAACTCGCGTTGGATCCAACCCCAACTGCTCTAGCATGGAAAGAAATCGTTGTCTCACGCTATCACAACAAAAGGGCTTGCATTTTACGATAAGTCGAGAATTTGGAACCGCGGATAGGATCCTTGCCCAAACTTTTAGCACCTTGGGTGTTATCTGATAACAACAGAGAAAACAATATACGTAATGACATTACCACATAGTTGCATATCAGCATTATAGAAGCAGAGCATACTTCAGAACTAATCAATACCTTGGCCAGATTATTGAAGCTGCCAAAAGTAACAAACCCATTGGACAGAGCAGGAGCAGGGGATACGGCCCCAGCTTCAGTGGAAGGTGTGTAGCAAAGAAAGCAATGTGGTAACCTAACTAACTCCTCAACATGTCTGCAAAAATTCATCAAAGTACCTCGAATTAGGATTTCATATGACTGGAAAACTGTTGCTTTAAAAATTAGTCCATCACCTACTTCTGTTTTGTTTCAGGAGGGTCAGCCAAAGCATCAGTAATTCTGTAATCAATGCTAGGCAAACCAGTAGTATTTGGATAGCCAATCCATGTCACCTGTTAAGTAAGCACATGTAAGAGATCACATGATACTTCTAGACATCTAATTGGCAAACCATCAAAAAACTTCAGATGAAGTGGCTCCAAGGTAAAGTTAACTTAGAAATAAAATCAAGCATAGCAAGGGAAATGAAGTTTATAACATCCAAAGCAAAGGTTAGTAGGTAAAATATGTCGATTGAGGAACCAAAGTAAACACAATTTAAGAGAATTAGGACTTTTAAGAGAGAGACACTTTTATTACAAATCTTGTTAAATCTTAAATATGTGCAGCCAGATAAAACTTAACAAGTCCAAATAAGATATCCAAGAAAGCACACATTTACAAAATGTTAACAGACTAATGTGTTGATCAGAACTTTGACGCCAACCACAGCTCCTTCAACCCCCCTTCTTTCCCCCTCTTCGGATAGAAACCAAAGAATCCAATAAGTTACAGACTCAAAAGTACCTGAAGAGGTGCTGGCCGGCAGGCCATCATTCCCAACTTATTGTTTGCTGTATGACCTGTGAGTTCAACCAATATATCAACATTATCGTCCCTGACGATGCTGGCGACCTTTTTCTCATCAATCCCATAAATATCTCTCCACATACCACCCTTTTTCAACACTCTCTCTTTAAATCTACTAGTTTTTGCATCGGCCTGCAAAAGCATATTAGGAAAAAAAGGAACTCAGCCTCGATGGTTAAGGAAGGAGGGACAAATATTCAGATAAATTACCTAACAAGATTTAAAATCTGCTGTCAAATAGGCAAAAAATGGGGGAAAAAAAGAAAGAAATGGAAAACAAAGAAGCCAGCAAGAAGTGACAGAGATCGGTACCAGGTGAATACAGTGAGTTATAACTCCTTATACCTTTACAACGGCAGAATAAACCACTACTTTGAAATTTGCAAAGTCATGATAGATGAGCGGTGCTTCGATGAAATATGAGACCGAATGAGTAAAATAATCAGGAGACACATATCCTATAATAAGCTGCCTTTCTGGATCTTTAGGGTTATCCCATGAGGAGTACTGGGGATATAACCTCATGAAGCGCCTACCCCACTCTCTGCATGAATAAACATAATCTCAATCAGAATTGCAGGAGCATCAAAATGCATCTTCAAAATGGAAATTCTTCAAACCTTATCGAAAAGAAATTCACCCAGCAACTTCAGGTATTTGAATCCAATATCATATTCGAGAACCAAGTAAAGGCGAATCTTTCCTAAACGGCATAATCATCATCCTGTGATGAATTGTATCTTGTTTTCACTTTAAAATACTAATTAGCACCTCAATTTTCTTTCTACATGTTTATTTTACCCAACACTTGAAATGACATCCTGATTATTAAGCATCCCACTAGGATATTTTCAACGTCAAGTCAGAGGATAAATCACTCCTGTATATATCTTTTTAGTTTGTGTTCTTTATGTCAATCTTAGGACATGAGCTTTCCTAGTATTTTGTCAGTCCTAAGTCACTGAAATACTGCAGTTGAAGTAATGATGAGATAATAGCACAGGAAATTTAACAATCGCCCAATAATCTAAACTACAACAACACAGCATTCAAGTTGTTCACTGCTCTTTATCTTGCATGCAACCACCGAATCTATTTAACAAGATAATTCCAAGTGACTAGTTGTTCTTGTTAATTTATAAGATTCATAAGATTCCAACTGAAGAAAATAAACATGATCTGCCCAAATTTGAGTTCAGCCAGATCACTTTAAAAAGAAATGCACAGCAGGGATGAGTGAAAAGATAATAAATACATCAAAAATACTACCAGCATAGAAAAGACTCATATATCCTTCATGCCAATATGTTATTCACCACAAACATGTAATAGTAATAATTATAGGAAAGTTATTCAACTTTCTGTGCTCCAGGAGAAAGCCTTGTATGTAATTATCCAGCCCTTATAAAAGGTAAATGACAAGAAAAAGTGGTACTGCATTGACCTGTGAGCCTCATATAATACATCATCAGTTCCCTCATTTATGTAGTTCATAGCAAGCAACCGGTTCTGCAGACAGACGAAAAGGAAATAAACAAAAAGAGGCCAATAATTGAAGTTAAAACAGACCAAACCCTATTTCAGAATAATAGAATATACAGAAAGAGAAGAAGAGGAACTAAATTCCTCCAGTGGAGATTAATCTAATTTAAAAAATAAAATAAAAACTTATGTCATCACATTAGGGAAATATGTACCTGCCCGGCATTACGAGAATCAGGATCAATCTTTAAGCACTTCTCATATGCTTCAATGGCAAGAGAGATATCACCAGCATCTCTGTAAAGAACACCTATAATCAAATACAAAGTTCACAACCATCAATTACTTATTGAGGAAGCATTTCATCAACTGATAGAAACGAGATAAAGAAGACCAAAAGCCAAAAGAATGAAAAAATCCAGATATTTCCATGAAAGAAGAATATTCTCTCACTATAACTGTTCTTATCCTAAATCAACTTTAAGTTAAGCCAAAAAGTCATCATACACACGTTTCATGGTCAGTTGATTGAATAAAATAAATCACTCTTTCCGTCCCTGAAAAATAACTATTTTCCAGGGATGGCAAAGTGGACTATTTGTCTGGGATGGAGTAAATGTCAGTGGGCATACACGTCCACAGCAACAGTTTATTTGGGGGAGAGGAGGAAGGGATAGAGAATAGAGACCTAAGTTATTGTAAGCTTCTGCGTACGTAGGGTTAGCAACAATGGCTTTCTCAATCATGCTTGCAGCTGCATCCATCTTACCCTAATGAGAACTGTAGACGTAAGAAATCATTTCACACAAGCTCCAGCAAGATAGGATAAGTAAATATGTAATATGTAATGAACCTGAACAGTGTACACAACTCCAAGATTGTTTAAAGACTGGGAGAAATTTGGTTTGATTGACAATGCCATCTGCAAAAAGGCCAACAGAATTAGTTTAAAATAAGAGTTTAGCAAACCTAAACCATTGCAATTTCAGAAAGAACCAAATTACCTGGTAGCACTCCACTGCTTTATCAAGGTTATCCCGATCCTTGTATATCACCCCTAGATTGTTGCAGGCCTCTGCACAATGAGGGTTGAAGTGGAAAGCAAGCTCATAAAACACAATTGCCTGCACAGGGTGTAGAAGTTTAGGGAGTGATTAAAAGCAACATGCTCATCGCCAACAATCAGGTCAAACTGGAAGACAGAAAATTTACCATTTCAAATTTAAGCATTTCACCATATGCAACCCCAAGATTGTACATGGCATCCGCATAGTGCCAATTGTAAAAAAGTGCCTTCTTATAGTAAGCTACACCTTGATTGATATCTCCCTCCAGTTTAACCTGGATCAAAATAAAGTTCAACAATCATTAACAGGAGGCCCACTCTCACCAATCACATATATAAAAATCCGTGCCAGCCTACAGCCACAAAACAAAATTTTTAGCTTTTAAAAAAAAAATTCCAATTAGAGACAGAATGACGAAGGAAATTATCAAATGGACCTGTAGTAGTCTATACTCCTCCATCACAAAACAAGAGTCATGTTTGTTCTACTGTTTTAGATCCACCAACAGGATTCTATTTTCGGGACAGATGGAATAAATTGAATAATAATATTGTTAAACAGTTGCATTAAAATATCATTCTTTCTCTTTTCCTAAGCTTCCAATTTGGTGTCATTTCTGTTTCATCCTTCCAAAAGTTCTGTATTAGTAACATATGATGAGAGGTCAGCAAAAAACTATCGCGCTCACCTTTGTGCCTAAATCAGTTAAGGCAATTGCCATATTATTTTTAGCAATCTCAAAATTTGGAGACACAGCCAAACACCTGAACAGCAGAGAAAAACCCCATAGAATCAACTTTAAGCAACTGCAATAAGCATTCAGAAAAGGAAAATATAAGATCAATATGATCTGGACCTCTCATAACAGGCAATTGCGGAGTCCAGATCACCTCGGTTTTTATAGATGACACCCATGTTACAATATGCTTCCGCATACATGGGTCTCTCCAAGGCAGCCTTCTCATAGCAATTAAGGGCCACATCATATTGCATCATTTCAGAATAGACAACCCCAAGGTTATAGTAAGCGGGCTGCAAGCAAAACCGAACATCTTAAAAATGAAAAAGCTAGTCAAGATAAAAGTAGTCAGGAATGTGGTGGCAAGTATAAAAAATGATGAACCCACAGCATAATGAGGATCCACTTTGATGGCCTCATGGTACTTTTGAATTCCCTCCTGAGTGTTACCAGCAAGTTTTAAGCTTGTTCCAAGATCAGTTAGCACAATCCCTAGGCATTCTGCAGCTGGTTTGTATGAAGGATCGGCCAAAAGAGCTTTCTGATACGACTGCATCATTACAAAAAATCAATTTCAAAGAAACACTTAGCCAGCAGCCATTGCAACCCCAAAACCATGCCAGTATATAGAGAATGAGATGCATTGGCAATTTGTACATCACAGAACCAGAAAATACAAATAAACAGAAACAAAGAGCTCAAAGGTAAAGGAAAACAATAGAACACCTAGCAACAGTTCATGATCAAAAAGATTTATGCTTGTGCATAGCAAACAGTAAATTATGAAGTACATGCTATGAAGTATTGAGCCATTTCTCCTCTCAAGTTTGATACAATAATATTAACAAAGAGGTTATGACAGTTTCCTTATAGCACTGATTCAAGTTTAAGCTTTAACTAAACTTTCTGACAGAAGTACTTTAGCAACTCATTTTCGTGTTTTAAACAGCTGTTTCAAAGTGTTACATAAACTCATATTTTGAGTTCTTGGGAGTAATGCTAGGCAGAAAGGCAATCCTCATTTGCTGCAGTTTTTCATCATGTGCACGGAAAAGTGATTTTCTGATCTCAACTGGAACCTTGTCCCGTAGGGTTAGTTTGTTTGTCTTCAAGTCTTAAGGAGGATGACACTCATAACTTAAACAGACATTCAGGCCATGGCAAAAATAATAAAGAGACATAATTCTCCCATTGCGCTTTCGAGAAAAGAAAAAACACAAAACAGATTTTAATGCGATAACAGTAATGGCAGTGTGTAAACATACTTCTGCAGCCTCCATAAGGCGGCCTTCCTCCTTGTATATGATTCCACAGTGGGTAAGAACACATGGATTATGCGGGTCTAGTTTGATAGCTTCAGCAAAGCTGTCAAGAGCGGCTCTACCCATATTCTGCATCTGCAAGCAGATTCCTTTTCCTATATGAGCTTCAACATTACCACTATCCGTCTCCAATAAACTCTCATAGATATCAAGTGCATCAACAAATTTGTTTCTGGTGCGAAGAATATTAGCATATGAAAGAGGATCCTTCCCTTGGAATATCTTTTTGGGAGGACTGATGCTTGGCGAGCTTCCAGAACTAGTAGAAGGCTGCCCTCCTTCCAAGGAACCATTCTCGCCAGTGAAATCCCTTTCATCTACATTACCGTTTACCTCATCTGTCCATGCCATTTTATAATACTATAGGCCCCCTTTCCTGACCAAAATCATCAGATTAAAGAGCCACAGATTGGATCAGACAACAAACCACCAATAACAAAAAACACTGGTTGACTTTCTACTTGAAGAAAATTCTAGTATGATTTATTTCGTCCATATCCACATAATCAAAGACTAAGATATGCGCCTCTTTTCCCTTCTCACAAGGGGGAAAAGAAATCAACTTTGACACACAATAAAATCACAATTGAAACCTTGTATATCAATGATCAATGTATTATAGACAGTAACACCAACACACATCGTGTCCACTTTGTTTCTCACATTCGAAACCCTAATACAAACACGTGGTGGTTGCAGGATAGGACAGTTTCCACTTAAAACTACATTGTATCACATGAACCACAATAAAACAGCATAATAAACCAAGTAAAATAAAAGGGCAACCCTCCTAACTGGGGCGACAAATTGGCATCACAGCTCCATAGAATAATACCGAAGACAAACAAGAGCCTTAAACAATAAAAATAGAATCTTGAAAACGAATTAGAGAGACTGAAACAAAGAAAGTGCAAGAATCTTGTATGACAACAAACAACCCTACTCCAAGAAGAAGAAAAAACTGACAATGGAAAGCTTACTTTAAAGTCCAAGAACCTTGTGATAGTTCCACTAAAACCTTCAAACATTAATACATGGCTTTGCCTCCTCTTATTGATACATATATGATTGATGCTGCTCCTTTCTTGTCCCCCCAATCAACGGCGTCGTATATACAGTTATGAACAACCTTAACTCCCTCGTTTTCTTTATTCCTTTCTCTACTGAAAGACACAATGTGTCCTTGTTGAGTACACGGAAAAGGGGTCTAATCGGAAACGGCGGAGGGCGTCGGAGTAGGGGCGGAGGAGTGGAGTAAAGGGGGGAAAAGTGGCGGCTTTTTTTTTTTTTTTTCTTTATTTCTCTCTCCGACACTGGAAGGTCTCCAAAGCTCCGGAGCTCCTACTACTTACTATTCGTCGGTTTGCATCAATGCCACCATACGGAAACCTTTGTTACGACTTTATTAACCCTACCCTTTCCTTCTTATTGCGTACTTTTGCCACGCTAAATTTTCGCGAAATTACCCATTGTTGAAGTTAATTGCATTATTGTCGTGTAATTTTATTTTGCCGCTAGCTGAATTGCATGTTAGTTCCAATTTTCCCAAAATTAGTTACTACAATGTGATTTTCTATAGAAAGAAAAGAAAAACCTGTCAATCATCTGAACTGGTTGAGAGGGAAAATTATGATTACCTAATGGCAAGATAAAAATCTACGATTTGATAAATTCTTAAATAGTCAATAGAACAATAATTGTATCTTTTCAACTCAAAATAAAAGGACAATAAAATATCTATTCCTATCTAGACTTTAAATGATACTTGCTGTATTTTAAAAAATTGTTTTGTTAAGTTACAAACATCTATGAATTAATTAACATAAAAAAAACCACTCTCGACATTTTTAACGTATTATCTAAAACACTTTTATTATTTAAGAAAATATCAAAAAATTCATAAATCAACAATTCAATTATCAAGAGGGTTCTCCGACGACTGCAAAATGATGTTTGCACACAAACTCAACCAAAAATAGTTGCAAAAAAATATTTACACCCTGTAAAAACTCCCCTGAAATTATTTTAAAACTCTAATAACAGGGTATATAAATTCCTATATCCAAAAATCAAAATTGTACAGATCCTCAAAGTTGAATTTTGGATTTTGAATTAGATATTTAATTTTATTAGAGTTTGAAAAAAAAAAATTTAAGGGCGGTTCTTACAGGTTACAAATGCTTTTTTTATACTTTTTTACTAATTCATAAGCATACATAAATTTTCAGTCGCCAAATGACCTTGATAATCAACTTGCCGAATAAAGGATATTTTTGATATTTTCTTAAACACTAAAAGTATTTTAGATAGTGAGTTAAACCTCGGGATTGTTTTTGATACTAACTCTTTTATTTTTGATAGACAATGATCAACTGAAACAATAACTACCGGGCATTTAAATTAGCAGTTTAATTTTTTTTAAAAAGAAAAAGTTGTATATTATTATGTGTTTGATGATCTTACAGTTTTCAACCTTTCTTTAAAAACCATATTTTATTTATGAAATCCATAATATTGCCAAGTTACAATTATCACTAATTAGGCTAGTGACTTGTGAGCATAAGAAAATTTTCATTCTTTTCCCGATTAAAATTGAAAAGTTTCTTCGGCAAAAGAGCAAATAGAACGAGGACTAAATCGAAAATATGTAAGTTGTTAGAGGATTCATCTACTCATTAGTGGAATCTGGAGGGACAAAATTGGCAAGCAGCAGTGCAGCACTTCCGCAGATTTACATTATACTCCGCTCATAGACTGCTGACTTTTATTTCTTTCGCCGGAAAAATCAACCAGTTTTCAGGTTTTAGTTCCTCAATCTTCTGGCAAAGAACGAAGAAGAAGTCCGACGTGTTTTCCCAGAAGCCAAACCTCAGATTCCAATTCCCGCCCTTAGATATGGCGATGACTGTCGAAGGTACCATACCCCCACTCTTTGTATCTCTAAGGCGCTTACCCGCACTTTATGAAGTTAATTGCGATCGGTGCCTGAGTTTTTTCTTTTTCTTTCTTTCTTCTTTTGTTCTTGTTATTCAGTAGGAGTCATAAATTTTGTCTTCGGTCTAAGTTTAAATGCGATTTTCCGGATTTGTAATCATACACTTTGACGGTTTCACATTGAACACTTACTGTTTGTTCAGCTCCATTCATTTTTTATTTTTTGAGATCATATTGGCAGAATTTTTGTACATGCGAATGATTTCTGTTCAGCATTTAGCTAATTGTTGATAAGAGCAATCGAATGTTTCCGATTAAACGATTGTTTGACTGTAGTTTGGTTGTCATCGCTCTGAGGGCCGAGCTTTTTTAATCCTATTCATTTTAGGGTAACAGCATTTGAAGAATCATTTACTAAATTTGTCCGTTTCTGCTTGTGTTGCTATTTTTTCGTGATTACTTTTGTGATGACTTTCCACTCCAATATTCTCATTTCCTTTATCCTGTGAAAATAAACTGATGATGTTAATTTGATTTGGTTTTTCTGATGGTGCTTCCTGGGTGTTGCCAATTGGTGCTGGCTCAAATTGATGCAGTGTAAGAAGATGTATACATATTGGAGTTTTTTTGTTGTGAGCAGATTTTTCAGTTTGATCTCTAATGCATAACTTGCAACTTTCAGGCTTGCTGGGCTTGCTTTTATGTTCTCATCTAGCATCTTGTTACAAATTCTGGTAGGCTTTCTCCACTAATTGTCTGTTGTGCAATTCATTTTATCACTTCGAATGGATTTGAGATGTCTGAATTCGTTTTAGCTTTCATGTTTGAGTGATCTCTTTCATGTCATCTTTTATAACAGATGTTCAAGCTTACTTCTAACTTTGCCACAAATGCCAACTTAGTTGATCATAATACACTCGTTGATCTCATGTGGTCTTGGGGCCATCGCTTCACTATTTTTAATCAACTGTTCTACAATACCACCACTAAATTAATCTTGCAGCTGTGGTTGTGTCCTGATGTTGTAACACTGTAGGGTCTTTTTTTTTGTTATTTCAGAAATGCTATCCGATGACCCTTAAGCAGTTAGTTAGCAATTGAAATACCAGATTACTATAGGCCGTAGTAGTGGCTGCTAATATTTGACCTCTGAGCAGTCCACATGTACCAAGCATTGTCTTCTGTTTATATTTCTAGCTATTGCTCCTTTGTTTTTTGACGTGTCAAAGAGGTTGAACCTTTTCTCCTCACTTGGTTACATTGTGCTTTTTATGTCTTGTGTATACAGGCTTGTGCAATATACAGTAATTGGTGGCCGCTGTTATCAGGTTTGTTGTGCTTACTGCAGCTTTCTGTCAACGCCTGTGTAGATGAGAAGGTTCAGTCTTAGAATATCTGATGCTCATTTCCTGAAGTCTTATTTCTGCAGCTCTCATGTATGTGGTAGTGCCTATGCCTTGCCTGTTCTTTGGTGGTGGGTCCACTCAGTTCTTGACCAGCCGAGATGGTGGAGGGTGAGTGGCCTTGATAACCTCTGTCAATTGATTCCTTAACTACTAACATTATTGGGTCAATCTGTTGCTCTGACCTGGACACATGCTTGGTGTCTAAGTTTGTCCTCTGTTATTTTCTTTACTAGCAGCACTAGGTTTCTTTATCATGAAAATTAATCTGATGAGAAACTTTGAGGTTTGCGTTGTCTCATATACCTTCTCGTTTTACATGTATGAGGAAGTTTGCAACTTTATGAACCGTATGGATTCATTATAAATTGGAGATGTGGTAGAAATGAAGCCTATTAAGGTTTGATAGCTCCATTAATTGTTGTTGTAGACTGGGTATTCAGTGGAACTGCTACCCTTGTGCTTTAAGGAACTGCTATTGTTGTTAGTTCCTTAAACAACTTTTTCCTTTTGATAGAGCACAGTGTTCATAGTTGGGCATGTGATTGTTAATAATGGTCTTTCAACAAAAAATTTTGGAGATGGTTAATGGGTTTGTTCTTTGGCTGCTTTAGCATACTAGTATCTGGTAGTCCTCATTGTTGTTGCGTTTCCTCAACCTTTTGATATTTCCGTCTGTTGTTTTTTCTCCCAAAAGCAATTTTCTTTGTTAAATCTTTTGATGTGTCTTCTTTTTCGGTAGATGGATGGATGCGGCAAAGTTCTTGACAGGGGCCTCAGCTGTGGGGAGCATAGCCATTCCAATCATCCTCAGGCATGCAGGTTTGATTGGAACGGGAGCTATGTTCATTGAATTCACGTCGTTCTTTATATTTGTCTGCACTGTATTGTGTTTCCATCGGGCTAGCATTGAGGATGAATGGGTGTAACCAAAGATCTAGTTTTCCGAAGCTGCATGCTGCTTCCTGCCATGGCTACAACGAATAACGCAGTTGAAAATCAGAGATGGCATGAACGTTCCACCATGTATAGTTAGAGTAGACTGGTGTTGATCAACCTGTGATCTATGTTCCATGATATGCTAATTTCATTTGATCTTTTATCAGATGTATAAGTTTTCAACTCATTAGTACGAAGATCACAGATAACTCTTACTAGGTAATCAGGGCAACTGTAAGTCCCAACTCAAGTTGCCAGTTTGTGTTGTATCATATTTAATGTACCTTTGGAGCTGTCATTTGAATTAATTGGAGAACAATGCTCTAGCAGTGACAGACGCCCTGGTGCACCTGTGCCACTGCAGGGACGGGTAAACTAAAGAATCAGTGGGGGGGTATTCGACAGGTCACAACTCACAAGTGTGAATGTGCGACCAATATCTTTTAAGATGTTTCCCTGGTGTCTCTTTTCTTTATAATTAGTGTTTTCTAGTAATAAAAGTGAAGATCTTGTGAGAAAACGAAGGTCGAGTGTGTGTGTGTGTGTGTGTGTGTGGCCCTTGATTGCTTGGTAGCCTAATGGGGGGACAGGTTTCCATGGACACGTGGTTGTCTTAGGTTGCTTGGTCTTCCTTACAAGTTACTCTCCCTGTCCCATAATTATTGTCATGTTTGAGTTTTTATTTTTAGTTCAAATTATACTAAAAGTGAGATCTCAAACTGGACAGTAATTTTGGAACAATGAGTATGAGGCATACGGAAGACCACCACCATGAATGGAGAAAACTGAATTCTTCAGGACCAGGGCATAATCTTATTTGTTACTTCAATTGTCAAGAAGTGTAATCTTGTCGTTGCTTCTGCTTTGTATTTTCCTTCACCGGCCGGTCTCTTTCTTTACTAGTCTCCTAAACTTGGTCTTCGCATGACTGAATTTTGAAGTCTTCCGTAAAGAAGACGACTGTCTACAAAACAGTCGATCTCTCAAGAACTTCCTCTCTCTGGCATTTTTGAGGCATTCATAATCTCCCTTCAGAAAAGGCAGGGTTCCTTTAATAATGATTGAAGTTTCAAATTAGTTTTTTCACTCTGTCCCTATCTGTTTTAAGCATATCAACATAGAGAGGTCTGCAGAGCCAGAGTTTTTACCTTAGAAACTTACATCTGCCCTCACTATTTTTTTTTTTTCTGAGTACTCTTTATTATCGATTAGAACTGAGTTTATTGAGGTGAACATTATCAAAAGTGAAAATTTATACCAAAATCAAGTTCGTGTCAGTTAGATAATCTATAGCCTCCCATTCAGAATACATAAAATTGGAAAATCTTACCGATAGCTAAGAAAACAAAAACCTACCTAAAAATATGTAAGAAAATGAAAGATGTATAGCACCTTTTTATTTCCCTTTTTTCTTTAACGAATGGACAGTAGTACGATTTTTTTTTGTTATACTCCTCCTCCAATATATATTTCAGAACGATAGAATGATGTTTGGCTTAGTCCTGGATCATGCACGACCGTTTCAACTCCTCTTCGACGTCTCAGTTAATTACTAATAAAACCAATCAAATTGTTCCCAATCCCACATTGGCACATTCTGGAAATCCAAATTGGTTTGGCTCTCATCCGGTTCCATTAATGTTGCTTGGGAAGGCGGAGGCTGAACGGGAGGGTTTGGGCCGTCGTAGGAAGATGATGGTCTGGATGAGCTTGCACCTTGATCATGATCACAAGCCAGCTGTGATGAACGGTTAGGATGAGGATAATATGTGTCTGGCCGCTGGCTGATCCCATCAGCCTGATCAAGGCCCGCGGATATTTCTTCAACATCTTGAATAGCCACCTCGTTTCCAGCTCCGGCGTGTGCTGGCCGCCGATCAAATGCCCGCATCGACTTTGGCCCATTGTAAACTCGGCACACGCTCAGCTCCTGTCGTAGCTGTACATATATGTGTACAAATGTGTGTATTATTGCATATTATAAAAACTGACACCAAAAGACATAAGATGTATTTTTTATCAATATATATATACCCAGCCAGTTTACACTTTACATGCATGGTAATATGCATGGTACCGCATGATTAAGGAGCTAAGATCATGATATTCAGAGCTTTGATCACTTTTAATTATACTAGTATGATATAAGATTAGGTTTAACATCTCAACTTAAGTTTGAGTTTTTATTGAGACCATTCGATGACTTTGCATTGACACAATTTCTTGGCTTCTAATAGAACGTTTATTTACGTCCTATTGAGGGATAGACATACTGGGACGCTTAAGAACATAAAATGACCTTTATGCAGTAGCGTGCAACGATTTTGTAACATTTCTTTAACTCTCGCTGTGACTAAAAGTGAAATCATAAATTGAACAATTTTAAGACAGAAAGAGTTGTACTTCCTCTTTCCCGAAATTATTGTCCAGTTTGTATTTTCATTTTTATTATAAACTGAACTAAAAAAACAAAAATCTAGACTAAACAATAATTTTTCGACAGAGAAAATGTATAATTTACATCCGATATCTGAAGTTATTACTCCAACTAATCTGAATTTTGTGCTTGTGTTATTGAAAATGCCAACGTAATATAATTCCTATTTGAAAGGGGGAGCTGAAAATCAACGTACCTTTAGATTGGGAGGGTTGGAGGAGGAGGAAGCTTGGCCTTGTTCAATGGCTCTATACTCGTTCATCTTCCAGGAGGTTTTCTCCCCGTTAGGAGCTCTTCCAGTGTAGAAAACCATGGTTCTCTTCACTCCAATAACACGATTGTTTTTGGAGGAGTAAACATAGCTAGGAGAACCCGTAGCCTTCCAGTATCCTTCATTCGTTAACCGATTCGGCCTTCCCCCAAGCGCTTCCCGATCTTGCATCGGTATGAAGAAAAACCATTGCTCCCTATCTCTCCGACAAAATTCCCCTGCTAATTCTGCTAACCCCTCACGCATTCACTAATTATTAGGCCGTACAAAAATGAGGAAAGTGTACTACGTAATGAATATCTTAAATGAAGATCAGGATCCTATTCACTGAGTTTAATTAGACTTATTTGGATTTTCACTTTAGTTATTTTGCACTAAAAATGAAAATCTAAATCTGACAATAATTTCGGGACGAAAGGAGTAATTCATTACCTGGAAGGTCGGAAGGCAGATAATCATAAATATCAACAACTGGAATCACAGCATCAATGTCAGGCCTGCTTCCTTCAAGCTTGTGGTGAAGAAAGAAAGATATCAACTCTTCTTCTGTTGGGTAAAACCTAAAACCTGGGTATCCAGCCGCATACTGATTCATCATCATTCATGTAAACTTGTGGACTGGATACCCTTTTCAGACGTTATATAAAGCACGAATGGAATCCGTGTTTAAAGGCCACTTTAGAATTGGAATGAGAAAAAAAAATAAAGGGGCGAGCGAATATTGAATTTACTCGGAAATTTTACTCGGTCCTGCTCTCTTTGGAAGAACATAAGAAATTTGGTCGCCATTTCCCACCTCCTTGGACTTGTAAGTCAACTTCATACTTGTTTTGTAATTAGTTTGATTAGCGATTTAATTATACCGCGAAAATGCATTTAGTAAATCAAAATAATTATTAAAAACAATAGATCAAGCAGATGTGTTTCAGGACCAAGTAATAATACAGATTTTTTTTTATCTCAAAAAAAAATAATAATAATAACATAGACTTTTTTCAGAAACAATTAATTAATACTCCCTCCGTCCCATAATTATTGTCCAGTTTTACTAAAATGAAAGATTTTATTTTTTGTCAAACTTAATTATATTTTACCTTAAACAACCGGATATACCCCTACATAAGTAATTGTTTAACTACTAAGTTTTTATGGATAATGTTTTTTACTAAGGACAAATGTATAACTTGATCCATAAAAAGTCAAATTGGACAATAATTTTGGGACAAAATTTTAGGCAAAATGGACAATAATTATGAGATGGAGGGAGTACTTATTTTGTTTTGATTGATTGCTTGCTCACTTTTTATAATATTAATACTTAAAATGAAAATCCAAACTCAATTATTTTGGACGGGGAACATATTCTCCATTCAAATATATATATATATATATATATATATTATATTTTTAATACGAAAAACACACACTAAAAAGAAAGAAATAAAATATCCTAATTTCCATCATGAATCCAAAGTTAAAATATTAATCCCTTCCAATCTCATAAATAGGACCGAATTACGATGTTATAACGCGAACGAGCATATTTTCTACTCGAATTCGAAGAGAAAAATCATTACTACCAAGAATTAACGGGCACAATGCATACAGTACAAACGGTTTTGTTCGGTGGTTGTTCTTCCGTTGAAATTTGAAGGCAGGAATCTTCTGCGTCACCTTCCTTCTCATGACACTATCTTTGTACAATTAAATTATTGTTTATAAATAATATAATTTGTGTTAATACATACATATATTTTAATTATAACTAATTTTCATGTTGTTTTTTATTTTTATATGCTATTTTCTTTTTAATGAAATTTGACTATTATTCTGAATTTTAATTTATGAAAATTGAAATAAATAGGCCTAAACCAAAAAAAGTGAACCCTTACTTTTAAAATGTATAACTTTTAAAGTGATTGTGAATGGAATAATTAATATTAAGGCAAACGACAAAATTTACGCGAAATTATGAACGATGCAACAAAAAATGTCACAAGAAAAATGTAAAAATGTATTCCGGTTGGATTTATCATTGATTAGTAAAATGTATTCGCTGAAACTTGAAAGTCATTTAGCAATATTTTCATGATCAACAATAAAAAATTTTCTGAGCTTCTAATTTTAGTTGCATTAATTACTGGTTGGGGAATATATATGTTCTCTCCTGGCACACCAAATTGGTAAGCAAATAGTACTAGTAATTGTTACTGTCATTGTCGGGTAATTAAAACGACATAACACCAACATTTACGCGCAAGTGTAGTGTAGTAATAAGACGGACAAAAAACACACACACACGCATACAAAAAAGACTTGACTCGAGACTTGAATTCTTTCTCCCTAAACTAATTTACTCAAAGGAAGTTGTTTATGTATGTATGCCGATGATGAAAGTAAACGTGACGTCGTCGAAGAACTTGTCTGGAACTTTCTTTCACTCTACGCATGTTGGACCAGAAAAATAAATAGGAAGAGCGATCTAATAATTGAATGGAATTTGTTCCAATGATGATGTTTCCCTTTGCTGATGTTGCAACTGGTGCTCGGACAGAGGTACCCCCAAGACCTCAACAATTGTTCTCCAAAACTTCAACTCGATAACACGCATGGTTGAAACGAGGAACAGTTAATAGTAAACCTTCTGGTTCTAAAACTTTTTATCCTTCCCGTTTCTCAAAACAGTTTTTGATTCAAGGAGACGGATTTTGTTAAGATCTATCAATCAACTACTCGGTATGTTGTATGTAATGAGTGATCACACAACTAGATTCACTACTTCCATGTGTGATAAGTAGGATTAACCATGATGTAGAGGTATGTCATGCCTAGGTACTTTTTAAAATTATATGATATTCAGAGGGCTAGGTTGTAATAATTAGTTTATTATTGAATTAGTATTAATATATATTGGCATTATTGTTGGAGAGAATCATCATTGAAAAATTATCAGTTAATCTAAACTTCTCTCTCTCACTTTTTTTTTTATATATCATTATAGGTATTCTAGACTATTATATTTGTAGAGTCTACTGGAAGAAAGGGATATTACTAGAGAGATACTTTACGCGTGCACGCTTTTGTTACGTGTCCTCCTGCACTCCTGTACTGAAATTCTCTCTCTCAAATCCCGTTTCTTCCCCAATTCTCTTTTCTTCTCCAATTCTCTTCTCTCTGGGTTGATTATTAATTTCTCATGTTTCTCTCATCAGCTATTTTTTTTTTTTGATATATTGAGGAAGCATAAGAGCTTTGTTTACAAAATGATTCCCTAAGAAGGAACCGGATTATTCGACTCTAGCTTATCTAATACTATGAAGGGAGGTGGTGTCAAAATATGTGAACTCATGGGCTGCATTTCCGATAATATAGAGAATCCAGAACTTAGCGGGCTTTGTGCCTTAATCTGCAAACTATTTCATATCTGGATCAATTGTGAAATCAGCCCAATACTTGAAAGCCCTTTAAACCTGACATGATAATTCCAGCTTTAGTCTATCTAGTCATATCGTTCGAGCATTATAAATAGAAGCGTTTCCCCGTCCTCTTTACCCTGCTCCGCCGCAAGCTAGGGTTTATGGATTCCACCGAGTAACCCCAAGTCAGCGATCTTTATCTTTGTTTTGTTTTCAATGTCTTTTGATAATGCTTTGCGTGGCCCTTAAGATCGCCTTCCATCATCAACCGTGGAAGCGTTTCGAGTCATAGCTGCGCTATATCAAACATATGTGCAGACCGACCCATGAGAATGGGTTCGTTTCGTATTCATACGGGTTTCTCTTTAGGGTTTCCTACTGATGAATATCTGTTTTAACCCACTTTGTTTTTTTCCTAGAGGCATATCACTTTTGATTTGGGTTCCTGTTTATCGTCATCTTTCGTTACCAGCTGATTACATCAGTTGGTTTACTGATGCGATTTTTCAGGCCCAAATCCCCAATCGAATGTCTCGCCTTTAAGTGGGATTACAATTTATGTTATGTATTTAATCCATTCTTTCTGTTCGATTTGGTTAAAATTAGTATTGATATGGTATTTGCAAGGATGATGATACAATTAGATGTACGAGAGGGGTATTCCTCACTGAGCTTAACATTCGAGGCTTATTGATATCCTGACTTGCATATGCCAATGGCAATTTCTTTAACCTTTCATAGTCTTTTTAGCTGATTTTGGTTTATTTCGTTTTTTGTGTATTTTGCCTTTGGTAAATTTCTACCATCAAAGAAATTTTTTTTTCCCCTTTTTGGTTGCTTTTGTAACCTTTAATGGCAAGGATGATGAAACGGTTGTGGTAATGAAGGGAGTTCTCCCTCCTGAACATATTCCAATTCGCTTATTGATATTCTGACTTGCCATTTTCATCTATTCCTAGAAAAGATTCTGGAACATGAGTACACCTTAATCATCATTTTCTTCTGAACATGAAAAAACATTAATTCAAATTCTAACGGCGAGATTAATTGTACTGAAATAGTTTGCCAATACCAAGATAAGATTTGATTTTGAGCAATTAAGGTTAACTGAACTCCTCAATACCGAAGCAAACCCAAAACAAGGAACTGTAAACTTAGTATATATAGAACCCAAAACAATGTAAATTGTAGTGTATTTAGAACGAGACGTCAATGCTTTTGGTTGCTGGTCCATTGTCTAACAAAGTCTATCTTCCAAGTTCAATATGGATGATAAAAGTTCTTTGAGAGTAAGGCCTCTTATAACACATTGGAGCAAACAAGGAATATCCCAGTATGGTAAGCAAATTCCACCACTACTAACCACAAACGGGAACCAAAAGCACACATCAAAGTTAAACCTCCATCACCATGTTCCTGTACATGTTCCTGTATAGTACAACACCCCCCAAAGTAAAGAGAAGTCGCAAAATCACACATCCACCAGACAGAAAGTATAATAAAAATAAGAATATCAAATGTGAGACAAACACCCAGAAATTTGTGTCAACATCTGAACAGGTAAATCTCTTACTTCTAAATAATCAAGAGTAAAGAAAGAAAGAGTTCTATATAAGGCAGATGATAGGATTGCATTTGGTTTCTGCTCGAGTTAATTTAAGGGAGGCATCAACATACTAGTATCACCTTATTCCAATCACCATTCAAATATATAACAGTTTGACAAAATACTAGTGTCACCTTATTCCAATCACCATTCAAATATATAGTAGTTTGAAAAGTGACAAACCCTGTGCTAACGGGTCTAGTTTACTGTCATAGGCAATTCAAAATTGTTGCTGTTATATGCAATTCAACCAGAATTATGTTTAGCCAGTCAACTAAAACAGTGGATCAAAACAAAATCTAGGCATAGAAGGATATGCATTGAAAGATTGATAAATGGCAACTGGCCTAGTTCAAAATAAGTACAAATAACAGGTTGCACATCCATCCTTTTCAAAAAAAAAAAAAGGTTGCACATCTACGATAAGGGGGGCAACAAGCAATCGGGGGCAACAAGCAATCTATAAGCCTAAGTGAAACAGTACTAATGTCAACGATCATAAGTTCATAACAGAGTCTATGAGTACCAACATTTTGTTTGACAGGAAATGCTAGATGTTCTAGTAATTGGGATCAATTTGCAGGGCAAAACCAAACCCATCAATGGGAATTCACTCAGGAGCAGAATGTACCAAAATCGAGAGTATAATTTCAACCCCCAACGAAATCAAATTCTCTGATTCTCGGCAGGAAAACTTAACAGACCAATCCGAAGGAGAACCTTCGAAGCACTCACAGATGAAACCACTAAAAATTCTATCTTTAGGCCTCTGAAAAGCTATTATAAAAATTAAACTTCTCAGTCCCGACTTTGGCTTGATGGGTAGTACTATATAAGTATGTAATTGTAGAAAACTTGGTGCTGATGAAGATAAATCAATCCAGAAAACCTGTCTGGCGCCATATGGCGTTGCGAACCTGACGGAGATCTCTGCCTTTGAGAGTCCTCCCAGCCCCTTCAAGAACCGAGAAAGTCGTCTTTGGAGACCTAGCCGCCGATCCTCTAGCCACAATCTCATGCGGCGGAAGCATCTCATCCTCGGCGTCATCATCATCGATGTCCACGTCAGCCAGTGAACCATTTCTAGGCTTTCTGGGCATAATTGGGACATTCATCGGAGCCGACTGTTGAAACTTCCTCCCTGGCATCGACTGAGAGTAGCTATTGAAGTTGTGCGGCTTAGGAATTGAAGGAATTGGCCGGGAGAAAGGGCTCGGTTGAGTGGGTGTGGGTGAGGCGGAAGGTGGAGTTTTGTGAATGAACGACGTCGTAGATGGTGACAGAGAGGACTTTCTCTGAAGTAGAGGCTGGTTAGGGTTCCGATTATCACTCGACAGGGCAGCAAGTATGCCAAACTTGTCCGGCTGCCGGAAGGGATGCCGGACGTTGGTTACGGCAGCCGGGGAAGAGGACCGACCGTGCGGCTCGTTGAAGTCGCCGTTCCAAAAAACGTCGTCTTCGTTGAGCTCATCGCCTGCGATAAAATCGTCGCCGGATTCTCCGAGAGCAGGGGCTTGCTTTGTAGGAGAGAAAACGCCGAGGAACCGATCGGAGGACGGCGATTGGCGGTGACGGTAGTTTGCGACGCCGTTTTGCTCCATCTGAGAGTGACAGATATTAGCTAATAATGAAACTACGTCGAAAATGGAACAAATAATATCTGCTGATGCTGAAAGGAGATTACGATATTATACTCCTTATTTATAGCCGTAGGATTCCAGAAATATCAGGGGCCCGCAATCGGGGCCTGCAGCTTTTTCTATTTCAATTTAACGGTCCAGATGACATTACAGGAGTATGCGGGGACCTGTCAATTGATGACGGGAAAAAAAGTAAAAACACTTGGAAGTAGTTATTATAGATTTATAATTTATAATAATCACGGCCGGTCGGCCATTGGTCGCCGGGAGAATTGACGGGAAGTGACGATTGATTTCTTCCCATTTTCATGTTTTATTGCATTTTCTTTATTTTCAAGATTTATTTTCTAATTTCTTTTTGGCATTAAATTGAAGTAAATGATATAACGAGTTTCAAGATTCTAGCTGGATAATTTCATTGAATTTTGCTTCAACTTTCGAAACGCCTAACCAATTTTCGTTGTAATGTACAATGAGGTTGAAATCCACCAAGCAGAGTGTTAAAAGTTACTCCCTCCATTCACAAATAGATGTCGCTAGAGAGATTTCACAAAATTTAAGGAGACAATAATTATCTTGTTAAAATACTATAATACCCTCATTTATTCTTAATTCAATTGTAATCTCAATAAAATTCACTTCTAATACAATTCTACATTAAACATCACAACAATTTCCAATGTAAGGGTGATATTGGAAAAAATTGACAAAATATGCCTCGATTTGTGAGAACGACATCTATTTTTGAATATTTGAATTTTCCTACAACGACATCTATTTGTGAATGGAGGGAGTATATAACTAATGCAAAAATTCAGATAAATGTGGAATGCAGGTATAAAAATACTCTTTCTATCTCAAAATTATTGTTCAATTTAATTTTTTATTTATACTAAATTAAAAAAGTAAAAATTTAAATTAGATAATTTTGCCAAAAACAAAAAAGAAATAATAAATTTCAAATAAAAACGTGCACCAATATGTTCAAGTTTGAAAAAACAAACAAAAAGACAGTATAAAACTGTTCAAAAGAGACAAAAGATACAACAGAATCCTTAAATATGATTTGAATAGTGATACATTTGTAGAAACTTTACAAGAAAAATGTTACAGGAAATTATGTGAATCTAATCTCAACTATCTTGAACTTTAAATGCATAACTCTGAATGAAAAGTGTAAAAATGAATTTATGAGAATACGGTCGGAGTTAGGTGGGGGGCATTAGGGCCTTGACCCACTATTCCCACCCTAAATCATGGTATATATTTTAAATAATTTTTTAAATTAAATTTTTAGTCATCAACTTTTGTTTATTTCATAATAGTTGTGTTTAGTATTTATTTTTAATTATTTATTCCTTCCAATTTGTGTTTGCTTGATTAAGATAGTCCATAATCAAAATGAATTTATGTTAGTTAGGTCACATATTATTTAAAATAAAACATTACAAAGAGTTAAAGGTTATTCATAATTGTAAGTATGGTACATATTAACTAATAAAATATTTTTGATGGATTTGAACTAGTATGATAAATAATATTCTATCCTCCATCCTAAAATAATAATTATATTTAAATTTTTAATATCAATATATTTTCACTATTGAAAATGTAAATTGATATTTTTTATGTCTCAAAATTATTTTTATTTTAAAATTTTGTTTTTAGTTCATTTCATTGGTAATGAGAAGAGTAACTAATTTAGAATAGGCCGGGGAGGAAAAATGACCCTAGCTTTTTACAGAGGAAATCATCGTGGGCTTCCGTTTCATTTCATCACAACCTTCTTTAAGGTTTATAAACTGAAGGCCCAAATGAAGAAGACACATATCAACGACCTCAAATTTCTGATATTTTCTTAGTGGACTGTGAAAGACAATTTACAATTACTTTTCAAACCCACATTATATTATGCCTTTGCTTTTAGTCCATTTCATCAACCTGTTTAGTTCGGCGGCGTAAAACTCATAATTAATGAAAATAGAATCCCAAATTGTATATCTACACAATATATAAAGGGGGAGTTTCACCGGCCATGGACCTGTTTAGGTACGGTTGCTGATCACTCCCTCAATACGTGGCAATAAGTGCAGTAGTCCAGCAGGTGAAACGGGAATTTTTTTATGTTGTCATGTGTCCCGTCATTTCCTTATTCTATCGTGAGCAGTACAATCGGTCTTCCCTTCTATTCCTTCAGTTCCAACCGCACTCAAAATATTTCTTCTTTTCTTTTTCTTCTCTGAGGTTATTGCGAGATTGTCTTCATCGGTGAGAGCATCTCCAACGCGTCCGCTAAACTAGACGGACGCGTTGGATTTGGCGGAGCGGGCGCTCCAACACACTTCGCTCCGCTCCGCTCCTCTCCGCCAAAGTGCTCCGCCCTCCTTCAAATCTGGCGGAGCACTGTTCACCCGCTATGAAGCGAATGACCTTGCTTGTATAATTTCGAGCTGCTTTCTTTCCCAATATCGACGAACCGATACATTCGGAATAGAGTTCAAGTCCATCATCAACACTTTGTCCTCTTATTGTTTTTTTCTGTACTCCAAATTTTGTTTTTGTATTTTAAGTTGTTGGTTTTGACATTCATCTTGTGCCTTTATAAAATCAAGCATAGCATCAGTTTTTGCATTGAAAGTACTAAATATCTTACTCAAATGGTCTTTTGTTTTCTTCTTCAGTTTGGCTTTCTCCACTCCCATCGGGCGTCGAGACGATGGTCCACTTCCGGTACCACTATCGTAGCTTTGTTCAGGATTAAGAGATGACAACATTAGAGACTTGGGTGTTGGTTGTTCGGGATTAGGATTTTCGGATTCCGACGAGTCGTTGATTGTAGTACACTCCCGAGAACTATATTTTGGTTGGGGGACATTAAATTTGCCAAAATTTTGTAGCAAATCAAACACATGGCCAAACTTAAACCCGGTTTTAAATTTTGTTGTCTGAATAAATAGCCCTTCGGCTTGTTTTATCTACAAAAGGAAAACAAAATAAGACTAACATACATAAGATTCTTTCAATAATAGCACATTACGATAAAAATAAAATTGAAAACTAGAAAAAAATAAAAATTATAAACTCACCCGATCTCCGAGCTATGTTCCACTAGAGTTGTGATTCTCGATCTGTTGTAAATATCCATTAAACTTCTTACAAATACCTTCAATTATACGAATGCGAGATTTGCATGATCTAAAAATTATTTCTTCCATGTCAATATTCTTGTTCTCGTTATATGCGGAACTTATTCTCTCCCAGAATGTTTGTGCTTTCTGCTTATTTGATTCAATTGGATTTTTTGAAATATGGATGTAATATTTCACAAGAAGTTCATCTTCTGCCCTAGTATAATTAACCCCCTTTTTAGAAGTCATTTTTGTTGTTGAGAGTGCTTGAAGATATAGATTAGAAGGAGAAGTGGATGCGAATTAGAATGAAGTACTCGGATTATTTTATAAAAAAAGTGTGTATATTGACCAATAACAAAACAAATGCATCGGATTCCTTTTCTTGGACTGAAAACATTAGATTCCTTATGCCACCGACAATAAAATGCGTTTGACTGAATATCTAACGTCAATTTAAAATAAATGAATCAGATTATTTCATTTATTGGAACCAACTATCAAGCCAACTTGGACCATCATTATTCATTATTCAATATACATCAACTTGGACCATCATTATTCATTATTCATTATTCATGAACATGGATCATTATTAATCAACTTGGACCATTTAATAAAAAAGAAGTATTGGACCAATAGCTACCGTCAATTAAAAGAAAACATTGTTCCTTATTGTACCGACAATAAAATGTGATGGACTGAATAGTCACCATCAAGTCACAAGAAAACATTGGATTCTTTTTTTGACTGAAAAAATACTCAAGCTATTACTACTATTATTAGTCATGCCAAGCCAAAAAAATGCATAGAATTCTTTTTTTTACTGAAAACTCTAAATGCATTTGTTATCAACGGGGACCATGAAGTTAAAAAAGTAGTGGATTCATTATTTGACAACACATTAATCATCAACTTTGACATCCAACTATCATTTTGGAAGCTGTAGTGGATTATGATATTTGGATATGACACGCGTATTTCGGTATGCCAGGTACTAACAATGACATTAATGTGTTAGAAGCATCTCATCTAATGTCTAATCTTGCAGAAGCTATTGCTCCTCCGGCTAATTACATTATTCGAGGCAAACAGTATGATATGGGTTATTATTTAGCTGATGGTATATATCCCAAATGAGCTACTATAGTACAGTCATTTGTAGCACCAACTAATCCCATGTGACAATATTTTGAAATGAGACAAGAGGCATGTAGAAAAGACGTTGAACGTGCATTTGGAGTTCTGCAAAGGAGATTCGTTATTATCGCAGGTCTTGTTCGTTTAAGGCAAAAAGAAGTGCTTCATGATATAATGACAACATGCATTATTCTGCACAACATGATTATCGAAGATGAACGTGATCTCAGTGCACCAATTAGAGATAATGTGAAATTTCCTATTTCAAATGTTACGCTAATGCCTTGTGAAGGAGACCAATTTGAACAGTTTCTGGCACGGCACATAAAAATCAAAAATAGGAAGGCACATTTTGAATTTCGTGATGCTTTGGTTGAGCATATGTGGGAACAATATTCTCATAGTAATAATTAGTGTTGTTATTTTTTTTTTTCTCCACAAAATATGCATTTGTATTTTCATGTGTGTAATGTTGTTAAATTAATGTTTGCAATATTTTCGACTTGTATTTGTTATGTATTTTTAATGATTTAAATGTAATATTAGTAATGGTGTTTTATTATTATCATAGAGCAAAATGTTTTTGTTATTTTACTATTTGTAATTTTATTTAATTGACATAATATATGGTGAAAAAATTACTATTAATTAATTACATAAAATTATGTAATTTAAATTTAATAATTAATATTACTAATTATTATTTAAATTAACGATCATATGCGTAAATTATAAAATTTCTTAAATGTAATTTATTTTAGTAATAGAATAGAATAAAATACAAATAATAAAATTTAATTTTACAAAAAAAATAAATAATAGGATATATTGAGAATATTCCTTTAGAGGGATTTTATAGAGGGAATGGGTTGCAAATGTTGACACTGTTTAAGTAGTAAAAGTAATGAGATTTAACTATTTCAACTCTAAAGATAGAGTTTAGAGGAGTTTTGGGTTGGAGATGCCCTGAAAGCGAAGCAAACTCCACGGTTTGATTTCCGGTTAGCCTCTCTTTGTCATGTTCTATGTTGGTAATTAGAATTTTTTCCCGTCGATTTGGTGCGACTAAATGTCCTCAGTTGCTTAATGATGCTCTGTTCTTCAATTAAAGTGAAATAGGGCTGGCTGTTGTGTTATCTTTGGAATTCCTTTGTTTTTCTCCCCACTTTTCCTATACCAACGGCTGCTAAATCTATTGTTCTCCCATACCGGCTACGGAATTTTGCTACAATATTTTTCCTTTTAGCGGTGACCAAAAAAAATGTTCTGCATATAAAGTGTTTGATTGTTTTTCTTAAAGAATGTAACCAGGATTTCCCTATTGATTTTACCCATTAAAATTGCAGATGAAATTTAATTTAAGCCTTCAAAATTTTAACTACATTCTCCTGTTCTTTTTAAGAAAACCTTTCTGTGTGAGACTGTGTTTCGGTTTCGTACTCTGGCTCTGCATTATCAGATTATTAATTTACTTCAATCAATAGGTACTTCTTGTTTTTCCATGGTCAGCTCTATGTTGCATTATCAAGAGCAAAAACAATAAAACAATTGAAAATACTCATACGACCAACAACACTGCTTATACAAAGCACTGACTATAAAAAAATATTGTGTACCAGGAAGTCCTGGAAGCTGCAAATGCCAATTAAACGAAGGTGAAATTTTGCTCTCCACTATATATACTTTTGCTCTCTGGTTCGATAATACTTCTGCATTGATTATAGTATGTTTATTTCTTTTTATCAAACTCAATGTCAGATCCGTGCTTATTCCTATCAAGCTGTGATATCAATAATTCTGGGCATATTCTGAATTGATTACAATACGAAGACTTGGATATCATGAAGAGTTATATGCCTAAAGCTTGCGATGAAGTTCTGAAGAATTGTGAAATTTTAAAAAGACATTTTAAAGATATGGTAGTAAACTTTTCACCTTTCAGGAATAACTTTCTGTAATTGTAAGATGATTGTATTTAGAATCTCCCTCTCTCATATAATATTTAGTTTACGGTCCAAGAAAATAGGCTCTGGATGTTGCAATATCGTGAAGGGAAGGATACAGACGGAGGTATAGTTAAAATTGCTGCTGACATGGCTAATGAAGGGCTCATTGATCCTAGCTCTGCCATAAAGATGGTGAAGTCACAGTATGCCGACCAACTTCTTCACTCAAAGGCATGACATCAAAGAATCATGTTTCTGAAGTCGGTTAAATGTTTCGTTTGTACAATAGACTCAAGAATGACTTTATTTCTTTACTTTGAAAACCCCGATGGTTACAAAGACAAAGTGATTACAAAAGGCTTTCCTTCTTCTCCTGGAGCCGCAATAAGGCAGGTCATATTTGGTGCTGAAGATACTGAATCATGGTATACGTAATAGTTCAATGCTCCTACCTTCCTTAGTAACAAGAATTGTAATGAGATGAAGTACGATGAATTCATAACACATGCTTCTACCTTCCTGATCATCCCTTTGTCTTTATACATAGATAAATTTTATATCATCTATTTTTCTATATTCAATTACTTAGTGTTTTATATTATACATAACATTGTAATATTTGTATTTTCCAGATATGCAACAATGATTTCAACTCTATGCACTATTCAGTGTTCAACTTCAATGGTGTGAATGCAATGTTTTACAGTTTCAGATGTCGCTTGCCTGGCCACATCACCTCCTTAGAGAGAAAGATGAGGTTCTTCAAAATTGGCTGAAGCAACGTGCTCATGTTTTCTTCTATCTTCTTTATTTCTTCACAAGTTTTGTGTGATTGAAAAGTTTATGGCTTCTCTCCAAGGAAAGGAATATGCCAATAGTAAGCAGGGATTGGCTTATAGAAAGCATAAACAAAATGAAGCGCAGCTGCTGAATGCTTTCGACATTGTTAGCCGTTTACATGTGCCTGGAAGAGGCATTCCTTTAAATTGACAGGAACCAAGTGAAGAAGCTATTAATATTAAAACTATAACAGCAAAGTGAAAGCTGTAGAGAAAAAGGGATGTCCACAGGAAGAGATTTATATTATATTTGCTACTGTTTCCTACTACAAAAGGGATCTTCACGGGCTTAGCCAGCTTGGAGTCGCAGCAGCTCATAGTAAGCTTGATCCGATGGTAACTAACTTCGTGAAAGTTCTTTGAGGACATGAGCTATACCAATAAAACTTTGTGGGATTGTTTTCCTTATCCCAAGATAAACATGCGGTATCTGATTCCTTGGTTTTGGGTACGCTTTGTCGTAAGGTTCGTATATACTTTACTGTCTTCTCTGTTTTAGCAGCTCTTGACAATCACATTTGTTATGCTTATCGGGCAGGTGATGAAACCCTTCTGGAATTTGTACAAAAGCTGAAATCTAGCCCCAGTGGACCAAAAGTAGATGCGTTATGGTCTACAAGACCCTTTTGCTTCTGTGATCTGAGTAACCCTGCAGAACATGTTAGTATTCATCAAGTCCATAAGATTTTCACAATCTTCTAAAAATAAGTTGATAACATATTTTTAGCAATCTTTTACAAGGTACAACTGCATTTGAAATTGTAAGAGACATAACTACTATCTCTCGTATCATCGGTGATATATCTGGTGGTACCTTAGACGATCCTTTGATTGACCGGTATAAGAAGTTAGGATGCTCAATTTCCCCTGTGGAAAAAAGATTCAAATGATTATAAGTTGATAGTTAACTACCTTGAAAAGACCTATGAACCATACAAAGTCGAAGAAGCGGTGAGCTCATTTCTATACCCTTTAAGCTATATCATCTTTTGTTGATTTCATAATAAATCATAGAATGCAATGTTATCAAAATTTATCTGTATTTTATAGAGTTATGGTGTGTCAGATGAAAGGAGCTTTGCAGTTGAGTTGAGTGCATTCCCCTCTTTGGAAGAAATCAGGAAGCAGCCAAATGACTTATTATTGTGGTGTGGTAAAGAACCAAGTATTTTGCTTAACAGATTGTGAATCTTGATTAATGTTTTATCTGGACAAGTGATGCCATTTCTTGTCCACCAGGTACCCAAAGTTTAAACCTACTATAGCATTTGCAGAAAAGATTTTTGCCAACTGTTTGTTCATTGCCTGTTCCAGAATGTATGGTAAGAGTTTTTATTGTAGATACCGAATTGAGACCCACTTTTGTACTTGATATACTAATTAACTATTGTGATATAGTTTGGAAAACAATTGTGTTCACAGATGCTGCAGAAGAAGCTGTTAGGTATAGTTTTACAAAAATAGACAGGCCAGAAAACAATAACATCTTATTCGAAGAACTATTTTCAGTACATCGATGGATTGGTGCACGTTGTTAATGGTGGGTATCATAAATTCATCAGGTCATTCCCAGTTTAAATTTTACGATATTGAAGAATTGAACGAATGATTAATATTTTTTGGAATCTATTTCGTATATCAGAATCCTAAAGGTTCAGCTTAGAAGAGCTGAAGAGGAAGTCTATGGCGGTGGTGTTCACCTTGAGTTTCCAGTATGCAAGTATTTTTTTTTTGTCTAAAATAGAATAAATAGGGTAATCTCATAACTGTTGAACTCGCTGACTCACAGACGAGTCCTTAATCCTTCATGAAACAGTTGTTATGGTTTTCAACAAGGATAAACCATCTTAATTTTTACTCAGCTATAATTTTTTGCTGACTTGTTCCCGTATTGATTAGATCTCAGTTCTTTCGCTCCATTGTAGCACTGTTATTGTACTTTGTCCTAAATACAATTGTAGATTATAACTTTACATAAGTTGAACTTTTGTTTTTCCAGTAATAATTGCCCTTTATTGTTGCGACATTTCATTATTACTCCAGAATAAGGACAAAGGCCCTACTAGCAGTTGTTGATAAAAAATGAATATATATTATAACAAAAACATAAATAAATTTTTTTTTTCATATATAGGGTTGCAACTCTCGTCTAAGGCTGCACAACGTGCAGCTCCCGTCCCTAGTCACATATAAATTGGATTGTAACCATCTCATTATGATTGGGAAAAACGTCTACATTTTGCTCACAAGGCTCATGAAAATCGTATTTCTTGTCATCTGAATTATGATTACGGAAAATCAAAATCAACCAGAAAAAAGAAAGAAAAATAACAATAGACAAAGGGGAAAAAAATAAAAATAAAAACCCATATGGTTAACGAGCCGGACCATATAATAATATCCGTACTCTAGAATCCAGATAGATAAACATGCCCAGTTATTAGTTGCCAACTCAGAAATCGTGGTGTAACTCAACGAACTGGCGCGAATAGTCCGATCTACCCTTCTTTGCTTCTAAAGCCAAAACTCCACCTACGGGCCGCCGGAACAGTAACCCAAAACCCCCGCACAACCACCGCCCTCAGTCCTACACTCTCCCCTCGTTCTCATAACCTCGAGCTTTTCGCTCCTCTCATCTGAATTGCAGCACCGGAACTGGCGGCCATGATTCCTTCTGTAATTTCAGATACTTCACCTCTTTTCTTCAATTGAAATATCTGCATCTTCTTGAAACATCAACGCAAATTATCAATTGGCGGCATGCTCTAATTGCTATCTGTTTTGTGCATGATCTAAAACTTCGTTTAGATTTTTGTCTCTGGTGGAGTTAAACATGCTAACTTGAAATGATGTGAAATTTGCAGCCACAAAGAAGTGGATCGGGGTTACCGCAGAGCCCTAGATCCCCATATTCGCAAGCGCCGTTTTTATCAGTCTCGGTAACCGATCCAGCTAAGATGGGCAATGGCGTCCAAGCTTATATCTCCTATAAAGTCATTACAAAGGTTTGAATTTGGGCTTTTTGACTCTGTGGTTTGTTACAACTTGCCAGGCCACATAATTACTTTTCCTTCCAGTTACTAATGTATGTTAGCAGTCTAAGATATATCATACTTTTTGGGTCAGAATATGCGAACTCTTAGTAGAAGATTTGTAATTGATTGTAAAGAGGAGATATTGTTATGCTGATAAATTTTGTTCAAAACAAAGGGGATAGTCTCGCTTGTACCAATGGGAATGTTTTGAGGGTGTGTTATTCAATACAAAAAAAGTATATAGGAAGTGTTTGTGGTACTTCGTATGCAAGTGCAAGTATGTGGAAGATCTGGTTTTTCTGTTATGTAGTTTTTGGCTCAAGATTATATTAGTAATCTGCATGATTGTTTCATTCATATTGGTGACAACTCAGAAATGTTTTTTGGCAGACAAATTTACCTGAGTACCAAGGTCCTGAGAAGATTGTTATCAGAAGATACAGTGATTTTGTTTGGTTACGTGATCGACTTTTTGAGAAGTACAAGGGCGTTTTCATTCCACCTCTTCCAGAGAAGAGTACAGTAGGTATAAACTAATGGACATGACCTCTATTTTGTTGTGGCGTTAATTGGGATGGCACTGCATGCTGATGAAGGGTTTGTTATTAGTTATATACTTTTTCATCAGCTGACTAAAACTTCAGGAAGCTAGTTGGACTAAGCCGTTCTTGTGTAAAGCAAATTCAGCGTGATCTTTCAACAGTTAAATTTATTTGACTTCATAATTATCTGATTCAGTAATTGCTTTTTCTTGGGTTGCTGCTTAACAACTCATGATGGTAATTCCGTTCTCGTACTTAAGGATAAGATTCTTTATCCAATGAATACAAACAACAAAGTAGGTAGAATTAGCAAAAAGATCTGAGATGGTTATTCCTATTCTTTTTTGGAAACATAACCATGTTCCCTAAAATTTTTACACTGTGCCGTTGAGTAAAAATCCCACTTGTCGTTGTAGTATAGAATATCAGGGTGCTTAGTTTGAAACACACCATTGCTGATCTGGATTTATTATTTATAAGTAATCTGTTTATTTCCCTATCGAAAAGCTCTAATTTCGTCATTTGAGCCCATGCTAATTATACCGTAGCTTACTTCATTTTTATTATACCGTATCATGGTTATGGTCAATGAAACTTTGTCACCTCTGGGGCAGAAAAATTTAGGTTTAGCGCGGAGTTCATTGAAATGAGGCGTCAAGCGCTTGATCTATTTGTTAACCGAATAGCTTCTCACCACACGCTTCAGCAGAGTGAGGATCTAAGAATCTTTCTTCAGGCAGATGAACAGGTAATTTGCCTAATCATTCTGCCTTTTGGGCAAAATTACAGTTCTGCGGCATTAATTTCTACAAAATATTCGTTATCTTTATCGGGGCTGTGGATAGCAGAAAATCGTTCTTTTTATTGGGGCTTTTGATAGTAGAAAGAATTTTTGGAGGAGGGTAAAATCTCATATTTCCCAAATCTAGAGAAATTCTTCCTTTATGCCTCGCAAGATCTTGCTCAACCCGTGAGGTTTTGCAGCATTCACTGAACAATTCATTTTCATTTTATGCTTCTGTTTTAGTTAAATTACTTTTGTCATTCTTAGATTTGATGTTCTAAAATTGCTCTTATAATCCAGACAATGGAAAGAGCAAGATCTCAGGAAACTGGTCTCTTCAAGAAGAAACCATCTGATTTGATGCAGATATTCAAGGTACTTTGAGGAATTGAATAATTAGTTCAATAGTGGAACTTGTTCTCCCTAAACTGCATGTGATCTGTTTTATCGAATACCTTGAAGATTGAATTGGTTTTAACTCCTCAGTATGCTTCATGAATGCTCTAAATATTCTGTTTAGAAAAATAGTGGAAATAAAAGAATTATCACCAACGTTTTGTGTGCAAACAAATAAAAGCTCTCATTAGCTTCATCTTGGGATGCTGGTGATAAGTATGAGATGCTGGTGATAGAGTATGAGATGTCTTGATCACTTTTTATTGATAAGTTGGTTTAGTTTTATCTCTAATTTAGCTATTTGTGCTTGAAGAACTCAATAAGCTCTTCTTTGTTGTCTTGAAGCTTTTCACATTCACAGAGTACCTGGAATTGTAATTACGGTTTGAAGAGTGTTTGTTACATGGGTATGAATTTTTACATGACTGCTTCATAATTTTTGCCAGGAAGTACAATCAAAGGTGAGTGATGTTGTTCTTGGAAAGGAGAAACCGGTGGAGGAATCCACTCCTGAATATGAGAAACTGAAGCGTTATGTCTTCGAGCTGGAAGATCACTTGGCTGAAGCTCAGAAACATGCATACCGTCTTGTAAAAAGACATAGAGGTAGGAGGGATATTTTTGCCTATTGTTGTTTGAACACACAATTTTTGTCTGATTGTTAGAAACTTATAGATTGGTGACTGTAGATTTCCAAATTGACGTTGAGACGTTGTCTGGGTCCCCCAGAATATAATCCTGCAGATAATAAATTTCTAATTGTCGGAGAACTGCTCATCCCCAAACTTGTATCTTTAAGTTTTGCTGTTATTCTTAACACCTGCTTCTCCAATGTTGGTACCTTTTTACATACCTAGTTTATTGCGAGTTTTTTCAGCTTCTTAAATAAGTAGAATACTCCGCTTTACCTGTTCTTCTGCTTTGCGGAGTTTTGGATTTCAGATATTGTATTTTACTGGGAGCTCATAATGTAGTGATATGTTGTGAACTGTTTGTTATGAGTAGTTATCCGCTGAAACAGAATTAAGTGCTACTTGTACTAATTTTTTTGAGTTCTGCCTCAGAGTTGGGGCAATCTCTATCAGAGTTTGGGAAGGCAGTCAAGCAGCTTGGCTCTTGTGAAGATAATGCTCTAGGAAAAGCGTTTTCTGAGCTGGGGGTCAAATCAGAAATAATTTCAATTAAACTGCAGAAAGAGGTGTGTTTGAAATTCTTGGATAAACATTTGAAATGGACAATCTTTTACTTTTTTTTGTGTGTGTGTAAAATGAATGTTGAATTTTGTTTTTATGTTGACTGTTCCTATGCAGGCTCACAATCTCTTGATGAACTTTGAGGAGCCTTTGAAAGATTATGTTCGTGCAGTACAATCTATCAAGGTTAGTCTTATGTTTTAGATGTTTTAGAATGATTCTACATTTAATTTTTTATTGTCTTGAGTAATCGAACGTGTGTCAAAGCTAATGAAAGCAAATGGGTGAAACTAATATGAGAGAAAGGAAAGGATGTGCCATATTGCCTTGGTGCCAAGCTGCAAGTTTTTCATTGATTATTTCTTGCTTTGGAACAGAACACCCTGGCTGACAGAGCAAATGCTTTCAAGCAACAATGTGAATTGGCCGAGACAATTAAGTTCAAGGAAATTGATCTGTGAGTTCCCTTCTGCTGTCAATAAATTTTGCACGTTGTATATGATGTAAAAACAGAAATAGATGGCTGTTGAAAGTTTAGTGCTTCTATACAAAGTATTTGCTGGAGATGATAAACTGGTACTTTTATGAAAGTGGTAAAGGTTTTAAATGAAATCCTTGGAAACTTTTTCTCGTTGCTTGAAAATTATGCACTCTCTCAGGAGATGGTGAAAAGTAAGGAATTTACCAAAATCTCATGTGTTTGTAGGAACAAAATGAGGCTGACACGTTCAGAGAAACTGGCTGAGGCTGAGCGTGAATATGAAGTGGTTAGTTGATCTGGACCTGTTACATTGTATCTAGAGTTCATTTTGTGTACAATATAATAATCGATTTCACATTTCTGTGGCGCAGCTGAAGGCTGAGGGTGAGGAAGCAAGTAGAAGATTTGGAACAATTGTGCGGTTGATGAATGATGAAATGGTCAGATTTCAAGAACAAAAGACCTGGGACATGGGTCAGGCATTCCATGAATTTGCTAAGGGACAAGCACAGCTAGCAAATGGTATTGCTGAGGCTTGGCGGAGTCTTCTTCCGAAGCTCGATGCCTGTGCTTCTGCCTAGTAAAAGAGATCCAAAGCCAGAACTAGACGACCTGAGTCAGCTGTTACTGTCATTGGGATTACAATTACAAAATGAGTTCCTTGAAATTGTTGTATTACTTACTACTAGGCATGGAAGATTTCCATTTTGTAACATGTACAGACCCCAAAGTACAAAAGTGTAACCAGTTTCCTGAACTCCTAAGATGACTAGGAACATAAAATGCAGTAGAGGCAAATTAAAATTAGCTCAGTACCCCGGCTCAAGTGCTTTATCAATCTGTAAATTACCGTAATTTAAGAACCGTTGGAATGTCAAAACTCAAAACTAAGAGAATGTGGACCGTGAAGAATAGGTGAAAGGGGTCCATCCTATCTACTTCCGCACCTTGTATCTTCTTCTTTTGAGTTTTGAGTGCTTCCAAAGTGTTATCACGGCTTTGCCTTGTGTCCCTAAACTACGACGGAGTTACGGCCATGGCTGCTACAAAATTGAGTTTCGCGCCTGTTGTTAAACCCTTTCAAGCCCAGAATTTGCCATTCGGCCAGTCAATTCTCTGGTTACCAACAACATCGGCACTAGTATCAGGCACTATCAAGGAAAAGAATATCGTGTCAATAGAAGGCCGTAAGCTTCCGAGTAAATGGGTGGTTCTGAATGCATCTTCGGGCAGCACATCATCCATTAGTGACGAGGAGGATGGTGTATCTTTAGGGACTATGAAACTTCCAGCCAACACTGACCTCGCAAGATTCGAAACCTTGCTCTTCCAGGTAACCGAAAATTTTCTGTCATTATATTTTCTTGTTCCCGACGATTGGGCTCTTGGATGCAAACGTTGTTGTTTTCTTTTCCAAGTTCTTTGTTTTGAAGTAAACAATTTGGGTAAACAGAAGCTAGATAATTTGGGGGATAATTGCCGAGGATTAATCATTTCTTAAATTTGGAAATGGAACTTCTTTTCGTTAGAAAGTAATTTCGTGCTAATCAGAAGCATAACTGCATTGTCTGCAAGCTTATATATACTTGATCACATGGCGATTAGGATACTGCATACCCAGGGAACTTGAGAGTTAGTTTTGGTGTGTATTGTTAGCATTTTGGTTTGTATTTCTCTCATGTGAATGTGAAATTTCTTATCTGAAAATGTATTAGAATTAACCGATACTTAATTGCGTGATGATGATGATGAAAAATTGGCCATCTAAGTTTTGGTGATCATCCTGCACTGGAGAAAGAAGAATGATTCTGCAATGATGATATATCTTGTTTTGGCTTATTGAACAGTGGGGTAACAGTCTCTGCCAAGGTGCTAATTTGCCTCTCCCGTTGCCTCTGAAGGTTGGTGCTTTATTAAGGTTTTGCTGCACAAATTTAGCTCTTACTATTCCCTCCCTTCCCTTCCCTCCTATTTGTAAGGCACAGTTTTTACGCTAATTAGGACTTGAAAGAGTATCTTACTAGGTGCGTTCTGAGTTCTCCTTTCATGAAAACTCATGCGCAGGTTGACAAAATCCCCGGTGGAGCTAGACTTGGGTTTATCAAAATTGAAGATGGGCAAACCCAAGTGCCGGTGTACATAGATTGCTTAGTGTTTCCTGCGACTGAGAGTTCTGGTCCAATATTTCGAGCTATAAGAAATGGACCTTTGAAAGCTGAAGCGCCTCCTGGAGAACCAAGAATCATGAGAAGCCTTCTTGGGGCTCTTCAAAAATCTGTAGAGTTAGCCAGACTTTAATAGCTTTAAACTGCTTGCTTCTATTCCTTGGTTATAGAATTCTCTTGTCCTCAATTAGTGCCCATAATATGTTTCGCGTTGAAATGAAACTCTTTTAAGATCCAGTTATGGCGCGATTGATAGTGCCTTATAAGTCCATGTCACAGAGGTCAATAGTTTGAGTGAGAATTACTAAGCTCCGAATGCATAACATATACATTCAGTTCTACATCGAGAATGCTTATCACTTTGGTGTTTCCAATTATAGAAAATGTAAATGATGCCAAAACTATGAAAAGAAGGTTTTGCCGAAATTTCAATTTGCTTGACAATTGTCTCACAGGCGGAGATGCAACCAGAGATGGTTTTCTGTTTGGGAAAAAATGGAGGGAGGCGACCAAAATAAGCTGTTGATTTTTAACCACGGGGTTGAATGCTTAGCTTTCCGGTTGATTTTTCAGTCTCTTCTCATACTTTTCTGGTTAGCTGTTTAAAACTCAAATAAAGAAATGATTCATTTGCATTTCTGAATCCAGTCCACTTACCCCACTACAGGATTTCTTCATTGTTTTTGGTTCTGTTTGTTTTTCCTCGTTTTCCTTGTGAGTTTGTCGTTCTTTTTTTGGTTTAGCTGTTTGTCTTTCTTCGTTGTGAAGTTGAACTCCCTAGCCTTGCAACTTTGTTTTGAATCAAATCGTCCGAATCGTAAAAAAACTTTTCTACAGCTTTCTAATTGCAATCAAATCGCCAAAACATCATTAAACGATTATGTTTAGCCATATTTGGTGGCGTTACATTGTGGAATTCTTCTTGCCGTCGACTCCGCTAAGTTGGTGGCCGAAAAGCTTTCAGCTAATTTTGTATTAGGTTACGCGATAATTCTTTTGGAATGTAGTCAATGTAGTTCGCAGCCATTCGCCATCTTTGTCATGAATGCAGAAGCCAAACGCACCACGACGGGCGGTAAATCTAACCACTTTTAGTGGCTTCGTCGAACAGAATATTATTGGTTCTTCCCTTATTCAACAACAAAATACAATCACGAGTTTACATCTTCTTAGAAATAACTAATTAAAAACTAGAGTAAAGTTAATTGTAGCTTGAAATTATCAGCTTCAGCTTTCCCCTGGTGGCCTTAGCCGAGGCGGAATTGTTGCCACTACATTAGTACCATATATAAATCATTAGGAAGATCAAATAATTTTAGTTTTGGCTAGAATGTACTAGAACTCAATCATTTTCGAAATGAATCAGCAGGCAATGTTGATTATTGGACTAAGGTCGGAGTGTGGTTTTTGACTTTGAAATGGACAGATTTTGTTGTTTACTCACAGTTTCTATATTTAGCTATAAGATACTCGAATCGAAGTCGGAGAAACAAAGATTGTTCTAAATTTGATCGCTAGTTTGTTTTCCTTAGGAAGAAGTAGGAATAAGGTCTTCTCCATCCTACAAACACTATAAATACTGCTAAGTTTGTCCAAACATCACATCTGATCGACTTTGAGAAGAAATGGAGAGCAACCCATCATGTTTTCATAGTCAAAGCGATCTTAGTTATGATGCAGTTGTTATTGGGTCTGGATATGGAGGTTCAGTTGCTGCATGCCGGATGTCAATGGCTGGTCTCAAAGTTTGTTTGTTAGAGAAAGGGAGAAAATGGGAAGCTCATGATTTCCCCGCCAACACCATTGAGATGCTCTCAGCTGTAAGGATGGAGAACAGGAATCTAGGACTCAGCTTTGGTTCCAGAAATGCTCTTTATCAGGTCAGTTATTCTCAATGTTCCTTTATTCATAAAGCATCTTAAAGCGTTACTTTATCGGGTAGTAGCGAAATGGTTTTGCTTCATGAGTCCATTTATGATAGGGCCCTTCCCTCTACCATGGATCCAAATAGAAAGCATACTTCATTTATGCACACCATGAAAGTTTCATTAAAAGGAGACGTGATTCTGCATCATATTCATAAGGTTAAACTGTGGTCCTAGGAACCAGGAACCCAAAATTGAGTTTGTTTGATGACCCATGCAGATATACGTCCAAGATGATTCTCTGGCAGCCATGGCTTGTGGGCTTGGTGGAGGTTCCTTAGTGAATGCAGGAGTAATGATGCCCGCCCCACCACGTGCGAAGAGGAATCCGAAATGGCCAAAAGAATGGGAAAAAGACTGGGAGGCCTGTGAAGCTTCTGCTTCACAAATGCTCAGGATGCAGAATGTTCCCATCAATTTCCCAAATGCCAAAATCATGGAGAGTGCTGTATCAGAGGACTTGGGCTTAACGAGCCAAATTCCGGTGAAGCTGAGTGTGAACTTTGGAACTGAAGTTCAGTCATATGAATCAAAGAATTCCCAGCAGAAGATGGACAACTGCCAGGCATGTGGGAATTGTTTGTCCGGATGTCCTTATAATGCAAAAAATTCTGCAGATAAAACTTATTTGGTCTCAGCTATCCAGGTATATATGTTTATCCTCGTTCTCATCTTCTTGATCTCCTGTTCTGTGGATGCTTCAGTGCTTAGGTGCATAGAAATTTATATAATGACCCAGGTTTTGTTTCTACTTGATATAATCTTCAATGCAGGCAGGATGTGACATGAGAACCGAATGTGAGGTTCAATACATTGTAAGAAATCCAGATGACACTTGTGAAGCTGAAGAAGAATTAAGCAGAAGAAAAAAACGCCGGTGGCTTGTTTTTCTTAATGAATTTGACTATATACAGTCTGATTTTGTCGTTCTCTCAGGTATGATACAAAGGCAAAATTTTACTAAAAACCTTGTCATAAAGTGAAGAATTATTGATGACTTACATAAGCTGCATGGATTGCAGCTGGAGTTTTTGGGACGACAAAGATACTTTTTCAATCACAAATGAGAGGCTTGGTACTTTCCCAGAAGCTAGGTTCTGGCTGGAGCTGCAATGGTAATAATGTTGCTTTTCTTGCTAGAAATAGAGCACCTTTGAATGGATATGGATTAGAGAGAAACAACTTGTCTGATGTTCCTTTTCAAGAGCGTCCAGGACCATCCATTTCATCATCGTACATTTCGTCATTGGGCTTCACGATTCAGGTGGTTGAACAGCTTATGTTTCAATTGATATTTTCGCCATAATAACAAACACACAAGGTTAAAGGATAAGAATAAATTTGATTGATACCTTTTTTTTTTTTTTTTTTGCAGAGTGCAGTTATTCCTAAGATTTTCCCTGTGCTGATTTTTAAAGGAATTGCAACTTATGGATGGCCAAGTGGCAATGGTTTCTTAAATGAAATACGATACAGGTTTAAGCATCTCTTTAGTGTTAACGACCAGGATATGGTTTTGAATGTGATGGGATATGATGATGGCAATGGAAAACTTACATTTCAAAAAGAAACAAATGAGATAAGGTTTCAGCCAGCCACTGACCCTTTATTGCCAAAAAAAATTGGAACATTTCAGAAGCTCGCAAAGAAGTTAGGAGGAATACTTTTCATGTCAAGGTACAGAAGCACATCTGTGCATCTACTTGGGGGATGTTCTGCTTCATCAGATGCTTTGTCTGGGGTTTGTAACCACAATGGACAGATTTTCGACACAAGAAGTCCAACATCTGTGCACCCTGGCCTGTATGTCTGTGATGCATCATTAATACCTTGTTCTGTTGGTGTAAATCCATCTCTTACTATCGTTACAGTTGCTGAGCATGTAAGTAAGAAACTTGTGAATGATGCCCTTGATTTGAAAAGCAAAGATGCAAACTTTGTAAATAGAAAGTTTTATGAGAAGCTAGATGCAAATTATCCTGGGATGCTGCAGAAAAAAAGTGGTTCAGCAGTGTATTTTAAAGAAACTCTGCATGGGGAAGTGGGTGGTCTGCCATGCATAGCTTACCTGAAAGTTAAATTGGATTCAAGAACTTTTGACAATAGGAACATAAAAGAGGGGAACTTGCGTTCATTTCTAGTTGGAAAAGTCAGTGGATACATCATATGTAAAGCTGTTGAAATGGACTGGCTGCATGTAATAGATGGAGAAGTTGACTTGTGCCAAGTGGATTGTAAAACTCCTTATACTCAGTACATGCACTATCATCTCCTCCTTGCTTCATCTTCTGGTTCAAGGTTTTGATTTGATTCTCAGATCATCTTTTTTACTATATTTATCACATGATTAAGATTACAAAGTTCATTATATTTCGCCAGATACATAGCTGAAGGGAAGAAAATAATGAATCCTTTCTTCTCAGCACTTTATGCTTGGAGGGAGTCAACAACACTTCATGTAGAATTCAGAAAAATCACAAAAAGTGATTCCGGGGAAGTCCTAAAAGGGAAACTGCATGTTTCATTGTTTGACCTCCTAGCAACTCTAATAAGTCTCCGAGGAAGGCAGAAGCTGGAATTTTTGTCTGCGCTACTACAGTCTCTCTTCAGGACGTATATTTCACAGGTACCAAGAGGATGTCATGAGGTTTTCTCTGCTGCAGACTTGTACCACTTTTCGTATCCCATTGACACGCTTCATGAGATAGAAACAGGTACTTATAGTTTTGAAATGTTGGATTCTGGTTCAATAACTCTTAACCATGGAAATCTTTGCTTTAAGTTGGTTAAGGTTGCTTTAAGTTAGTTTTGAAACCAAATTGCATATGTGACATAACTCTTAACCATGGAAATCTTTGCTTTAAGTTGGTTAAGGTTGAAACTGTTTGTAACTAAGTTGCTGTATGATTTGAGTGCTAACATTCTTGCAAGTTTAACAGAAGATGGCACTAGAATCAAATGTCGACAGTGGAAGTGCAATTCTGGATCAGAGAGGCATGAGGGAGGGATAAAACCATTTCCTGTTCTCCTCATAAATGGTTATTCAACTGAAAGTTATTGCTTGCCAACTGAAAAGACAGATTTGATCAGAACACTCCTGCAAGAGGGGCATGAAACTTGGCTACTGCAATCAAGATTGCACCCATTAGCTTCTTCAAAAAATGCATCCATAGAAGATATTGGAAAATTTGATGTGCCTGCAGGTATGAGATATCCATTCATTATTGAACCATCCTATAACATGCCTGAATGCAAAATATCGATGAATGTGTAATTTTAGCAAGCCTTTCTCTGCAGCAATCAGAAAAATCATTGAGTTGCATGGGATTTGGACCAAAGTACATGTTGTTGCTCATTGTGTTGGAGGTCTAGCAATGCACATTGCACTAATGGGAGGATATGTCTCTTGCAAGAGAATAGCCTCTATTTCTTGCACCAATTCTTCCATGTTTTTCAAGTTGACATTCTGGTCAAGAGTGAAATTATGGCTCCCTCTCATCCCAGTAAGTTATTCATTAGCATTCCCGGCTGCTAGGAAGAACAACTTTTCAATAAGCTCATTAAGAAAGATTAGACAACAATACGTAGTGCTTACTTCTTTTACCTGAACAATGCTTCAGATTTCAATGGAAATACTTGGCAAAGACAAGTCAGTTCCTCTGTTCCAAACATACAAGGCTAGCACACGTCAGAAACTCCTGAAGTCAATAGCACGCGTAATTCCGCGCTATGAAAGGTGCACTTGTGATGAATGTGAAGTGTTCTCAGGCATTTTCGGTAATACATTTTGGCACCAAAATGTTGGCAACAAAATGCACTATTGGTTGAACAAGGAAAGCCTGCCATGCCTTCCCATGTCGGCATTTCATCACCTTAGGAAAATTTGTAATGCAGGCTTCATAGTAGACTCAAATGGAAAGAATACTTACTTGATTCATCCAGAGAGGATGGCACTTCCGACGCTGTATTTGTCGGGTGGACGCACTCTTCTTGTGACTCCTCAAACTTCTTTCCTAGCTAACAAATTCATGAGACTCCACCAGCCTGGATTTAGGCATGAAAGAGTGGTGATAGATGGTTTTGGGCACTCAGATCTTTTGATTGGTGAAGAATCGTCTAAACAGGTCTTTCCTCACATCTTATCTCATGTTGCATTGGCAGAAAAAGAAACTGGAATTTCGTTAAACATCTTGGAAAAGAAGTACAACAAAGATGCCTTGTCCTGGGCTCAAGACCCATATCAGGATCCAGAAGGAAGATTATTTAGTATATTTTCCCTCATGATCAATGTGTTTACTTTTTTCTGTTTTTCAGTTTTGGTTGTTATGTTGGTGGATCTTCTTCCTTTCTGATAACTACTCAAGAAATCCTGTGCAGTGGGGTGCATTACAAAATTGCGCATCCTTTTCTTGAATGCAGAATCCAATGATCAGTTTGTGCAGTAAATATAACTGTGTTTTGCAGCCATGTCAACCAGTAGAAATATTGCACCCATGCAGTACTAGATGTTTTGGCCGGGCATCTGTACATTATAAACGGATTAGTCGGGGCAAAGCTCCGAAAACCGTGGCAGTCAACCAAAAAATAAAAAAAATAAATATCCAAAAAAAAATTTGAAATTTGGAATAATTTTAGGAATTTTCTAACTCTTAATCTTTTGAAATATTTTGAATTTGAAGCTCAAAATTTATTAACTATAAATTGAGTGATTTTTGGGATGAAAAATTAGGATTTTTAATATTAAGAGTGAAGTTTTCTTACAAATTTACAAATATGACTGTAATATATCAAAGTCGTTAGATCAAATATGCTTCACTTAATTTTCGTCATTAGAGGTCATAATTCTATATTTTTTACAACTAGCCTAAAATCACTATAGTGCAAGGGCGGGAAAATATTGATTGTGGAGCTGACACCTCATCTTCCTGTATACTGCTTTAATTAAGTACATATAAGTATAATAAGTACTGTAGAGAATATATTAACTAAATTGAGTGAGTTTTTGGACGAATAATTAGGAATTTTTTTTTATATTGAGAGTAAAGTTTTCTTACAAATCTATAAATATGACTGTAATATATCGAAGTCGTTAAAATAAATTTGCTTAACTTAATGTCCATTGTTAGAGGTAATAACTCTATATTTTTAACAACTAAGCCTAAAATCACTTTGGCGCAAGAGCAGAAAAATATTGATTGTAGAGATAACATCTCAATTTCCGTATGCTAATTTAATTAAGTATTATAAATATAATAAAAATGCCTTGCCTATTGATATCATTATATAGATCTGAAATCTACAAGCATAAAAATGGATCAAAATAACATCTAAAAAAAATCTCAAATATCTTATCCAAATTTATTTCTCAAATCAAGCAAATTAAATATTCACAAGACTAAATCCAAGGACTAAGTCAATCAAAGGCATAACCACCAACAACTTTGCTTATTGATGACTAGAAAAAGTGTGTGTTATGAGGTTTGAACGTTGAACCACATAAGTCAGATGTTGGCCTTTTTAAGGACTAAAACATCGGATGCTTGATTTTGACTTTTGAAGTTAGCATTTTTTTGTGGTTTTTACAGTTTCTACCTATAACTTGACACTGATTCAGAGGCGGCTCAAGCATAAAGCTGATGTAGCAGTAGCTTTAGGCCCCATCTTGAGAGAATCCTATTTTTTTTTAATACTCTCTCCGTCCCAAAATTATTGTCCAGTTTGAGTTTTTATTATTAGTTCAAATAAGATATAAAACTGGACAATAATTTTGGGACGGAGAGAGTAGTTTATAATAAAAAATAGTGTAAAATATGGATTTTTTTCTTTTGAATCAATTTCTCAAGAACATAATGAATATCCCTTCCGTCTCCAAAAAATAGTTGAGTTTTGTGATTGTACAAAAAATAGTCGATTTTCAGTATAAAAAATCAATGTAAATTATCATTTAAAAAACAGAGAGAGTACTATTTATTTTAACATTTCTAAAAGTATTTCAATTTTACTATAAATAAATAAGTAACTTTAAAATTGGTTATTAGCTTTCGTTTTTTGCTTATACTTCTCATCACCTTAAATTAGATTTGAAACACAATAATGGTTTAGATATGATGTTCTTTAATTTTGTTTTTCTTTGAATACTAAATCTTAAAACAAAAACCTAAGTCAACAATGATATAAAAATAAAATAAATAAAATTATTTTGTAAGGAAAAAAATTAATGCAAGAGTTTTGCAACGAGTGACCAAAAAGGCTAAATTCATATTATACATGTATTTTTCACCTTGAAGGCCACAATCCCACAAATTGGATTTAGGTCTCCACAGACATTAAGCACATGGATTTTGTGGTTTAAAATTTTCTTCTAACATCAGACCAAAATATTTTCAAGATTCGCCAATTCCCTACCATCAAAAGCAAAATATTAACGGAATAAGCTATTCTTTCTCCAGAAACTTGAGATGACCCACATGGTTATAGAGTGTCATCGATGACGCCGGCGAAGTAGCAATTTCCTCTTGATGAGGATGATGATAAACGAACCGTGAAAGATCAGAGTCCATAGGACTGAAATTTGCGAAGAACAATGAAGAGAAGCTTTGCTACTGGAATTGGGGGAAAGCAGGAATGTTAGTTCGTGAATTTCTTACCATTTGAATTTGAATAATTATTTAATTATACTTATTTCGAAAGTCGGCCGACGTACCATTTTTATTTTTCTAACCCTTTTAATTTAAAATAATGGTGGAGCATTTTTTCCTCCTTAATACTATCAAATAATTTCTTTTTCCTTTGATGTATATAAGGTTAATTCTTACTTTTTCTTATCATAAGTTGTATTCTCAAGTCTCAACTTGTTATATTTGATGTTTTATTTATAATAACGTCGTGAACCTCACCAGAATTTCTTTTTCCTTTAATATAAATAAGGTTAATTCTTTTTCCTTTTGATATATGTAAGTTTAATTCTTACTTTTTATAAGTTGTATTCTCAACTTGTTATATTTGGTTGTTTGTTTGTTTGTTTGTTTTTTTTTTTTTGGGTAATATCGTGAATCCCACCAGAGATGAGTAAACTCACGTCTACTGTAATAGCATGCAAAAGGTTGTATTCTCAACTTGTTATATTTGGTTTTTTTTTTTTTTGGTAACGTTGGAAACCCCACCGGAGATGTGTAAGCCTACGCTCACTGTAATAGCATGCAAAAAATTGTATTCTCAACTTGTTATTTTTGATTTTTTTTTTTGGTAACGTCGAGAATCCCACCAAAAATGGGTAAACCCACGCCCTCTAGAGATGGATGACAAACTCGGGTGGGTTTACCATAACAAGCCCTCTAGAGGTGCCAATTGGTAAGGTTAGAGCCACCCCTCACTCTTGTTGGAGTGGGGATTTGAACTTATGATCCCTTCACTCTTGTTGGAGTGGGAGTTTGAACTTATGATCTCCTCTAAAGAGTAAGGGTGGTTTTATCACTGAGCCATCACACCTCATTCGCATATTTGGTTATTTTGTATCCATTTATTTATTTATTTATTTTAATTGTTTTGCATTCTCCATTTAGTAATTTATATTTCCTTAGCTCTACCATTTAAAGCGTTTTTTTTATAAAAAAAAAAAGAAATTGAACGGTGGGAATTTGCACATTTTGTGGTTTACGCAGTGTCTACTATAACTTTGACTAGAAAAAATAATTCCACGTAATTTAAAATTTCAAAATTATGATCTCATCAAAAGAGTAAGGTGGTTTTGCCACTAAACCAATACACTTCATTCGCATATATAGTTGTTTTTGTATCCATTTATTTATTTATTTTTTATTTTAATTGTTTTGCATTCTCTATTTACTAATTTATTTATATTTCTTTAGCTCTATCCGTTTTTTTTAAAAAAAATAATAAAAAAATTGAACGGTGGGAGTTTGCACATTTTGTGATTTACGCAAGTGTCTACTATAACTTCGACTAGAAAAAATAATTCCACACAAAAAAATTTAAAATTTCAAAATTTTCTTCTTAGTTCTAACATCAGGCAAAAGTATTCTCAAGATATCTGGGTGAGATGGCCAGATTGTTGTTATACTAGGTCTTGCCGTGTTGGTTCGATTTTATTGAAAACAATCCATTTTAGGTTAGCAAACATGAAGACAAAGTCAAACTAATCCATAACCCTTTCATAGACGTACTTGACTTGCTTAAATTTTTTTAATTAAAGGAAACTTTTAGGTATGTCCCCGTGAAGTTTGAATTATAAATGGTGTTGACCTTTCCAGGTTTTTGACTTTTGAAATGAACAGATTTTAGATTGTTCACACTATTTCTACATGTAGCACTTGGAATCAAATATATGGTACTGTGTTAGAACTTTCCAGTTCTTTTAAAAAGGAATGGAGAACAACACAGGTTTTCCGAGCCAAACAGAACTTAGATATGATGCAGTTGTAATTGGGTCTGGATATGGAGGTTCAGTTGCAGCATGTAGAATGTCAATGGCTGGGCTTAAAGTATGTCTACTTGAGAAAGGCAGAAAATGGGAAGCTCATGATTTCCCTTCTAACCCTCTCCAAATGCTTTCAGCTGTAAGGATGGAGAACAGGAACCTCCGACTCAGCTTAGGCCCCCAAAATGCTCTTTATCAGGTGAGTTAATAATCACTCTCAAAGTTACTCGTTTCGAAAAAAATTTACTACAATTCAAGTTTCTGTTCAGCTGTAACTTGGTTTAAGACCTTAAATTGAAGGCATGTACTTCATGTATGCATACGATTTCTGAGTTTCCTTTACATGTATACTCTGTACCCTCATCAGTTTAGTTTAAACCTTAAAATATGGTCCTGCAAACCTGGAACTTACGGTTGAATATGTCTGATGATCATGCAGATATATGTACAAGATGATTCTCTTGCAGCCATGGCTTGCGGGCTTGGTGGAGGTTCGTTGGTGAATGCCGGAGTAATGATGCCTACGCCACCCCGCGCGAGGAGGAATCCAAAATGGCCATCAGAATGGGAAAGGGATTGGGAGGTCTGTGAAGCTTCTGCTTCAGAAATGCTCAGGATACAAAATGTCCCCACCAATTTTCAAAATGCCAAAATTATGAACAAAGTGGCTTCAGAGGATTTGGGATTAATGAGCCAAAATCCTGTGAAGCTGAGTGTGAATTTTGAGATAGATGATGATGACCAATCATTTGGATCAAAGAAGTCTGAGCTGAGGTTTGATAACTGTCAGGCCTGTGGAAATTGTCTGTCCGGATGTCCTTATAATGCTAAAAATTCCGCGGATAAAACTTATTTGGTCTCAGCTGTTCAGGTGTGTTTCCATTCTTCCTTGTTTCTTGATTACGGCATGATTCTGTAACAAGGGGCACAGTTTAAACATACTAAAAGCTGTTGCACAGCTATGAACCAGTCATCGTAGGATCCCTGATTGTGTGTTAATATAGCGAAAGAAGCCAATAAAAAAATCTTAGTCTTCATTTCAATGCAGGCAGGATGTGATATCAGAACAGAATGTGAAGTACAATACATTGTTAGAAATCCTGATGACACTTGTGACGCTGAAGAAGCATTAAGCGGAAAAAAGAAATCCCGGTGGCTTGTGTTTCTCAATGAATTTGATTATATACAGTCAGATTTTGTCACTCTCTCAGGTATGATTTAATTTAAAGCAGAACAAGAAAATGAATTTTAGCAACATTGTCATGATTTTGGAGTGAAGAATCACAAATGCCAAATATAATCATTTATGTATGGGTTGCAGCTGGAGTGTTTGGGACGACAAAGATACTTTTCCAATCTCAACTGAGAGGCTTGACACTTTCCCAGAAGCTAGGTTTTGGATTGAGTTGCAATGGTAACAACGTTGCTTATGTTACTAGAAGTACAGCACCATTGAATGCCAAAGGATTAGAGAGAAAAATATTATCTGATGTTCCTTTTCGAGAACGTCCAGGGCCATCCATTTCATCATCATACATTTCGTCACTAGGGTTCACAATTCAGGTAGTTGAGCACCTAATAATAACAAAATTTCAAGTTTGAAGATAAAAAAAAAAGAAAAAAAGATTTGTTTAATACTGCCAAATTTCAATTACATTGCAGAGTGCAGTCATTCCCAAGTCTTTTCCAGTGCTGCTTTTCAAAGGAATTACAACCTATGGATGGCCCGTGGGCAACTGTTTCTTACCTGAAATGCTGTACAAGTTTAAGCACCTCTTTAGTGATAACAGCCAAGATATGGTTCTGAATGCGATGGGATACGATGATTCTGATGGAAAGCTTACTTTTCAAAAAGAAACCAATGAGATTTGTTTTCAGCCAGCCACTGACCCTTTATTGCCACGAAAAATTGGAACCTTTCAAAAGCTCACAAAGAAGTTAGGAGGAGTTCTTTTCATGTCAAGGTACAGGAGCACATCTGTGCATTTACTTGGGGGATGCTGTGCTTCATCAGATGCTTCAAAAGGGGTTTGCAACCAAAATGGCCAGGTTTTTGACACAAGAAGTCCAACATCAGTTCACCCTGGCCTGTATGTCTCTGATGCATCCTTACTACCTTGTTCTGTTGGTGTAAACCCATCTCTTACTATCGCTACAGCTGCCGAGCATGTTAGCAAAAAACTTGTGAGAGATGCTCTTGATTTCAGAAACAAAGATGCAAACTTAACCAGTGGAATGTTCTATGAGAAGCTAGGCACAATTCCTTCTGGGAAGCTACAGGGAGAAAAGGGATCAGCAGTGTTTTTTAATGAAACTCTGAATGGGCATATTGCTGGTCTCCCATGCCATGCTTATCTAAAAGTTAAATTGGATTCAGAAAGTTTTGACAGCAGGAATGCGAAAATGGCGAACTCTAGTTCATTCCGAGTTGGAAAAGTGAGCGGATACATCACATGTAAAGCTGTTGAAATGGATCGGTTACATGTTATAGATGGAGAGGTTGATCTATGTCAAGTGGATAGTAAGACTCCATATACTCAGTACATGCACTATCATCTCCTCCTTGCAGCATCTTCCGGTTCAAGGTTTTGATTTGGTTCTCAAATTCATCTTTCTCATATCCTTTGATCACATGATAAAAATCACCTAGTTTGTTTTAATTTGCAGGTACGCAGTTGTAGGGAAGAAAATAATGAATCCTTTCTTCCCGGTACTTTATGCCTGGAAAGAGTCGACAACGCTTCATTTGGAATTCAGAAAAGTCACAAACAATGAATCAAGGGAAGTCTTGCCTTGCCTAAAAGGGAAACTGCACATTTCATTGTTTGGACTCTTAGCTACTCTAATTAGTCTCCGCGGAAGGCAAAAGCTGGAGTTTTTGTCTGTGCTACTACAATCTCTATTCAGGACCTACATTTCACAGATACCTAGAGGATGTCATGAGGTTTTCTCTGCTTCAGACTTGAACCACTTTTCGTATCCCATTGACACGCTGCATGAAATAGAAACAGGTAGTTGCTGGTTTCTTAAAGTTGAATTCTGCTTCAATGAAGAACCAAATGGCATATGCAATATAGAGTATAAGTTCCGTGAATATAGAAATCTTTGCTTTGATTTTTTAATATTCTTGCAACTTTAACAGAAGATGGAAGTCGAATCACTTGTCGACAGTGGAAGAGTAATTTTGGATCAGAGAGGGATGAAGGAAGGATAAAACCATTTCCCGTTCTCCTCATAAATGGTTATGCATATGAAAGTTACTGCTTGCCAACTGAAAAGAAAGATTTGATCAGAACTTTTCTGCAAGAGGGGCATGAAACTTGGCTACTGCAATCAAGATTGCATCCATTAGCTTCTTCGAAAGATGCATCCGTAGAAGACATTGGAAGATTTGATGTGCCTGCAGGTACGAGATATCAGTCATCATGATTAAACGATCCTATAATATATGCCTGAAGGCAAAATATTGATGGATATGTAATTTACATGGGTTTCTCTGCAGCAATCAACAGAATCATTGAGCTTAATGGGACATCGACCAAGGTACATGTCGTTGCGCATTGTGTTGGAGGTCTAGCAATGCACATTGCACTGATGGGAGGACATGTCTCTTGCAAGAGAATAGCCTCTATTTCTTGCACCAATTCCTCCATGTTTTTCAAGTTGACATTCTGGTCAAGAGTAAAATTATGGCTACCTCTCATTCCAGTAAGTAGTACTATTTCTCTTTGAAGGAAGACTAAAATTTTCAATCAGCTCATGTGGAATGTTTGAATGTCAATACTGAGTGTTCTCTACTTGTGACCTAAACAAACTTGCAGATTTCAATGGCAATACTTGGCAAAGACAGATCAGTTCCTCTGCTCCAAACAGAGAAGGCTAGCACCCGACAGAAACTCATAAAGTCAATAGCACGCGCGATTCCTCGCTATGAAAGGTGCACTTGTGATGAATGTGAGGTTATATCAGGAATCTTTGGTAACGCATTTTGGCATCAAAATGTAAGCCCGAAATTGCACTATTGGCTGAACAAGGAAACCCAGCCGCGGCTTCCTATGTCAGCATTTCTTCACCTCAGGAAAATTTGTAGTGCGGGCTTTATAGTAGATACAAATGGAAACAATACGTACTTGATTCATCCAGAAAGAATGGCACTTCCTACGCTGTATTTGTCGGGTGGACGCACTCTTCTTGCGACTCCTCAAACTTCTTTCCTGGCCAACAAGTTCATGAGGCTACATCAGCCAGGATTCAGGCATGAAAGGGTTGTTGTAGACGGATTTGGGCACTCGGATCTCCTAATAGGTGAAGACTCATCCAACAAAGTTTTCCCCCACATTTTATCTCATGTTGGATTGGCAGAAAAAGAAAATGGAACTTCAGTGAGCACCATGAACAAGGAATACAGTAAAGATGCCTTGTCATGGGCTGAGGACCCGTATCAGGATCCAGAGGGAGGATTGTTGAATGTATTCTCCCTTTTGAGTATCATTTTCTGCATTTTGTTAGCTGTTGTTTTGGTCTATCTGCTGCCTTTCTGATAAACGTAGGAAGTCCCGGAAAGGAACAAAAACATAGAAGAAAGGAACAAAATGCAGAAGTCATTAGAATAGAATTTGCTTTGATGTTTAGACTTTAGAATAAGGACTCCACAGTAAATCTTGATGTACGGTAAAACAAATTGTTTTACACGGTAAGAGAACAAATTACATCATGGTGTACTGTAAAAAGACGTGGTCTTTTGAAGCTTAACTTGAATATGTTACATCATGAATCTGTCTCTCCCTCTCTCTTTCTTTTGGAATATAAAATCCGTCCTTGAAATCGATGGTATAATGAGAAGTTGGAGTAAATGTTTACTCAATAAGAATTTTTGTATAGAACTGAAATTGTATCCAAATTTTATATGGCATATGCAAGGTAGGTACATATAACATTGACAACTTCAGTATGGAAGGTCAAGTACTTTACTCCAATCGATTTTTTTTTTATAAATTTTTTAATGAAATTACCTCTATAACCAGAACCTAGTTACATAACAAAGGGTTAACGTAACTTTATATTAGAGAGAAAAGAAAATTCAAAGTAATTATAGAGTGAGACCGCAAACACTACTGAAGAACAACTACAAGGAACCAAAAACAACCAGAAAGAAGAGGCCCTAAAAGCCTAAACAAATCACTAGTTGAGCCAAAAGAAACATCCAACGATCCCATTCTCTGTCATTATGCTCTTAATAATTGTTCTGTCTTGGACTGTATTTGCGCTACAATGCTCTCTATACAGGGAAATCCTCTCCCCGGAGATCCCTATTCAACTTGGAAAAATGCCTAACTTGTAGGGTAAATCCAGATGTTCACTTGGCTGTGAAAAATTTGACCCAGATTTCCCCTTTCATTAGGCAACATTGTATTGTCTTAGGCCTTGGCCTCCTCTTTTTGTACCAAAAAAAAAAAGCCTCTTCTTTGAAAATTAATAGTGTAATGATTTATGTAATCAAATTACTGTTTCCTCTTTCCACATATTATGTCCAAACACAAAGTTTCGAACTGCCTAATTACGTACTAATTCAAGAACTAGTTTCTGTAATTGGGATTTTTAGTGAGCAGTATCGGATTCCTCTTAGATTCCAGGTCCAAAAGCCACTGTAAGGACAAAGTGCACCCAACGTCATCAAACGGTGGCTTCTCCTCTGAACCCCAATCTTCTGTGTCAGACTAATATTATATACTACGACTACTACTATTATTATAAACTAGTATAAAAACTGGAGATGGAAACACGAAAGACAGTGTAGTGGATAGGAAAAAAGAGTGATGGGTTCTTCTTCTCTTTACTCAATTTTGCCATTAGTTCACCCTTCCAAGCTTAATTCCTCCAAGAATCTTGTTTTTTGGAGCTCTTCCTCGGTTCCACCGGCCAAAGGCATCCCCTTTTATAAGAATTCGTCGATAATTACTAGAATTGCCTGTTCTTCCAGAAATGATGTTCCTAATTCGGTGCCTTCCTTGGGGGATAATGTTCCAAGGTTACCTCTCTTTCTCCACTCTTGTATCTATTTCTTGTGCGCATCTTTCTTGGCGTTTGGATTCGCAATTCTGTGTTCTGTGGCCTTGTGGGCTTCTTTTATGTTTTTGTAGACCGGTTCTTCATGATTGTTTGCTGCTGCTTGTAGATTGCAAATTTGAACACTTCATGAAATAGGGCCTAGGCATGAATGGGGCGGGTTTCTGTTGTTAATTATCATCTCTGAAATCACTGGCAGAGAACTAGGGGGTTCTGTTCACTTTTAACTTTTCTGTATTATGTTGTTCTCTTAGAAGAAGACTAGAACTAGCAAGATGTACTTGGTAATATCAATATTTATTTTACATTGTATGATTAACGACAGATTAAGGATCGAATTTCTTCAGTACAGATTAAGGATAGGCACAAAAGAAAAATCTTTGTGCTGAAACATTTGCAATAAGATGATCCTGGCCTATTCTAAATGGAATTTTCTGCTTGTGATGCCTTGTTCTGCTCTTAAAAGAAACTTTAGACTAGGCAGGCAAGTAGTGAGAGCTAAATGGTTGATATGGGTAATGGGCTTGCTCTATTTACCCTTACTCAACGTTCTAACATATCTTTCTTGGTGTTGAACAGCAATTTCTGCATTATAGAAGGACCAGAGACAGTTCAGGATTTCGTTCAGATGCAGATGCAGGAAATACAAGACAATATAAAGAGCAGGCGCAATAAAATATTTCTTTTAATGGAGGAGGTTTGTTTTTCCGTTAGCTTTACCCAGTAATTGTATTGTCTCTACTTAGGATGAGCTCTCATTCTTCTTTGTTTAACGAGATTAATGAAGTTTCAAAAAACAAAATGATGTGGTAGGCTCAACTTTTGATGTTAATACAGGTAAGAAGGTTACGAGTACAGCAGCGGATCAAAAGTAAACAAGTTCTTGACGAAATGGGTGAACAAGAAGACGAGATGCCTGATATTCCATCCTCTATCCCCTTTCTGCCTCATGTGGTGATTCTTTGAAACCCTTTGCATAGTATTAAAGTTGCGCAGGAGTCCTGCCATATCTTTCGTGAATGAGGATGAAGTTATTTCTATTTTGGTTCAGAAACTGAGAAATAAGAATCGTTACTCTTATGACTTATAAGCCAAGGTGTACCCAATCTGTCCACGTATAATTGCTTAGTACAAACAGGTCTGTGTTTAATTGCACATGTTTGCTATGCTTCTGCAATTTTAGTCTTATTCCAAGCTTATCTTATGTGTTGATTAAGATTTCAAATACATCCTAAGAGAGTAGGAAACTGTCTCATGCAGTTTATAATTTTGTTTCTGCTTGTCCCATTCTTTCTAGTAACTTATGACAATATCCTTTCTTTCCGATAGACGCCGAAATCGCTGAAGCAGCTCTACCTGACAAGTTTCTCATTTGTATCTGGAATAATCATCTTTGGTGGCCTTCTTGCCCCAGTTGTAAGCTCACAATTGAGAAATTCTGCTGCTTTCTTCTCATTAATTGTTACATTATTTCTCTGAGGCTTACACTGGTGTTTGACATTGAAGTTGGAGCTTAAATTAGGTTTGGGCGGTACATCATATGAGGATTTCATTCGCAATATGCATTTGCCTATGCAATTGAGGTAAACAAAGCTAAGAACTAACATGCGAATCAGTTGATTTATATTTTTCTAGTGTTCCCCTTGTGTTTGTGGTAGATGAAAACTTCCCTTTGGCTGAACTTTTTAGCTTCTCTATTTGTTGATTTCAGTCAGGTCGATCCAATAGTAGCATCCTTTTCAGGTGGAGCAGTTGGTGTTATTTCTGCTTTGATGTTAATTGAAGTGAACAATGTTGAGCAACAAGAGAAGAAGAGATGCAAGTACTGCCACGGAAGTGGTAAGCTTAACATTGAAACATGTGAAGGATTCAATCAGACCAGTTGCAATACATTTTATGACATTTTCTGGTGTATTTTTTACATCAATCCTCCTTGACCTTTAAAATTTGAAACTTGCTGGTGGGAAAGCAATCAACCTAAATAAAGTAACCTCGTTGCTATCTTTATGCTTTAGATTACTTGAGATTTGGGTGACCTCATATTATCAATGAATTAATAGCACAAAGATGCTCAGATATATTTCAATGTGAATCATGATGAAAGCTGCAGCCCCTGGAGGGACAGGATCCTCTGTGACACTTTTTTGTGACCCTCCATGTTGTACCATTCAATAACTTTGTATAAAATTTGTGGTTTGCGTTAATATTTACACAATTCACAACCGCTTTTGAAGTTATATATTTTCGAAGTTATATATTTCATCATGTGATTATCTAGACTTCCGTAATTATGTCTTTGATCTGAATCTGATCATACTAATGCCTCTATTCTGGTGCAAAAAGGATATTTGGCATGTGCACGATGTTCAGGCAGTGGTACATGCCTGAAGCTCGAACCCACTTCCGGAGCAAGTACTCAACGGTGCCAGAATTGCTCAGGTTCAGGAAAGGTATGTGAACAATGTCTACCTCATTTTGAGACACTCTTGAAATGGAAGAAGACTGTCAAATAAGCTTTGATCTCTGTTATGTCACGCAGGTGATGTGCCCGACATGCTTATGCACTGGTATGGCGATGGCTAGTGAACATGACCCTCGAATAGAACCCTTCGATTAGGAAGAAGACATCTACACTTGGGAGACCTGTAGTGTATGATTGAAATTGAAGCAAATTTCTTGCAGAAGATAGGATTATATTTTACTTGATAAAAAAATTCATTCCCCACATAAAAAATATAGTAGGGTCAAAGCAGTTTGTGATTCTCACGCTTTTTTCCTTGTGATTTTGTAACTCCAAAACCTCTTGAATGGTATGTAATTTTGAGACTAAGAGAATGATAATAAAAATGGGTATGCCCATAAATCATGTTGTTCAAGTCACGACTAGCATTCTAACATTTGTAATGCTTGCATTGAATATTTGACTTATCAAGATCTTGATATTCAAGGTTGAATCTTAAGGAAGGAGGAACACTACAATCAAATTTATGTAAGGTGATTTCACCAAATAATCAAATTTTGAAGATTAGCACTTAGAATTAATTAAGATCCTATTTATCGCTAAGATACTAAACTCAATGCTGATTTTAGTAGTCTCGTCGGGGATTACAATTACCATTTTCTGGGAGTTAAAATTTCTATATATTTAATAAAATTAAGAAGCCTGTACTAAGAAGACAGTTTGGCCGAGTGGTCTAAGGCGCCAGATTTAGGCTCTGGTCCGAAAGGGCGTGGGTTCAAATCCCACAGCTGTCATTTAGTGTTTACTTTTTCTCTTTTTCTCCTTTTTTTATTTTTTTGCGTTTCTCTGATTTCCGTTCCCTTGGGCGACATATTTTTCTATTTTGTTCGATCATCTTCTGGCGACCCAATTGTTTCACTCTCTTTGAAATTCGGACGAAGGCTTGTTGGAGATGTCTAGAACCATTTCCACAATGTCCAAATCAGGATCGAGGCTCTTGAACCGATTCGTAACATCACTGAGCTTCAGTCCAGCCATTCACCGGACCACTCGATCCCTCGAAACCCTGGCTTATGAAGAGGTACGATCTTCTCCGGACAAGCCCTACTCTTGTACAGCCTTTGTTCTCCATGGTCTATTGGGCTCTGGTCGTAACTGGCGCTCCTTTTCTCGCACCCTCGCATCCTCGCTTTCTGGTAAAATTTTTGAACTGCCAGTTCAATTCATTGTAATTTGCAAAATAGAGTTCTTATTAGGACGAGTTGTTGACCTAATGAAGGTTTTGATTTTGATGTTTGGGTTGGGAAGACAAATGGAGGATGGTTCTTGTGGATTTGAGGAATCATGGGAAGTCAGCTGAGCTACAAGGACTAAAGCCTCCGCATGATATTGGGAGTGCGGCTCAAGATTTGGCCGATTTGGTGAAACTCCGGGGATGGGATTGGCCTGATGTGGTTGTTGGGCACTCAATGGGTGGCAAAGTGGCCTTGCATTTCGCTCAAAGTTGTGCTCGCGGTGATTATGGTTCACATGTTCGTCTGCCCAGACTGGTAATTTCGTTATTCTTTTTAATTTGTTTCTTATCTTGAAAATATGCACAGTTTGTTTTTGTTGATTTCCATTTAAGTTTCAATTATTAATCATCTAGGGGCTGTAGGTTTGTTAATTGACTCCCGCCAAACGAACATGATGGCGTGTTGAAAATAAAGGAGATGGGGAATCCAAATGTTCTTCTGCTTGTTTTTTTTTTATTTTTTTTTAAAAATGATTTCCTGTGGAATTATTGTTGCATATCTTGTCTTAATAGGCCCAGGCCCCCGATGAACTGGATTTCCTTCATTTGAGCTGCAATCTTTAGTCCTTTATTGCTTACTTGCGTATACTGGATTGTTTCAAGTGGAAAAGGTCAAGCTGGAACCACAATTCCCCACGATTCTGAATTTTTAGCCTGTTTGTCTTGACTAGATCCTTGTTGCTTCGTAATTGATGATTATGTGCCACCGGAGACTTTCAATAAGCTACATTTACCTGCTTATAACCATGCTCTGCATCCTTATATTTACTCGTTAAGGGCTTTCATGCATTAATAGTCTATTGTTGGAAACTGCATAGTCTTTGTTCAAGGAGTAATAGTCTGTTGTTTGAAACTGCGTAGTCTTTGTTCAAGGAGTAATAGTCTATTGTTTGAAACTGCATAGTCTATTGTTTGAAGTCTGCTGGCTGACTATACTCCTTATGCAGAGCAGCTGTGGATATTGGACTCTCTACCTGTAAAAGTAAATGCTGAAGACAGTGATGGAGAGGTGGAGAAAGTTTTACAGACTTTGCAAGGTCTACCGTCACCTATCCCGTCTCGGAAGTAAGCAGTCTTCTTGTCTCTTATGGTCTTCTCTTGATACATGCATCCTCTTTTCTGCATCATTTTCCTCACTTATGATTCTGGTTTCCTCACTTATGATTCTGGTTTCTAAGATGGCTGGTGGATCACATGATGAAGCTTGGATTTTCAAAAGCATTGTCAGAATGGGTTGGTAGCAACTTGAAGAAATCTGGTGACAAGGAGACTTGGGCATTTAATCTTGAAGGGGCTGTCCAAATGTTCAATTCGTACAGGTATGCTGATCTTCCTCATGCAAGCGGTGTGTCGTCGTAATATGTATCAATTTGGACCCCCATAGAATGAAGATATATGCACCTATCTCTGTAAAGAAGGTCTTCTTATTTCACATGTTAGACGTACAATGATGCAGGGAAACTGACTATTGGGATCTGTTAGAGCGACCACCGAAAGGAATGGAGATTGCCATTGTTCAAGCAGAGAACAGTGATAGATGGACGCCAGAAATAATCCAGGAGATTGAAAGGCTTGCTGCTAGAAAAGCAGATGAAGTTGATGGGAAAGTTACTCATTATGTTCTTCCTAAATCAGGGCACTGGGTTCATGTGGATAACCCCAAAGGGCTTCTTGAAATTGTGACACCAAAAATGGCCTCTCTAGATTTAGTCAATTGACATGTTTGCACTGTTAGCAGCCAGTACCCGTATCTTTTTGATACATTGAACTGGAACATCTATGATTTATGTCAGAACAAAGATGTCTGAATGTAACTTTACTCGTATTGTATCAAGAAGTGCATTGACAACATAAGGAAATTTATTTACTGAAATTTAATTTGCCTAAATGATTTAGCAAAATGATAAAAGAAAAAATACTCCCTCCGCCCATAATTATTGTCCACTTTGACTAAAAAATTTTGTCCCAAAATTATTGTCCAATTTGACTTTTTATGGATCAAGTTACACATTTGTCCTTAGTAAAAAATATTATCCATAAAATCTTAGTGGTTAAACAATTACTTATGTAGGGGTATATCCGGTTATTTAAGGTGAAATATAATTAAGTTTGACCAAAAATAAAATCTTTCATTTTAGTAAAACTGGACAATAATTATGGGACGGAGGGAGTATAATTTAATATGATGCCCGCAGTTGTGCAGCTCTTTGGACCAAAAAAAAAAAAAAAAGAACAAAAAAGAGCAAATAGTGGACAATCACAATCATGGTCTTTAAAAGGACTAAAGAATACTTCCAGAAATCAACAATAAGGTTTAATTAATTCAAACAATTCAAAACAAAAAAATAAATCGAGGTCTTTTTCTACAACGGATCAAACTTGGGGAAAACTATATTCACCCACATTCCTTTTCCCAAACATCGGACAATAATGATCAGGCTATGGCTCTGTTAAGAAAATCAAAAACTGTGGTTATTACATGATATAGTGGATGTGTCATATCTGTAATACTGGAATGCCAAAAATCTAGGTCTCGGTCTCTTCTTTATACCAAAAAAATAATAAGATCAAGTTCATAACATCACATTTGACGTCCGATAACTACGTGATATGTGTGTGGTTTCAGCTTCACTTCAAAACAACTTATTTTTAAGATGAAAAGTGAATAAAATCTACCATCTAACACCATAACTCAATACAAAATTTCTAAATGTTCATTCTATCAGGTCTCTTCATATCCCAAGCATCCAAAGTCTCGATGGTGACACTTGTGGTGCCATTGTTAAACACATACAAATGAGCATTATCTCCGACTGCTATGGTTGGATATACCCTCGATGTAATGCAAGTTTTTCCATTAGCCCCAAAACTCTCCACAACCGAATGATCAACCTGCCCATATAATAACAATGCCTAACCGTATCAGAATCATTTCATCATGGCAGAGCTCGTGCAATGTAATAGAGTATTAAAACCACAAAGGGCTAAAATACTGAAACACAAATATCAAACAAAAAAAAAAGTCATACCAAACTCCTAAGAGAAAGTTTCTTATCACTCAGATCAACATCCACAAATCCAGCAAAAGAAGGGTTGTACATTCCATCCTTTAAAGAAGATCTGTCAAGGGAAAAATTAAAAAAAAGTTAGGTATTTGTATGCAATGTCGGACCCATGTGTAAATGTGGTCTGAGATGTAGGGAAAAAACAAACGAACCTTCGCGCATCAGAGCACATGAGAACAACATATTTCTTTCCATCTTTGAATACTCTGAAAAATACAGGGGTATACTCTTCCAGATTTTCAGATGCAAGAGTCAATAGGCCAAAAGGCCCAAGTCCACCTTCGACAGTTGAACCTGTTTCACTACAAACGTCTTGAGCATCAAGTTTTCTCCAGCTAGGTTCAAATTCCTCTGCTGAATCCAAGCTCGGGAAGTTAAATGTGACTTCAACATCGGCCTGCAATCACGTAAATCCATAATTCTCAATGACCCGATTGGCAACAACAACAATCAAGCAGAATATATACATTAATATACAGTGTTGTGTCGTAAGGGAGAATCAGACCTGGGCTGCTGTTCCTACAGGAACTTCAACTCTGTCCCCTTTATTTAGCACCTGATTGATCATGTAAACATTTTGACCTCTTAATCTTTCTAATTCCTCAACTGGCCATTGAATCAATTGTTTCCCATTCGGATCCAGGGTAATTGTTCTCGGGATCAACTACAACATATAATGCAAGAAACGGTTAGCTACATAAACTACGTGAAACAATTTGATGAACACTAGAACATAGCAGTTAGCAGAGCACCTGAATGCCAGCCCATCCCTTATCGATATCATCCTGAACAGGATCAGACTCATTAGCCCAACCCCACAAAATCCGTCTGTTCTTGTTCGGGTCGAAGAATGTTTTTGAAGCATAGAAGTTTCCATAATCGTATCTCAGCCCTTTCCATCCATCAACAAGGGTCTTATCTGGAACATACCTATCCTTCTTTGTGTCATAAGTACCAATCGTGTAGTATTCGTATCTTGTAACATCAAGACTAACCTTCAACACGTGTTTCACATTTGTTCCCATTACAGATGTGTCCAAACCCTTCAACCCAATCTTCGGAACAGGGAAGAAATCCGGGCATTCCCAGTTTCCAGTTTCGGCTTTTGTGTGTAATGGATGCTTTGCTTTGACCCATTTCTTAAAGTCTCGGCTCCTGTACAAAAATGCAATCCCTCTGTGCTTCCTCCTTCCGCCGACCAAGATTCTCCAGTGACCATCTTTGCCTTTCCAAGCAGTTGTCGGATCACGAAATGCGGTCTTGTTGATGCCGATTTGAGGGACAATTAACGGGTTGTCGTCGGGTTTTACCCATTCTCGGAGATACGGGTCGGAGAGGTTGGCGGGAACGGCATAATTCTGGACTTGGGTGTTGTTGGCGTCAATGATTCCGGTGTACAAGATTGTGGGCTTGTTTCCGGGGAGAACTGTTGCGGACCCGGACCAACAACCATACTGGTCAAATGGTTTGGACGGGAAGATTGCTGGGTCCAACGGAGTCCAGTTGATTAAGTCTGTGGACACCGAATGGGCCCATACGATGTTGCCCCAAACTGAACCTTTTGGATTGTATTGGTAGAAAAGATGATAAACTCCATTGTAGTACATAGGTCCTATGATTTGAAAATCATTAAAAAAATTAAAAAGTACTCTCCGGTAAAAACTTTTGTTTCAAAGGAATAATAATACCAATAACTAGAAAAAATAAAAGGAAAATTATTAAACCAAAAACAAATTAAAAGTACTCTCAGGTGAAAACTTTTGTTTCAAAGTAAATATAATACCAATAACTATGAAAAATAAAAGGATATGGAGTAATTTATATTTTCATTGAATAATACTTTCTGCCCACACCAAAATAGTCTACATTGAAATTTTTTAATTTTCAAATTATAATGTAGACTTTTTTTTGGAAGTTATGGAGTAATATTTAAATTATTGAAATAAAGTTCATTACAAAGAGAGTAACTTGCTTACCATTTGGGTCTGTATATATCAGTTCATTTTGGAATCCAGCGTGAAAATCCAAGATTGACACCACAAAGCAAAAAAAAAAAAAAAAAAAGAGTGAGTAATTAAAGAAACACAATTCCAAATAAATTGCAATTAGTCTACGTACAGAAAATTCAACCACTGAATTAGATTAGAGTGCATTATATATTTGCTTTTGATGTAAATAGGTGCATTGATTTTAAAAATTTTTTTCCCTGAATTTGATATAGGTAATAAATATACATAAATCGGATGAGAATCCGTAAGGTAAGATGATAATCATGGACTGATATACTATCAATTTATAATACTACTAGTACTAAATATCATTTATGGCTAAGATATCGAACCAATTATTGATATAATTTACCTTGAAACGGAAAACATTGATATCCTAAATCCAACTAAATAAATGCCAATAATGTTGCATACATAGGCTATTCACATCAAAGTTTGAAAGTGGGGAGAAAAAAAAAATTGCTTCACGTGATTACAAATAACAAATCGTGAACATACAAGTAATTTTTAATTTTCACATTACTAGCGTCAAACTAGGATACATATTTCGAGAGAGAAAAAGAGTACTATTATATCAGTAATGAACTATTTTCCGGTGCAAAAATAAAATAAACTACTTTTATAGAATGCACCATTGCTAAAATTGAGATGAAAGCACTAGTAATTAAGATGAGCAAAAACTTAGTGACCAAAAAGAGATCACTTAAACGTACCGTTGATCCAATGTTGTGGAGGCTGAAAGTGATATGCAGTCCTGTGCTGCTGTTTTACACTGGAAGAAGTACTAGACAATGACTGATATTCATAATAAACCCTATGTGATGCTTCAACGCCATTCTCACAAACCAAAACGAACAATAACAAGAGAAGCAAAACCCGCGCAACCTTATGGTAGTAATGACTTGAAAAATATTCCATTAAGTACCTACAAAATTGTGATGATCAATCCCAAGGCTTGTGATGAAGAGATGAACAAAAACATGAGACAAGAGATTTGATATACTGGTAAAAGGTAAATGTTTTTATGGGGGGGTGGAGACTTTGTGGATAGAATTGTTAAGGGGATAAGTTTCGCGGTGGTTTTGGGAAGTTCCTAACTGTATATCCTAAGATTTTCATTATTTGTAGGAATTCTTATGAGTCAGTGATATCTAACAATCAACGATTCGATATCCTTTATCTTTGATTCTTTTCAGAGTATCTTAGACTTGATTGTTCTACCCAGATAATTGGATAACTTTGCCCATGTTATTATTGGTATCTACCAGAATTATTACTGCGCATATAATAATATTTGTGCCAAACATGAATGGACTATTTTTTTTCCCCTCATGTGTAATTATTCTATCATAATAGTTACCTGTAATTTGTACCAAAAATAAAAATCGAAACTGAAAAAATAATTTCGGGAAAGGGGATATATACATTTACCATGGTATCTTCCTTTTATGGTTAAGGTTTTTTGAGTTTCACCTCAGCGGCTTCCTCCCAAAAAAAAAAACCTTTGAAACTATTTACTAGTGGATGTGGATGTAACATGCATCTAACCTAGGGTTTCCCTATTTCTCAGCGGTGGAGATTTAATACTATCTGCGGCCTCCTAATTATTTTGGTGCACTGCGGACTATTTCTCCCTCCGATATATATTTATTATATATAAGGAATTCTGATGTGTTTTAAGTTTCATGTGGTAAGATTTTTCAATTAAAAATAAAATTTTAAATTTTTTTTATGATAATAATTACAAGAACACAATAAATGTGAAAATGGCACAAAGGTACTGATTTTGAACCTAAATAGAAGCAATTGTCCCAATATAATAGGGAGGGATGGATACTTATTTGCATATTTATCTTGAAGTTGACCTTTTATTGGCTTCTTTTTCTTACTTCTCTTGTCGGTTTTTAACCTAAACTGAATACATATCATGTGCTTCTTTAGTTGACAGTACTCGAAATCGCTAAAAAACTGGCCGTCATGGTTTGTTTACCTCATAATAATTTAATTTGTTCGTGATTCTAAGAGTCTCTCCGCACCTAACTCAAGTTCTTTGTAACAGCCTAACTGATGGATCTATTGTGTTGGGGGACATATCTCACGATTGGGGTAAATTATTTTATTGTTTTTGCTATCCTTAGTAGAATAGTGCTATTTCATTGCGAAACCTGTTACAGAGTGCTCCTATATATGTTCTTGAGGAAAACACTACGAAATGCATACCTCCTTTCCACATTTTAATTACTAAAGAGATTCATAACTTGAGAATTTTTATTTTCTCATATTTACCGAAATTGTATATTTTCATCGACAATAATACGGACTTATTGAATGTTAATAATTCATGTTTGATGGAACTCCCCAATACACAAGCTCCAGGAATCAAACTAAATAACAGTAGCGGATCTAGAACGAATTCTTACTAAGGGTCAATAATATATTAGCGAAAAGAATTTTTATAATATCATTGCATTAGTATTGATCATAATAAATTTTCTTATTTTGATGAAATTTTTGAACCGCTTCCACATTATAAGTGTGTTCTATAATATTATTTTTAACATAAAAATTAAACTAGACATCATTCAAGAGTTAAGTATTTGATACAAGAATACATATTATTGTGTTCATCGTTAAAAACTCTTTCTAGAGCTATTACATCAACAGGCAAAATCATAACTTTCTTTATTAAAATTTTTTTAACAAAACGCTCATACCAATGGATGCATAATAAAATTCAAGACACTTATTTCATGACCATTTTATTGCAAGACTGCATGCATCATTAGCATAATATAATTTACAATGACTTGTAATTTATTTGATTTTTTTAAATAATACACTACCTATTGATAGAAATTTATTTTTTATGTCGACCGTATTTAATCAATTAAGAGAATGTAAATTTAGCAAAAAAAAAGAGAGTAAAAATTACATAAAAACATCAATTATTTATTTAAAAATTGTATTAAAATAAATAAATATGTATATATAATCAAAGGCTTGCGGTGGGGCCAGCGGGGCCAAGGTCCCCAATGTAAATCCACCAGTGTTAAATAATACTCCATCCGGTTCTTAATATAAGTAATTTTGATTTGTCATATGTTTAACTTAGTACGCATTTTTATTTGACAAAAAAATCTTAAAAATATTTCATAATAATCAAGGGAATACAACAAACCTGAGAATATATTTTTAAGGTTTTTTGGTCGATTAAAAATGCATATTAGGTGAAACTTAGGACAAAATCAAAATGTCTTATATTAAAGAACGGAGGGAGTAGTATTATTGTTTCTGCCTCAAAAGAAATAGTAGCTCATAACAATGGATTATTTTTTAGAGAGTGAGAGTAATATATTGAGGGACATAATTTAGAATTTCTATCGCTTTGATTCAGTGGAGACTGAAAAAAGAAAGTTGCATTGTTAATTTCTGATACATTAATTGAATATCTGGTTCTCTTCCCAGATAGGAGTAACAAGTAAAAAAAACATCAAAGAAATTTTCCTCTTCGTGTAAACAATAAAAAAAGGGACTCTCCGATTAATGGCCGCCTCAGTTCATCTTAGGACTCTTCATGGAGTAAACATCGATATTCTCGAGGGTAATAGGCTCAGTACCATTGTTGAACGCTATCAACTGAGCCTTGTCGAATATGGCTTTGGCTGGGTAAACCCTAGATGAGATGCATGTCTTTCCATTTTCTCCAAAACTTTCCACCACTGAATGATCAATCTGGAAAAAAAAAAATAAAAAAAATACACAATTATTCGATTCGTTCGCGTGGAACTGAAATATTGTATACATAGTTCATGGCTAAAAAGTAAGGATGGAATCCATGGAATCATACCAAAGTCCTGAGCTCAAGCGTCATTTTAGCTTTCAAATCAACATCTACGTATCCACCGAATGCGGGTGCGTACATGCCTTGTCTTAAGGAACCCCTGCATTTTAATAACCGATAAACACAATAAAAAATATTACACATGATACTTATTAGTTCAACAACGTGGACTATTTTTTTCATAGGAACGATCATGTTTGAGGAATTTTATTTAACAAACCTTCTTCCATCAGAGCAGAGCAGAACTTTGTGTTTGTCACCATCCTTGAAAACCCTGAAATGAACTGCAGTGTATTCTGCCAAGTCTTTAGTGGCAAGAGCAAGCAGACCAAATGGGCCCAGCCCACCTGGAGTGTCACCCTTCTCGGTGCAAACATCTTGGGCATCCAGATCTTTCCACTTTGGATCAAACGGTTCGGCTTTGTCCAAGCTTTGGAAAGTGAAAACCACTTCCACATCAGCCTGGGCCCCAGTTACATTGGGAACCACAAAAGGATCGCCCTTTTCAAGCTTCACGTCCTCCCAACTCAAGTTTGGTCCTCTCAAAGTGTCCAATTCTTCAACGGGCCATTGCAACAACTGTTTCCCGCTTGGATCCAATGTGATTGTTCTGGGAATCAACTGGATTCCGGCCCATCCCTTCTTGATGTCGTCCTTGACTGGATCAGACTCGTTGGCCCACCCCCACAAGACCCTCCTGTTCTTGCTTGGGTCAAAGAATGATTTGGAGGCATAAAAGTTACCGTAATCGTATCTCAATCCTTTCCAGTTGTCGGGCGAGGTGTTATCCGGTTCGTAGGTATCCGTATCCGGATGATATGTACCGACTGTGTAGTATTCGAATCGGGTTGCATCCAGACTGACCTTCAACACGTGCTTCTCGTTTGGACCCTTCACTGAAGCATCCAATCCGTTTGACCCGTTTATGGCTACCGGGTAGAAATCGGGGCATTCCCAGTTCCCGGTGCGGGGAGAAGAGTGCAATATTCCCCGTGCATTGGCCTTGGTCCATTTCTTGAAGTCCTTGCTCTTGTACAAAAACGCCATCCCGGTGTCCTTGTATCGCCCGCCCACTAAGATCCTCCATTCTCCGTCGTTGCCCAACCAGGCGGTTGTCGGGTCACGGAAGGCGGTCTTGTTAACTGGGCCTTCCGCCACGATCAACGGGTTGTCGTCGGGCTTGACCCACTCCCGGAGGTACGGGTCGGATATGTTCTTGGGCACGGCGTAGTTCTGGACCTGTGTGTTGTTCTTGTCGATGATGCCGGTGTAGAGGATCACGGGCTTGTTTCCCGGGAGGACGGTGGCGGATCCGGACCAGCACCCGTATTTGTCGAATGGTTTCGATGGGAAAATGGCGGGTTCCAATGGGATCCAGTTGATCAGATCATGGGATACGGAATGGGCCCACACGATGTTGCCCCACACAGCTCCCTTAGGATTGTATTGGTAGAAAAGATGGTATACGCCATTGAAGTACATGGGTCCTATTAACAAAATTACGGTTATGAGTAACATTGTACAGTTTTTTTTTTTTTTTTTCTCTCCACAGGAAAAAAGAATATAAGATTTCAAAATGAAAAGTAAATCCATTTTGCATTGACTCACCATTTGGATCTGTCCTCCGTGTAGTTTAATGTCCCGATCGAGTGACCACAAAAAGTAGAAGAATAAACAATTAGTATTTGCCCAACAAAAGACGAAATGAGAAAAAAATATAAAGATCGTGTATATTATTAGTGTTTTTGAAATTTCTGGTAGTGACCAAAGCCATAAAGGAAGTACTATGTGATGAGAAAATTAAGTCTTTATCGAAATGTATTGGTTATAACTTATAATGTGTAGGGTAAAGTACTATAAAAATTGTTTCTTTGCATAAAAATTCATACACATAAAGGCAATCAAGAATTTGAAGGAAAGGAAGAAAATAGTACCATTGATCCAGTGCTTGGGAGGTTGGAAATGGTAGCCAGTTCTATGAAGCTGCTCAACATGGTGAGCAGGAACTGATTGATAGTGAAGATATACGTGATGACTGGCATCAACAACGTTATTTGATACAAAGAAACATAACATAAATATAGGCAAAGCCCAAAGAAATTTAAAACTAGATAACTCCATCATGGACTTTGACTGATAATTATATTACTGTACAAAAGATATATATATATTGATATGTACAAAAAGTACTATATATATTTTTTTTTTATCTTTTGAAATTTGGTTAGGCCATGAGCTCGGTATTTATACGAGGAAGTAGAGAAAAGAATGGAGAGATTTAAGGGTCTTGAAGGGTTCAAAAACCGTCATAAGATTGTTCGTGGATAGGATTGATTGTTGGGCAACTTTTGACATTTTACCCTTCTCTTTTTCTTTTGCGTTTTTTCACCTTCTTTTCGGACGCGATTCTATATTTCTAGTTTAATTAACTACTTTTTCATACATATGTAGTATTATTATTATTATTATTATTATTATTATTATGGTTTTGTTTCATTTTCTAGAAGAGCTATAAGACAAACATTAATGTACGGAGTATTAGTCAACGAGGAACTATGAATCAGATGGATGAAAAGATGATTTTCGATTGAACAATTGAAAACGGTGGCATAATCGAGACTTAAATTCCCATGTTTTGATCAATTAGCTGCTAATCGGAGATTCTGATTAATGATATTCTAGCATCATCTCGGGCAGAGGCTAATTGTTTTGTGTACCACCTCCGTTAGCTAAGTTATTTCTAAGACGAATGAATTAAATTGATGCATAGCATTATGCATTTGATGGAAAATACATTTTGTTGGAGTTTTGATTTATTCCAAAAGATGATTAATTAGTTGTATGAAACAATTTTCGCTTCTGTTTCGGTTTTGCTTTCTCAATACAATTAATATAAACGCCCTTTATGTTCCATTACAGCAAAATGAAGTTATCTAATCTTTGTTCATGAAATTGGAGTTAACTATTGAATTAACAATACTTTCATTAATAAGAGTTATTACTTGATTTATGTCTTCCACGTGAAACCTAAAATAACATCCGGCAATTTGAGTTTGAGAGTGTTGCGTGTAAATAGCACCCTTTTATGACTTCTAAAATGCATCCCTTTGGACAAATTTTTTCTAGAATCTGTTTTTCTTCTACTTTCAATTCCACGTAAACATTGGATCCATAAATTTTGTTAGTTTATGCTCACACTAATCTTTAACGTAGAGTAGAAAGATTTATTTTATCTTGGATAGACATTTCGTAACACTGAAATAATTTTATAAGGGAGTTAAGGTTTGTAATCTGTATGACCAAAGTATTTCATTGACTAGTATTTTGGAACAATTCTTTCTCCCAACACGTTTCAAATTGAAATCATGCTATAGTGCGCATACTTGATTATTTGCTAAACCTCAAATGTGAATTCAGCAACATTACTAGTAACTAATATCCATCCGGAAATTCATTATTTTTTCCTAAAAAAAAAAAGTAATAAATACAGAGATTGTTGAATACGATAAACAATGGAAACCAGAAAAAGGAATTACGTGACCAAACCGGTTAGCTAGAATAATGAAAGTCTTGAAATCTAGTAGATTAGAGGTTGTTTCATGCTCCAAGCGTCCAAGGTTTCAACCGAAATGGCCTCAGTGCCGTTGTTGAATGCAAACAAATGGGCATCGTTGAAGACTGCCAAAGTAGGATAAACCCTCGAGGTTATGCACACTTTTCCTCCTTGCCCAAAACTCTCCACCACCGAATGATCAATCTGAATGCATTCCAAAAAAAGATTTAGTTGAAATCTCCTCAAGCAATATGAGAATCCCAAATTAAGTAATATTTACCAAACTTCTAAGAGAGAGCTTCTTGCTTGATAAATCTACGTCAACAAAGCCTGCAAAAGATGGCTTGTACAATTCCTTTTTCAAAGAGGATCTGTCCACAAAATGTATATACATGAAGTTTCGTTTATATAATTAAAATAATTCAACAAATATAACTAATTACTAAACCAAAAGTGTGACAAACCTTGAAGCGTCAGAGCATAGTAGAACCTTGAAATTGTTTTTCATCTTGAAAATTCTAAAGAAGACGGGAGTGAATTCTTCGAGATTTTTGGATGCCAGAGTCAAAATCCCAAATGGCCCGAGGCCTCCTTCAACAGTAGAACCCTTTCGACTACAAAGCTCTTGAGCATCAAATTTAGCCCAGCTTGGATTAAATGGCTCAGCTTTGTCCAAACTTGGGAAAGAAAAAACCACTTCAACATCAGCCTGCATGCATGCACGTAACCAGATTAGTCTAGGTTTAATTTAATTACTAGTAGTACATGAATTAATTATTTGTTATACAGCTTATTATATGTATTAGGCCAACCTGGGCAGGTGTTATTCCTTTGACTTCAACAAGGTTCCCCTTTTTGAGCTTTTGACTCTTCAAGTGAACCTTATGTCCTCTAAGAGTTTCCAGCTCTTCAATTGGCCATTGCAACAATTGCTTCCCGCTTGGATCCAGCCAAACTTTTCGCGGAAGAGACTGCATACAAGCATTTCATTAATTAGGACGAGGGAGAAATTTCTCATATTTATCATTAATCTCGCAAATCAGTACACTGTTTTAGTTTGACAAATAAGACTTTAATTTTGAGCCGAGAGAAAAAGTATATGATTATAATTACCTGAATTCCGGCCCATCCTTTTTCAACGTCATCCATTCTCGTATCAGATTCATTAGTCCAACCCCACAAAATCCTTCGTTTCTTCCTTTGATCAAAAAACGTCTTGGAAGCATAGAAATTTCCATAATCCAATCTCAAACCATTCATGCCATCCACAAAGTTACTATCAGGCATGTACCTATCATTCTTAGGGTAATATTTACCAATAGTGTAATAGTCGTATCTCGTGGTATCAAGGCTGACTTTAAGCACGCATTTGACGTCACTTTTTTCTACAAGTGACACGTCTAACCCGTTTGTACCTTGCACCGGCACCGGGAAAAAATCCGGGCATTCCCAGTTTCCAGTCTTTGGCGCCGAGTGTAACGGATGTTTTGCCTTGACCCATTTCTTAAAATCCTTGCTTTTGTACAAATATGCAATCCCTCTGTGACTTCTCCTGCTCCCAATAACGGTTCTCCAGCGTCCATCCCGACCCATCCATGCAGTTGTCGGGTCACGGAAAGCGGTGGTGTTAACTCCCGGGTCAGCCACGATGATCGGGTTGTCATTTGGTTTGATCCAGTCTTGGAGATACGGGTCGGATAAATTGGCAGGTATAGCGTAGTTTTGGACCTCAGTTCGCTGGCTTTCATCGACTACTCCAGTGTAGAGAATGATGGGTTTGTTACCCGGTAGGATGGTTGCCGACCCGGACCAACAACCGTATTTGTCAAATGGTTTTGATGGGGTTAATGCGGGTTTTAACTGTTTCCAGTTAATTAAGTCAGTTGATACTGAGTGGCCCCAAACTATGTTTCCCCATACTGCGCCAAATGGATTGTACTGGTAAAATAGATGGTAAATTCCATTGTAAAACATGGGACCTGTTGGGCAAACACAAAAAAAAAAAAACAAACAGCATGAGAGTTGAAATTAGGAAAAAATAATAGTTGAAATTGTTGCATGATCAGAAATGAAGTCATTTCTTACCATTTGGATCTGCTCTTGGATTATTTGAACATCCATCCATGAAAAAGAAACAGAAAATATTAGGTGAGCGAGTAATTTCACAAATATGTATGAAGATAGGAAAAACTATAAAAAGTCAAAGTATGATTTAGCTTGGTCAACTTCTTACAAAATTGCAACAGGGAGAAACAAAAAAAATAAAAATAAAAATGATAGATAGCCTAGAAAAGCTTAATTTATTCAGTATTTATCACTACATAATAAATAAAAATGATAGTGTAATGACTTTATACAATTGATTGTTATTATATATCATTCAAGGTCAAACTATAATTATTTTCGTTTACTCGAAATGTTGACAAGTTCAAATTATTATCTTAACATTGTACTTTCAAATTCAGATACCACTTTTTCGATGTAGAGAATCTAGAATCCCACTCTTATACCTTCCCTCATGCTGACAACCAAAGAGAGATTTGATTGGGGAAAAGGTGGCGATGTTATTGGGTGCAAAATTTAGGCTTTGTTTGTTTAGTTTTTTTTATAGTTTTTTTATATTAATAAAATAATAACTGTCTTATCTCATCATACTTTTTTATATTTTTAATATACATTTTTATATTCTCAATATAAAAAAATCTAAAAACACACACTAAAAAAAACGAAACAAACATACCTTAGTGATATTTTAGGCATACTGTATATTATCGATTTATTTTAGAAACAAATGTAACCATAATGATTTTTCTTCAAATTTAAATGATGGGTAGGTCTTCCCCAGAAAACATAAATAAATAAGGAAAATGGGGCAAAAAAAATGACGGGTGGGTCATGCTAGCTAGTTGAAGAAGTTGAACCAAGCAATCCATTAAGGGAACACAAGGAATGTTGGAGAGTTGGTGTTTGACCATTTGGCAAATTATTGTTGTTGGAAGGATTATATGCAACATGATCGATGAAAACTCTTTTGGTATTCATATGTTGTACCGACCTCATTATTAGAAGAAGCAATGTTTTACAATTCATGAGAATTTTTTAACAAATAGTATTATAAACTTTAATATATGAGAACTGTTTGGAATAAGAGTAATATTATTGAAAACAACGAAATAAGAAAGCGAAATCATCAAACTTAGATTGGTAACGTTGCATGGATCAATTAATTATTAAGAAAAAACGAATTATATACACACGAACAATATGAAGCTATAAACGTGCACTATAGAATAATAAAAAAAAAGATAGATAGATGTAGGTTTACATTTACAAAAGATCAAATTAATGCAAGCTTCCAACAAATATGATCGTACCGTTGATCCAATTCCTTCTGGGTTGAAAATGGAATCTGGTTCGGTGATCTTGCTTCACCGTCACAGCTAATACCGATTGGTACTCCAAGTCCAACACATGGGAGCCCTCAACATTAGTAACCCTAATCGTTGATACTGATAAAAACACTAGAATAAATGGCAAAGCCTGAGAAATCCTAGTCCAAAAGAGCTCCATTATTGGTACTCACAGAAAAACTCTTATGTAATTGATCATTAACCTTAGGAAGAGTATATTAAGACAAAGGTGATTTGACGATATATATGTATGTTGAAATTAAACAGTAATGAATCTCGGTATTTATAGATGCCATGCCACACAAAGAACCGTGGGGAGTCATTGTCACTAATGTGAAATAAAAAGGGATAAGAGTTAGTATATGTTTTTTGGACTTAGCTCAAGATCCAAGTTAATTATTTGAGCGGACAAAAACATCTCCATTTGAGATTTGTTTGTGGACTTGGAAAAGAGATAAGGAATTCTGAACAGTTTCATTGTTCTTTCAGCTTAAACACAGAAATGTTTGAGGGGAAAAAAAAATGTATGGTCACTGGAACTAAAATCGTCCATATGGATGGTAATGAACCACATGATGAATTGAACCAACAAAAGTACTACAGATTTATTTTACGATGCAATTCCAGGTTAATTCAAATCTTCCCACTTCGGTAAAGGTTAGACTAAACAAATACTCCTTCTATCTTAAAAAAATTATTACTCTCTATGTCCTAAAAAAAATATTCAACATTAAATTTTGAAATTTATACTAGTTTTTAGTACAAATTTTAAAACCGTTCAGTTCAGTGTCGACTATTTTTTTTTTTTTTTTTGAAATAGAGGCCGAGAGTATTTTGTTTTGTTCAATCTAAAAAGGCATAAGGAAGTAGGACTACTTTATGTTTGAGACAATGAGCATTTGACTACGAGGTCTGTTGTATTTATCCTGATTAATTTTTCTTCCGTGATGATTTAGTATGTGAATTTCATCATTGACCGAGATAGAAAATCAACAGCGACAGCATGGTCATAACTTACAAGTACACCTATACACAATCCACAAATATGGGCCATTCGTATTGAATATTGAATTATTACGTCAGATTTTATTTAACTGATTTTTTTTTTTTAACTTCTTCATTGAGGGGGAGGGGAGGAAAAAAAAAACCCCCCGCCAATGTTAACCGTAACTTTAGAACAGTAGCGAATTGATTAATGTGGGAATTTGGGGATGGATCAAACAAGATTTTGAGGAGTTATGGAATGACTGTACAGAGCACTATAATGTCTATTACGAAAAAGAGGCCAACAAAGAGAGTTGTGTATGAAGTTTTGGCACATCAAAGTGTTTTGTGGGTAATTTGGGACATTTGAGGAGTGAGTGAATAGGAGCACTATTTGTGAAGGAAAAATGACCACCCAAGTTTCTTTCAACCAACAACCAAAAGCAGGTATTATCAGATAGTATAACGCATTTCCAGTTAGTTCCAAATTAACGATTAGGCGCTTGCCGTATCGCATTGGTGCTCATCATGAGAGCGGCTTATGTAATTTAAGTCCAATTTTGATTCTTTATCTCCCGCTTGAATTCCTCATCTTTTCCTCTGACAAAACTCGCAGCTGCCCATTCTCCACGTTCAGTTACATATATAACCCCCAGACTGATTAGATTTATCCTCCTTTTTTTTTCTAATATATTAAGTTGTTAATCTAAATTAATCGATTCATCATTCTATGCTAAAGTGTTTCCCAATCCCAAGAGCTAATTAATTAGGATGGTCGAAACATGTGGCTAAATACATACTTCTTCTGTTTTAAAATAATTGTCCAGTCATTTCCAGAAAGGAAAGATAAATAGAGACGGTGAAATATATGAAATGATAAAACTTCTAAAACCACACTTGATAATAATCACCAACTTAAAATAAATAATTTCATTTTTCCGCACTTGTTCACAGTTTTTTCTTTATTTATTGTCATTTCATTATACGCTTTTATTGGCTCTACATTACTCCACATTGTGGAAATTTTACAGTAGAAGGTGGATATATATGATTCGGTAGCTCCGCTTGAGCTTAAGATCCTACTGTACCAAATATAGAATTTTGGTTTGTTGATTAATTGTAGTATACATAGTTAAACAAATATGGCTATTATTTTTTGGAGGTAAAAAAATGTGTTAAGTATATCTCTTGACTTTATGATTCTTCAATTAATCACCCAATTATTCACATACATGTTAGGTATCAAATCATAGACCTCAAGAAGACACCAAAAGTATCGATCGATCGAAATTCGGAAAAAGGTTTTTTGTTTTTTCCTTTTTGGTGCTTGGAACAAATAAGCATATAGAAAAGTTAGAATAACTCGTGAAAGGGGATTAATTCCATGTTTAGGATATGGACGAAATCAAACCTTTGGAAAAATACAAAAGATGTAGCCATAATGACAAAATTGCATGCTGCACTCAGATGAAAAAGGTTCCTTTTTCCTTATCAAGAAATTATCAGAAAAATAATGTAAGCAGTAAAACTTACCTAGTGCAATTCCTTATATCCATGTTTCTTCTTCTCTCAAATGGCAAAAAGAAAAACATTTTCTTTTGTGAAATGAAGCATTCGTTTGGATGCTCTTGCAAAACTAGTTTTTGGGGGTGATGATGAGCTATCGTCCATAACGCAAAAACAAAAGGGGCAAAAAAAAAAAACACACACACACACACACACACAACAAAAGGTCAATCGGCATCTTCACAGGATAATAATAAAGTAAGAATTAAAAAAAAAAGATTAATGCAGAGAAGCCTCTAAATTAAACTAATACCATTTGCGCCTACATAATCTCCTGTGATTTTTTTTTTTTGGCATATGATTTATTACCCAATCCAAATAATTAAATCAAGTTTTTAACGAATGCAGAATTCATTGAGTTGATTATATTTGGAAACATGAATAATATACTTTTTTTTATTATATTACACATTTGATGTCTAAATTTATTATTATGACTAATCAAATATTATATTATTTACATACTTTTGTATTGCATATCTTATATGATATAAGATTTACGTCAGGCAATTCACCGATCAGTTGCCCACTACCTCATCTCACACATTTTCTTGTGTACATCTTGCACATTTCTGGAACATTTTACAAAAAGAAGTTTCCCGAGGCCCCAAGTTTGTTTGATGATTTTTGTATGAAAAGTTAACTTTATTATTTGTTGCTCAAAAAAAAAGTATCAAACATTTTAGGTAAGCGGTCGACTGATTGATTCCTTAATTTGATTCTCATGTCATGTGTTCCATAATACAGTTTTTTTTTTTTTAAGGTTATGTCCCATAATAATGTAAATACAAATATTATAATTTTGGTAGTAATATGTTAACAAAATACAGACTAACATTGTCTAAAAATGAGGGTAAATTATAGTGGATATCCCTGGTGTTTCTGTAGATTCTAAGTTTGGATCTTGATATATGAGCTTTTTCAGAAAAAAAATATGTATATATATATAGTGAGAAGTTAGAATTTTTTTTGCCGATGTCTACGGTTAACAACAGTAATCATCAATAGTCATCTTATGAAGTTTTTTACTCACCCCCCAAACTATTTAAAAAAAAAAAAAAAAACTTCATCTATCCAAAACCCCATTATATTTGTCAATGCCGTAACGTTAATTAGCTACAATCCTTTACTTATTCCATTTTGATAAAAACCAAAAAATAAACAATTTACTTTTTTTGGAATAAAAATAATAAAAATAAACAATTTAAAATGGTACGCACATATGCACTCCCTTATAGCACAAATAATTGAACTATTTTCTCGAGACAAAAACACAATACAGTACATTATATATTGGCCAAACCACCGGAAAAGCTATAACCATAAGACAGGAAGTTGTGGAGGTATAGGTTCAATCAAAACAGAAACAGAGAAAATTCCAAGTAAAACCTTAAATAGTGCAAACTGCAAAGAGAAAATATCTCCTATATTAATCAAATCTCTGTCTTACACATTTTTAAGCAATATTTTAGCGTCTCCCTACCACTACTAATTTCCCCTAGATTTTTCCGTATCAGCTGAGAAAAAGTTTGAAGGCATGTTAGGCACAAACAGTAATGTTATTTCGGAAACTGTTTCTAATATTGGGACAACACTCTCATAAAGTTTGGGCAATTTTTTAAAACTCGATTTCGGCATTGGAGTTAGGACATAACATCAATTGATTAGAACCCTTTTATTTGAAATTGCATGATGACTCAAAGTGTAAGAACTACTGTGTTAGGCAAAAGTTATCACTTGGAATGATTAGCTGTCTCATACTGCAGACATGGTTGATCAGTGACCTCTGCGAGATGCAGCAGAGGCCACGTAGAAAGCCCCTGATGGAGAATGCCCACAATCTTGGTAACTTCACAGAGTCAATGAAAGTGCTTAAAGTTAACACAACAAGAAGAGAACAAAATTGACAAACAAGTGTGCAGCATTACTTGGCCAACAAAACTGGAAAGAATCAGTTCAGAGATTTATGACTAGTTTCTTTTGATAGTGGAAGAAAACATGCGGGGGCAATTTACCACAAATAACATGCACGTATGGCCCTTTTAAGATTTTGGGTTGTCCAGACCATTTAGAAGAAGGAAAATGACAGACACAGAAATCAGCATTCTGTATTTGGAAGAGGAAAAAGCGTCGAGATTCAGGACCACAAAATGGAGATAACCAGAAGTAAAAAGATTGTCCAGAGGAAAAATGAAAAAGCGCATCCTGGCAGTCATCTTATAGCTTCATTGAGAGTGTTGATCTTAACAAGACAATGAAATGATGAGTTTTAACGGAAAGATGTACAAAGTCAAACAGAAGTTACCTCAGCATGGTGGGAAGCAGCATTCACCAATAATCTCCACAGGAACACTTCCCTTCCTCAAAGTGATGAAATCTATTCGCGTCCCGGACAATTATCAATCTTTTTGTTATTAATGAAACATATTTAGTAAATGTATGACAATCACCGCAAACTCTGAGATTTTTCATAATCCTGATAGGGGTTCCTTCAGGAGTGGCAATCAGACCAAATGCAATGGCCAATTTCTCGCTGTGTGTGTACAACATGCCTCGTTTAAGTTCCTCATCAATGTCATGAAGGACATAGTTCGTGTCAGGAACATATCCGGCCAGTTCCAATTCGTCGCCCAAGCTTTTCAGCCTCTCACATATCGCATTAAACTGCGGATGAGTGTGGTCTCCAACACTGAACTTGTGCATCTTGTTGCCCACTTCGATCCAAGTCCAACCAGGAACCTTTTTCAATCTTTGATGGGTCATTAGTTCTCTAACCCGAGAAACATCTTTCCACTGGCCTGCTCTGGCATATATATTAGCGAGCAATACATAGTGCCCTGGGTTTTCAGGTTGCAATTCAAGAAGAGATCTTGCTGCCTTTTCTGCAAGTTCAACATGACCATGTATTCGACATGCCCCAAGAAAAGCTCCCCAAAGCCCTTCATCCTTTTTAATGGACATATTTTCAATCAAGTTCAACGCCTCATCAAGTCTCCCAGCACGACCCAACAGATCAACCATACAAGTAATATGTTTCACATCATGACTAACACCAAAATCTTGCTGCATCATTGAGAAGAGTCTAAGTCCCTCTTCAACCATCCCTGAGTGACTACAGGCATACAATACGGACACTAAAGTAATGCTATTAGGTTGCACACCAGTTGACAACATCATAGAGAACAGTTCAAGAGCCTCCTTACCACGCCCGTGATATCCATAAGCTGCAATCATTGCGCTCCAAGTTACAACATTTTTTACCCTCATTTGATCAAATATTCTCCTTGCCTCGTCCACACTCCCACACTTGGCATACATATCAATCATGGCAGTCCCCAGAACCACACTAAACCCAAGTTTCTTGCTCGATATATAATCGTGCACAAGCCTAGCCTTGTGCATAGCTCCTAATTTGGCACAGGCATTAACAATGTTAACCATGGCAACACTGTCCGGGGAGACACCTTCCTTTTGCATCCGATCGAACAATTCGATAGCTTCATTTGCAGTTCCACATTCAGTATGGGCACCAATCATGACAGTCCACGTAACGAGGTCCCTGTCAGGCATTCTATCAAACAGCTTTTTGGCATCCTCAAGAACCTTACACTTTGCATACATATCGACTAGCGCTGCGGCCACAAAACAATCCGATTGTAAACCAAACTTATAAATAATGTGATGGATTAATCTACCCATTTGGAGGTCAACTGTATCTCTACAAACTTTTATCACAAAAGGCAATGTATAATTATCCGGCCGATCCCCAGACCTTATGTACTCCCTGAAAGTTCTGAAACAATCCACAAAGCATCCATTTTTAGCAAACCCGCCTACCATAACACTCCAAGACATTGAATCTCTCTCAGTAAATCCCAAAAACAATGCATGAGCTTCAGTAATCGCCCGAACCGTCGTGTATGCGTAAAGAAGTTTATTCGCAACATTGAGGTCTTTTAGCAATCCATTCACGGTTACTTGAGAGTGCACTTGTTTGATTTGGTGTATATGGTTACATCTGGTAAGTTTGTGAAGGTAAAATCTTGGGTCTGGACTTTGTTGGAATTGTGAGATGGATGTTTGCTCAATGGGGGAGCTGGAACTGTCAAAAGCTTGTTGATCATTGCCATTTGCGTGGACTAAGGATACAACTCTAACACAAGCAGTTTCAGAAGTCTCCAAGAATGAGCGTGCTGTTCTGTAGTTTAAAGGCAGCTTGAGTTTGATCATGTTTGAGTAGCACAGTTGTATTTGCATGCAATTATATGCTGGCTTGCTCGAATTCAAGCCAACTAAGTCCTTTTTCAGAGGCAAGCCAATGGTTTTGCATGAATTGACATGTATTTTGGAATTCAATAATCTAAATTCCGGCGCTTTTTAATTTTGGTGAAGTTTCCGAAAATGAATACATTAATGCACCAATCATCTTGGGTCGTACTTAAACAACCTCAGACCCCAGACTCCAACCTAGTTGAGAATATACTGGGGATATTGTTGTTGTTGTACCTTAGACGTACAAGAGAACACGACTGGGATTTTAGAGCCAAACCATAAACATAATGCAGCAAAAACTATAGTCTTAAACAAATGTGTGTTTACTCCGCAGAGCTCTTGTTAGGCCTGCCCTCACAATTTACAACACTTATATCTATAATCCCGAGGAGGGATTTTCCACACTGATGAGGCTACTACCCAAACCAATCCCTAATATTACTGCAGTTGTGTATTTCAACGTTTCTACTAACAGTATACATGAAACACTACAGATACAAAATAGATATGGAGAAACATGCCCAAATTAAGAAGCCAAGCTGCAGTTAGTTGTTGATTTGGGAAAGAGGGGACCGTGGAATTAAGGACGGCTTCACTTCCTTTGCTTTGAATGATTCATATGAATGGTTTTCTCGGAATTCCTCCAAAAGGGAATCCATTGGCATGGCTCGAAGTCCATCTATTGTACTCTTGCTAGGGATGTCCGGTTCTGATCGAACTGGAGTCGTGCCGGTGGGTTCATAGTCCTGAAAGCAAAACAGAAGCCCCCATCAGTGAGAACTTAGAAGTTAAGGCAACTGGGAAAATATATTAAAGTACTTCGAATTGATAGTTCACGTATACAATTTAAGAAACAGGTTAGTGGTGGATTGAATCAGCACAGAACAATTTAAGAAACATACCATATATTGTTGATTGAAAGTTTCATCAGCCTTCTGTTCTATAGAGGTAGACTGTGCTGAATGGTCATTCTGAAGACTCTCAAGGGACCCTGAATGTGCTCGGGAGACTTCCAAAATTTCTGAGATGGACTGTGTCTCTTGCTCTGACATGTCTGAGTTTCAGATCAAAAAATTAGAACTTTAATCACATTAACAAGCAATGATTATAAAGTAGATAGCAAAACTCAAAATTATTAGTTACTACAAGGATATGGATAACTTGCTTCACGAAATGAGATGGTTCACAAAAGTAAAGCAATAATGATAACTCATCTGATTTTGAAGTTACAGGGAAAAAACAAAAGAACCATGACCTTGTTGGCAAAATTAACAACACAAAAAAAATGCAAAAACTGCCAGAATTACCGTCAAAGTGCTGAACTGTGCCTTCAGTATCTCTGGCTACATCCTCCTCAGCAGCAACTCTTGCAGAGTCAACCTCAGCCAAATGTTGCTCATTTGTATCATGAACATTTCTGCAAAAGAACTTACAAAATTAATCTGGTATTATAAATCAACGTTCACCATCCAGATAATCTACCGTGATATTAAATGTCAACCAATCCATTAAGAGACATTATGGTAGGCTGTAAACTAACAAGGTAACCATTGATAGTTAATTTGTAAATAATGAATTGAAAACCAAGGACTGTAAAATTATATCCTGTCGCTAAAAAAGTCCATACTACAAATCTCAAAACTCAATGACTATTTTTTTGGGACAAAAGTAGTATATAATGAGCATAATTTGCATGAAAGAAGGTTGAAGACTATTATATCTGCCAAAACAGATTGAAGACCGAAAAATCAAAGAATATCATGTATCATTCAGTTAGATACATGAGGAAGAAAAGTTCTATATATTGTCTGTTTATCTATTTATGCTTTCGACACTGTCTACAGCATATAAGCCATTTTCTCATAGATAACGAAACCACTCAAGTGTACCTGACTAGTGAAACCATTTGAGTGGCATGTTCACTGCCCATCTTGGTAAGAGAATCATGTGCATTCTCCCACCGCTTCAATGCTGTTTCAGTAGACGACACGCTGGAAAGAGAAACAAGTAAGAAACTAGCACATATGGCAATTAAATACAAATCAAGCAATTGAAAGAGGCAACACTAAAAACATTGTCCAAAATACAAAGTGAAAATTCTACCTTTCTTGTAGAAGCAACTCCAGGCGGCAATGTTTTGCAGCGGAAAAGTCTGCACTGTCTTTAGTCTCATTCTCAGCCTGCACAAAGTAATCCTGCCACTTTCTTTTAGCTTCCGTTGTGATACCCTCCACTGCAGATATGTGACCATCCATGAATGTTTTATTTCCACAAACACTTTCTTTAAAACCATCAAGCCTTGCATGTACCTGTGGAAATGATACTTAGTGCAAATACAAAGGAAAAACGAAGTTAAAAAGTACCAAAATATAAATTCAAAACAAACCAGCTCTTTTTGACGGCACATGTGAGTGGACAGCAGTGTGGTCATCTCAGCAATTAACTTTTCTGCATCTGACCTTGATTGTTCCTACATTCAGGAATAAACATAAGCATTGTGATTGTTCCTACAGTCAGAATAAACTCAAAAAAAAAGAAGCAAACCAGCTCTTCTGATTTATTAGTATACCTCATATGCCTTCTGAAAGTCAACAATACTCTTTGTCTGTACTTCATCAATCTCAGTTGCATGTTTTCCAAGTCTCTTAGATTCTTCAGTGAGTTTGTCAAGGAACTCATGAATGCACTCTGAGATATTTGTCAAATGCTCGACCCCAGCAGTAAACCTCTGAAAATTAAAAAATGATCAGATAAGAATGCCAAGTTAAGGCAGAGAAAAACAAAATATCCATGCAACCAATGATGTTACCATATCATAAGGAAAGCTGATCATCACCACCACCACAACCCACCCCTCCCCCCAAAAAAAATTAATAATAAAAAATAAAAGAACTTCATTCTGCTTAAGCAAACATGTAAACCTGGCGAAGTTCTCTGGCAAACTGTGCCATTTCCCCTTGGTGTGTAGATAGACTGCCCAGAAGACCATCAAAAACTGACTTTGCTTCAATGGCTTCGGCAGCCAAGAACTGCATCCAAAAGCATGAAGTAACATTCAAGTGTTAAAAAGTGGAACCTGTGTTTTAATAAGGGCCAATCAGAAAGTGAAATTTTTTCTGAAAGTTGCGGTGTGCTTTCTAACCTCCTTCATAGACTGAGAACCAGAGGTGGCAAGATTTGATATTTCATCTAATGCAGCATTTGAGCCAGCTCCATGTAGCCGCACAACATTTTGCACCGCCTCAAAGTGCGAGATAAACAGAGCTTTTGAGTTATTTGTTTTCTTCTTTATTTCCAGGAGAGCCTAGAGGATCATATAATAGAGGAATGCAAACACAAAAAGATCAAGCAGAGAGTCAGCTCTACAGGAAAACAACTGGTACACCAAACCAATGGGGGTTATTCAAAATGGGCAGGATGTTGCAGGTCATTTAACCGAAAGAAAACTGCAATGTGGAATCTAGATTACCTTGTTGTGAGACTCCAAGAAGGAATGACAGAGTTTATCAACATGTTGTAAATGTTCATTTTGCTGAGCTATTGATTTGGTCACTATACTGCAAAGAGACTTAATTTCATCGGAAAGTTCAGTTTGAAAATTATTCACAATCGATCGGTTGTCCGCACTCAATTTGTCCTCTCTAGCTGCACAACATATGATGAGCAGAAGATGAGTTTTTAGGAAAGATGTAATTATTAAGTGATCTTTAGGTGAGAATGCATACCAATTTTAGAAAACAGGGAGGCGTTCTCTCGGATGGATTTTTCCAGGTCAGCTCGTAAAACACATGCTTGATGAGCCAGTGCATTTTCTGTTGGCAAGTTTCATTCATTGTTAAAACATGATAACAAAAGTAACTAAAAGTATGAAACTGGCCAGAATATATACCTGCTTTCTTCTGTTCAGATATAACAAAATCCCTCTCCTTTAGTGCATATTGGCATTTTCTAAGGTCTTCTTCAGTAGTTGACAACAATTTGCAGGTTTGGCCCAACGTTTTCTGTAAAGTGTAAATACTTTAATAAGTACTACTTCAACCTTTAAAAACTTAAAATGAATGCTCAGGATTTACCTGGGTGGCATCAAGCTTGCTAGTCAGCTCCGAGCATTCTTGAACTTGAGAAATGTATTTTGTTTGCATTTCGTCAAGTTGCTGTTGAAAGAAAATCAAGTTATTACAGTAACACAACATATTCAAAAGTAAGTTAAGTAGTCATTTGAACATGCCTTCTGCTGGTTTTCAATTGTAACTCCCATTTGTTCGATTTGATCTGCCATTGCCTGCATTTAAGAGTATTTTAAGAGTTAAACAAGAACTAGACACTTAAAGCAGGCAACACAGAGTTACTTGCACCGATTCGACATAGACCAATCTAAGCTCTTTAAACTGCAACTTGCATGAAAAGTTCCAGAAAAAAAATACCAACTGTAACTCAACAAAGCCAATTAAATTTTCTTGCTGAAATATAGGCAATAGATTATTGATCTACTGTGACCTTAAAACAAGTAAAAGGGCACTGAAGTACCTTCCTCTCACTCTCTTCCTGAAGATAACGGTCTTTTGGCAGATAAACCCCATTTTTCTCACGTGCAGCATAGACTTCTGCAAAATTCAAGAAAGAAGCAAAACATATCAGCTCACTCTCACCAACATCAACAAGCTCCAGAGGGCCAATTTAACTAGATTGAAAATTTACCTGCTTTAAGTCTTTCAATTTCACCATAGAGATCTTTAATAAGTGTGGATTTCATCATTTTCTGATTAACCTGATAACAAAGACACAAAATCAACATTTGTTAAAAATTCTACTGACGCTATATCAAGCCAAACCTGAGCCCACATTCCATGCAAACAAACATTTACTTGCAACACTACTTCAATATTATAGGGAATTTATTATCAATATAATGTATTTCAGACACAATGAGATCTATCACCAACATTCATTTGTTTAATGTATGCTTTCAAAGTCAATGGATGCCGACATTAATTGGCCGTGCATATACTTCTTTGGTACTGGACAAAAGCAAGAAATCTGTCAAAAGACTTAATTAATAACAAACCTCTGGTTTATTCTTTATATTCTTCGCTCTGTGGGCATAATCTAGAGTACTCAACGTCTCTTCCAAGCAATGAACAGCTGGTGAGACGGTGGCTATTATGCAGGTTTTGGTTCTCCCACCCAAGGAGTCACGAAGCAGACGTGTGAGCTTGCTATCCCTGAATGTAAATGTTAAAATGCTACATTAAGATCAAACAAAATAAATATATATATATATGCTAAGTAGTGGCAAGTAACACCACAAACCTGTATGGAATATGTCCCAAATGCTCCACAAGAGCGTTAATCACTCTTCCAAGAGTCAGTAAACTCTTGTTAATCTCTCCAGCTTCTCTTGCGCGACCCTTATAGAGAGATGGAAAAGGAAACAGCAAATTATGAACCAAAATGTAGCTTTGGGCAGGTTATATTCTTGAACTGCTACATCATCAAATAATAAAAGGCTTCAACAATAAGAAAAGGCAGATAATCAATTTACCTCCCTGGCTCCAGAGCGAGATATGTTCTCTGAACCAGCCAAGTCAACTAGGTTTAGCTTTCCGCATTTTATCAGTTCTTCACCTTCAGGAGTTGCCTCCTTAATGTGTATAGTTATAGAAAAGAGTGAATGTGACCGACTGCATCATAGAACATAATTACAAGTCCAGTAAGAAAACAAGGGAAGAGTTATAACTCATTTCTTAGACTAAAATAAGGTTACCTAGATTGTTTGTTCAATAAGGTTTCTGCAGTACGGCGTTTAGCCGAACCTCTCTCAAGCAATGTAAAGATCTCATTGCAACTGGTCACAATTTCCTCTTCAAGCCCTCTAACAAGAACTCCTCCCTTTCCGTCTTCCATAAGTGGCAGTTGCTTTTTCTGCTTATCTTCCAAAGCAACTTTAGATAGATCATCCGGTGCTAATAAGTCAGTAATTTCTTCATTGTACAGCTCCAAGAAAGTCACTTTGACACTGTACTCAGCATTTTGTGACTCCAAGGTATCAAATATTTGCTTTACAGCCCTTGGTATAACACCAGCCTCTGGAGGCAACTCACCGTTCGGGCCACTCTGCAAATTTTAAAATCAATCAAGATTAGAAGCAGCTAAATTAATTCTGTTCTGACATGCTCGAAAATTATTACACACTAAACCATACCTTGGACCTCTTACATTCGCCTTCCATTGTGTAAGTTTTTCCAGTTCCAGTCTGGCCATAAGCGAAAATAGTGCAGTTAAAACCCTCCAAGACTTCATTGACAATGGGCACAACTGCTTGGTCATAAAGGTCTCTTTGCTGAGCTGATGGACCAAAAACCTGAAAATGTTCATTCAGGTGTAAAGCAACAATTTGACAGACACAACAGTCCGTAAATTAAAGAAAGAACAACACAAATTTTTGCTAGGAAAACGAAAGGGTGAATTTCGGAGCTTCTAAAAGGATTATTAACGGCTCATCAACACACAAAAACCTCTCTAATCCAGACACAAATTACCAATTAAGAATGAATGAAACACCATCAATTTCAGTCAAACTTCCATCCTTGGAGAAAGTCCTAACTAATACGAAGACACAATGCTCCATCTTAAACAAAACCAATTACAAACAGAAAACCAAGTACCTTATCGAAAGTAAAAACCCTATCGAAATGCTTCCCAGCAATAGTCTGCGAAACTGAAACCTCTCGTTGAAATTCATTACACGAGACTACTTGAGGCGCATTGTTCCTTAATTCATCCTCGCTAAATGGCCTGTTTAAAATCACCCCCAAACTAAATGAGATATGGAAAGAAACCAAAATATGTTCATTCAATCGTTAATTTAAAAAATACAAAAACAATTAACACTAGTGTCGAGCGATTAGGAACCCTAAGAATCAGATTTTGACCGAAGAAATTCGATAAATTGAACTGTACCTGCATCGGAGGAGGACCTGAACATTTACACCTTTTTCCTTATCGTGCCGAGCGGACATCTTTTAATTGCTACGGGAGGAGGGGAGAAATTCTGACAAGAAAACCGCAAATTCCTTTCCCAGATCTCAGGTTTTGTCCCACTCGAACGAATTTTTTGTTACCCTAGGAACTGATTTTGGTCGGAGACTCTTCAGTGTATCTGAAAAATTAATGCCAAATCTGAATTGTTGGTGTGAGATGAGGAGAGCGGGATGACAACTTTTTGGCAGTGAAAATTTGAATTTTGGGAGGCCGCTCTCTCTCTGGCTCTCTGAGCAATCCAACCGTTGGTTTCTTTCTGTTCTAATTTGGATCTCACGGCTTACGGCTTGTCCGAATATATGCAGTTTTGGATTGACATTGGTGCCCCTCTGATTTGTCTGTCTGCCCTTTTTGAATTTCAGATAATGGGCCTGTTCTAATTTCTAAACCGTGGGTTGATAATGTGGAGCTCCTTGTATGGGTACCTCTAATTGGGGCCCGGATACAATCGGCTACCATTAATGGGCCTATTACATAAATTGCAGTTTGTTGTCACGATATTGACCAAAAACATAAGGATAGATTTAGGAGCCGTTTGTTTAGCCGGAATCGGATTGGGAATTGGATTCAGGATTCATTTGATTGTTTGGTTAGCGGATATCGGAATCAAGGACTTGGATTCAGAATCAATTTTTGAATCCGACCTCCCCCCTAAGGATTCGATGGATTCGGATTTGAATCAATTTTTAATTTTTTTTTTAATTTTCCCTTCCTACACAGAATCGAGGAAGCAAATCCTTCCACTTTTTTTTCCTCCCTCCATTCTTTTCCATGGCCAATACTCAAAATCAACAACAGATCTGAGGAATTAAATTGATGTTCTAAAATTCCAATTCCATTATTTCTTTTCTTCCCCTAATATCATCCATAGATCTGAGGAATTGGGTTAATCTCATCCCATGTGGGATGAGAAGTTCTGAATATTAGAAAGGAATTGTGGAGGTTGTTGGACGCTGTGGTAAGTTATGAATATTGAGTGAGAAATGGAGGTAGAGATCTGAGGAGATGAAGAGCAAAATCAATCGTGGTGACCCAGGTGAATCGGGAAGTGGCGTAAGTGAAAGAGAAGAAGAAGAAGAATGAATGAATTTTTGGTGGTGGTGGTTTTTGGTGCAGAATTGGGAAAGGAGCGGGTGGAAAGGAGGGAGGAGGAGGGAGGAGTAGGAGGAGGAGTAGCGTGAAAAGAGGAGAAATGGAAAATTGAAAAAAAAATATTTTTTTTATTTTTTTAATTATAATTCATACATTCCAGATTTTTTAAACCAAACGGGATTATTGGATTCGTGAATTCATGAATATTTTGAATCCAATCCGCCATCATTCAAATCTGTTTCCTAATCCGTTTCCAGGTGATAAAACAAACGCCTCCTTAGATTACAAAAGGTTTTAGGAAAAGAAGGGTAGAAATAAGGAGGAAAATTGAAGAAGGCAGAGAGAAATTTAGGAAAGAAGATTTTTCATCATTCATTGCATAAGCTTACAATACTCTCGCTGAGGGAATTTAATCCAATTTGTACAAGGATTCGACAATCCCGATGTATGCAAATTGCCAGCTAATCATTAAGGATCAGACCAAATCTTTCTAGAATTCACCTCTATAAATTAACTCTAATATTATTTAACCTAGTAATAAGTAGATAATTAATAGAACAGTAAAAACGTCTAAAAACGACTACTAAGCGGAGCGTTCTATCAATTCTTCCCCAAATTACTTGCCCTAAAATTCGAATTTCATGACAATCCCCACTACTTGGAATTAAGCTTGTCCTCAAGCTTTAAAACCTGGGAATTGCTTCAGAATAAAATCTCTGTCTCCCCACGAAGCGTCTTCCACTTCAAGATTCTTCCATTTTACTAGCCACTATATCACTGACCCTTGATTACGTTTGACGCTCCTTCTCTGTAAAACCGATTCCTGCAACAATGAATTTTCTTCCTGTAGCTCGAAACTGGGAGGAGGAGTGGGATTCCAGGATGTTGGCCAATGTGTTTCTTGAGCAATGACACGTAATGACACGTGAAAGACGGGATGAATTCTAGCCCCAGGGGGTAGTCTGAGTCGATACGCCATGTTTCCAACCTTCTCCAACACTTCATAAGGGTCGTAACACCTGGAAACCAGTTTCAGAGAGCTACTTACTGCTAAAGAATGTTGCCGGTATGGCTTCAATATTAAATAGACCCAATCCCCCACCTTAATTGTTCGATCAGTGAGTTTCTGGTCTGCGTAAAATTTCATGCGGGCTCGAGCTTTCTGCAACTGCGCCTAAAGTAGCTTGGAAACCAACCTTCTCTGTTCTAATATGTCAGGTATAATGACATCATTGTAAGGGCCAAGGGGAATGTGAATCGGTTTGGAACCATACAACGCCTCAAAGGGGGTCATGTTGATGCTACTGTGATGAGTGGTGTTATACCACCACTTGGCCAGATGAAGCCAATCATTCCAACTGGAAGGTTTAAGGCTAGCGAAGCACCGTAAATACGTCTCCAAGCATTGATTAACCCTTTCGATTTGCCCATCCGTTTGTGGGTGATAAGAAGTATTTATGCAGAGTTGGACTTGCAACAGTTTGAATAACTCTCTCCAAAACAGGCTGGTGAAAATTTTGTCCCGATCGCTAACAATCGTCTCAGGCAGACCATGCAACTTATATATTTCCTTCAGGAACAATTCAGCCATAGAGGATGCTGAAAAAGGGTGTGCAAGAGCCAGGAAGTGGCTATATTTCATTAACCTGTCCACTACTACCATAATTGTGTCATTCCCTTGAAGTTGGTAACCTTTCAATGAAATCGAGGGATATATGACGCCAAGCTTGTTGTGGAATGATGAGTGGTTGCAGTATTCCCGGGTACTGCACGTGCTCATCTTTGTTTCGTTGGCAAACCTCGCAGCTCCTTACCCATTCTTCCACGCTGACTTTCATAGATGGCCAATAAAAGATACTCTTCACCCTGTTGTAAGTTGCAGACTGTCTAAAATGTCCCGCCAGTGAAGAGGCATGCATAGTCTTCAATATTTTATGCCTTATATTATTTGAACTGCCAATAAAAACCTTGTCCCCCTTCTTTAGCAAACCTGCAGTGAACTGATAAGGACCTTTCTCTTCCCCCTCCAAGGTAGCTTTAACAATCGGTTCCTGTGCTATTTGGTTACCTTCATAGCTCAGCTGCACCTCCTCTACCCAAGTGGGTTGTACGGCTGATATGGCTTTATTGGCAGTGGTTTCTCCTTCTGTAGACTGTAAGGGGGATAAGGAGTCAGCAGCCCTATTTTCACTTCCTTTTTTTTTATAGCAAATTTCATAATCAAGTCCCAACAAACTAGTTAGACACTTATGTTTCATTCCAGTGATTAGTCTCTGTTCCAATGGGTGCTTTAAGGCCTTATGGTCGGTCTTCAAGATGAAATGGTGGCCTACCATGTAATGCTTCCACTTTGTAACTGCCATTACTACTACAAGGAGCTATTTCTTATACACTGATAGGCCTCTATTCCTTTCGCTGAAAGCTTTTCTAAAAAATGCAATAGGGTGGTTTTCTTGCATAAGCACTGCCCCCATGCCAAAATCAAAAGCGTCGGTCTCAATCACAAAAGGCTTCGAGAAGTCTGACATTCTCAGTACTTGCGCACTAATAATCGTTGTTTTCAGTTTAGTAAAAGCCTTTTCAGCTTCTTCTCCCCATTGAAAACCATCCATCTTAAGAAGCTTGGTAAGTGGTGTTCCTATGATACCATATCCTTGGATGAATCTCCGATAATATCCAGTAAGGCCGAGAAAACCCCTTAATTCTTTGACATTTGAAGGAGTTGGCCACCCATTTATACACGCTACCTTTTCCTCGTCATGCTTACCCCTTTTGCTGAAATGGCATGCCCTAAGTAAATTATTCTTTCCCTGGCAAACTGACACTTAGACAATTTGGCATACAGTTGATTAGCCGACAGGATGGTCAATACAACCCTTACATGCTCCAAATGCTCGTCCCATGTTGCACTATGGATCAAAATATCGTCAAAAAACACGAGAACGTACTTCATGATCATATCTTTGAAGAGTCGGTTCATCAAGGATTGAAATGTGGCCGGAGCATTCGTGAGACCAAACGGCATGACTAAGAATTCATAGTGCCCGTGGTGAGTTTGGAAAGCCGTCTTCGGTATGTCCTCTTGTTTCATTATAATCTGAAAATAGCCGGAATGTAAATCCAGTTTAGATTAGAAATGAGAACCCTCCAGCACATCCAGAAGCTCTTCTATTACCGGTGTAGGATAACGATCCTTGACAGTCAGCTCATTTAGTCTTCGGTAATCAACACAAAAATGCCATTCACCGTATTTCTTTTTCACCAACAGCACTGGAGAAGAATACGGACAGGAGCTGTATTGTACTACATTATTTTTTAACATTTCTACGACTTGCTTCTCGATCCCATTCTCATGGGTATGCGGATAACGGTAAGGCTTCAGCTTAAAAGACTGCGCTCCAACTTTCAACTCTATACTATACTCAATCTCCCTTGCCGGCGGCAGTGAGTGGGGAGTTTGGAAAACCTGATCAAAGTTTTCAAGTAACACCTTCAAGTCCTCTGGGAAGGGTTTCCCGTCTGGATCCTCAACCTGTCTACTATCAATAGTTGGTGAAATCCCACACAACAACATCCCACCTTTTTTTAACCTCAATGTAATCACGGAGGTCATCACCCCTCTCCATGTTCAGTGCTGGATCTTCTCCATCTCCAAACAACGTATACTGCCGGTTGCCTTTAGTGAGTGTGATACGGCTGTTCTGATAATCAAAAGCCACCAGACTAAAGCCAGCCATCCAATCGACACCCAGAATAATATCTAATCCTCCCAAATTCATCACTCCAAAGTCGAAAGTAAAATTGAATTGGTGTATATCCCACATTATTGATGGGCACATGGCTGAACCCTTAGTTCTCGATCTGTCTGCCATGGAAACCACAAAGGCTCACGCTGTTGGTAATGAAGGGACAGAGCTCTTACTAGGTTACAATCAATGAAGCTATCACTGCTACCCGTATCAGCCAATATATTGATCCACCTCCCTGCCACTCTCCCCCTAATTATAATGGATTTCTTATCCTTTCCCCCTCTCACAGCATTCAGAAAAATTCGTTTAACACCATCTGTAATAAGTTCATTCTCTCCTAATTCATAAACCTCTAAGTCAACATCATTTACTTCATCATCCTCAGCCAAAATATAATAACCCTTGGCACATTGGTGCCCTGGACCAAATTTTTCACCGTATTTAAAACACAAGTTATGGTTTCTTCAGTATTGTACCTCTTGCGGGGTGATCCTCTTAAAAGGATTGAGTGGCGCTTTTTTATCTTCTCCTCTTCGCGCAAGTTGAGGAACAGGGTTCCTCCCTCCACATGTTGAAACTTTCTGCGCCTGATTATGAATGGTCCTATTTCTTTTGGACTGAATTTCCACTTTCTGTTCCTGTAATACTGTTGCATCCATCAAAGATGGAAAATCTAGAGGTTTCTTCTACCTGAGAGCCAGCTTCAACTCCTCTTTTAAGCCACTCATAAAACTCGACATGAAATACGATTCCGGAAAGGTTGAATTCAGACGCATAATTTTGGCTTTTAGGTCTTCAAATTTCTCAATGTAATCCAATACAGAACCGGACTGATGAAGCTTAATGAATTGCTCAAATTCATCTTTCCCCCCTCTGGTTTTGAATCGCCTGATAAGTGCTTCACTGAACTCCTTCCAACTCAATCTTGATTTCCTTGGATTTAAACCTTCATACCAAACTTCTGCTTTGCCCTCTAAATAAATCTCCACCGTCTCCACTTTCTAGTCCTCCTTGATTCCATAGAATTGGAAGTAATTCTGACATTTCCTCACCCAACCGCTTGGATTTCCGCCGGTGAACTTCGTCAATTCGATTCTAGGTTGCATCGCAAAAGGTACCTTGTTACCAAGTTCGTTCTGGGGGTTCTGATCTTCAAGGTTCTTGAAGTATGCTTGAATCCTATCTTTGACCGGCGGTTGAATAATTTCCTCCTCCGAAAGTTTGAGGCTCGCCTCCGGCGATTTTAGAATTCTCCAGTCTGGCGGTTCGGAGGAATCTAAGATGACATTCTTGCCTTTACTAGCCGCTTGCATCGATCTGAAAGCCTCCGTCATGTTTCTAAATTGCTCCTTCATTTCCATTAATTTATTGACTTTTGCTTTCATTT